TATTACACACCTTCATTATGACGAGGGTGCTCCCTGAGAAAGTGAACAGTGAAAGATGAGACCTGAAGTTCTTTCTCAAAAATGTCCTTCAACTCCAACATTTTAAGTTTAGAAAAAAATTAATCAATTTACACAAAGTTTATAGGTTTCTGTATTAAAGTATTGACTGACTTATATGGATTTTTTGAATGGCTCCTGCCATTTTCATTTATTTGGAGGGCAGTGTGACTGTTCATGTCACTTACATTTTATTTTATTTAGTTTCCTCCTTGATCTATGTCTAGATTGTAGATTATATTTTGCCAATGCACAATATAAAACTTGAGTCTCTAAAACATCTTACTATTAATGTTGCCGCATCATCATTTACTTGAGGGATAACCTTTTTTCCTCTTCCCTTCACATATTCGGAGAGTCAAGCACTGTGTCATGGCCACCAGTTGCATGTGGTATCGCCGTTCTCTTAACCAGACCTGACATTTTTTGACATTGCCAAATAAAAAAGCTTTAGCTGACTTATTTCTCATTGCGGCCCCTTGTCAAGAGAATTATCATCGCAGGCTCTTGTACAATATGGCTTCTAGGGTATGACAAATGTGGTCAAGGGGTGAGCACTCCTTGGGGACTGCGTAGCCCTCTATACAGTGAAAGCATTAGCTTTCCACAGTGACATTATGAAGAAATCTATTGAAAAGGGCGGCTTTCCAGCATTGAGGGACTCGAGGTAGAAAGCTTCATGAGTCTGCCCAAGAGACCAACTGGTATTTCCAACCATGCTAAAGCCTACAGCAAATCGATAGCTGAGAGTCCCACATGTTCCTCACCAGCATCAATTAAGTAAACTCATAAAGTCGAGTGTGCTGGGAGCTGAATGAGGGAAATGGAGAAAAAAACAAAAAAGGAGTGAAAGGGAAAGCAGGAAAAAATCATCTAGTTATTCAGCAAATTTAGATGGGAAACCGGGTGAGCTGTGGCATAGAGAAAGTGGAGTGTTGTGGTCTAAGAGACTATTTCTCTACGGGCATTATTAAAAAGCCTGACAGTCTATCTCACTTTCACCTGCCTCCATCAGCACATGCACTGTTGACCCCCCCCCCACCACAACCACCACCACCCTCCCTATGCTGATCCAGGCAGAGGACACATGCAAAGTGACTGGCTTTCAGCAAAAAGCCTGGCGATAAAGCATTTCGGCTCAGGCCTTTGCAAGCAAAGTAAGCAGTAACTGGGGGATGGGATGAGATGCAGAAGCAGGGTGGAGGAGAGAGAGAGTTGGAAAGTGTGTGTGTGTTGGGGGGCTGGGAGAGCTATAAATTGCAATGCATGAGGGAAAAGAGTAAGAGGGGACCTAACCTCCAGCTTGAATTTGCCTCATAAGGTAAAAACAGGGCACGCCTTAGCTGCCTTTGGAAGACAGGTAACATAATAGATGGGCCCGTCTCCCAGCCAGACCACTCTGACAGGACGTTTCTACCTCTCCTTCAAACCCTCTCTACCGATTTGCCCTTTAGTTTTGTCACGGTAACTACATCTGATTTCTAACTCTAAGAACCTCCATTTTGTCGGCTGAAGTTTCACCTCTTAATCACATCTTGAGGGCATAAAGAAACATTGTACTCAGGATTTGTTTACAGAACAGCAGAAGTTCTGAAAGTCAGCCACAATATCTGTGAACTCACACCATTATTCAGTATTGTCAAAAGGCCTACAAATGCTTTTTTTGCCATAAAGACAAGCTGCCTCAAACAATTACTCTCATCCGTTAAGACTTATCAATGTGTCTGACTTTTCTGAAATGTGTTGGTTTAGTCTTTTCTCCATCTTTGTTGTTGGGCTTCACACTTTGGCCCTAATTTTGGAACCTAACAGAGAACAATTCACTCTGTGTGATCACAACAGGGGTTTTCTGGGATCTGCTGTGATGTCGGACATGTTAAAGGGACACTTTAGTAAAAGAATGGGGAATGAAATATGACCGTGACTGATCCTATAACACTTGGATCTGAATGGGGCTGTTGTGATGAAGGAATTTCCCCTTAGGTGATTCTGGGTGGCTCCGCAGCAGGGTGTGTGGCATCACAGGGGACTAGTCAGGGTCCGTCAAAGTCCATCACAGCATTTCCTTACATAGTATTTATGACTTCCAGCAAACACAAGGGTTATCCTGGTGTGAAGCCTGAGGGCTCCCACCGTAGAATAAATAAATGGATATAAAAAGTAGTAGAAGTATTTTGTGGCACAGGATGGACAGCCAGGGAAATACCACCAAGTTATCTTGAGTTAGGGTTGTCAGAGGTAAACAGGGAATGGAAATCAAAGGATGAGGACCCAGGCTCCACATCTACATGTTAGGAGAGCAGAGGGCAACAGGGAGCAAGGCCTAGAGGCACTGCTGAACTGTAGGGAGCCCGGTTTGCAACTGCAACCATCACATCCTAATGTGTCACAGTCAGGGGCTTTGTGTGGTGGATGTGGGGAATGACCACATCTGGTTTATCATGCCCCGCAACCCTGTGGAGGGACTTGGTCGCTGAGGATTGGCTGGATGGGGAGAGCCTAGGAGAGGTTTGATTTAAGATCAGAATAGTATGGTTTTGTATGTATTTAATATTCAGAACATTAACAATGAATAATGAAAAAAGAAAGATAACTTTGATACTTGGGTGTTTCTCCGGAATATTACTGAGGAACTCTGTGTTTACTTTACATAATCTTAGATTCAGGTTTATAGTCATTGACTCGTAAAATAAAATTCAGAACAGGATGATCTGCTTGATAATTGTGAAACAGCAAGAAAACCTAGATTATCAAGTCGATACCTTTATTTTGTAAACAGTATTAAAGCTATGGTTTGCTTTATATTTTTCACTCATTGCTTTTTATTTATTCTATCTTTGCCTTTTGTTGCAAGAATTTTTCAGCTGCTGGTGTCAAACATTTGCTGAACTTTCAGACAAATCCGACTTTATATTGGGCTCTTGGTGGAGAAAGGGGTTAATTTTAGGTGACGTCTGAAAAAGTGTCCGTGGTGAACTCGGGTCGGGTTTTGCAGGTTGGAAAATAAACAAGATACTCAAACCGTGTTTAGAAATCTTTTCCAGTGGAACAGACAGAGGTAATAGCTGAAAACACACAAGTATATCAAACTGTTCATTATGTTTTGAAGCAACTCTTTCTTCACCATAAACAGCTCGACAGTCTAGCACACTCGTGAAATATGCAGCTGCTGTATTTTGTTTGTCGGGTCTACAAAGACTCCCAGTTGACAGCAAACCCCCTCCTGTACAGAAGCAGCAGCAAAGCTTTCCAAGTCGATGTAGTGATGCATCTGTAAGTGTAGTCTCAATGGTTGTTCTGTGACATTGTTTGATGGTTTGTCGTCACTTGAGATTGTCAGGCACTAAACTTAGCGCTGCTCCCCGAGTCAAAACTGTAACATTGTGACGGCCCGACTGCTTTTTACCCCTTCAGCCGGCACCTTTTCTCTTGCCGCTCTTCTCCTGCTCCATTTCCCCCAACTCCCCCTTCAGTCTGTCTGGCTCCACTCCTGCATGCAGGTCAGGGTACTTAATTCATGTCCAGAGACATTGTTTCTTCATTGTCGGACACACGGTATGAGGATTGCCGACCGGAGCCGCCATACACATGGGGGCTAGATAGCAACCTCCCTAGCGTACCGACTGATAACCCTCTATCCCAGCTGAAGAATACTGGCGGCCTGGATATTGCCCAGCCACCAAGGAATAATGAGAACAAAAGCATAATAAATTACCGTCTTTCTCTATTTACCTGGTCCCTTCTCCTCCTCCTACACCTCTGTTCTGTGCTTTCACTCTTGTTCTGTTTCCTGCAGTTGCCAGCGTTCTGCATTGGCATTCAGGGGAAGGAGATTCTTATGGTTTTTATTAAACCATCCTGTATCTTTGCACTGATCTTAAGAGAAACTTGTGTTGACATTGTGCAGGGTCTCTATCGGCTTTCTGCTGAGCCTGATAAAGTGTGCTGGAAACAGATTGTCTCAAAAGATACAAGGGGACACTCCACATACAGCCATGCACTCGATTAGATGTTGATTTAGTGGTTTAATGCAGATAGAGTAGCTCTTCCCATGCTATACAAGATTTAAGCCTATACACTGATGTGGAAAATGTCTAATCTGATATTTATCCAGTTAGGCAGCACTCAGGCTGCCTGTCAGCCAGATGACTGACAGTCATGCGCGCACATGAATGTATATCAGAGCATTGGAGGAAATGAGTGCTGACTGATTTTATCATTTCTGTCTCGTGCCTGTGTTTGACCAGTGTTTGATATTTCCACCTCCTCAGCCTGGAGTGTCCAGATTTTAACGAGTACGTTTGAAATTTCTTTAAGAATCACGGGTTTGAAAATATAGCAGCACCTGGTGGTTCTGATTATGATACGGATTGCTATTTTGGTTATTAAGATCCTCAAGGTGATGTGTTTAAGTTGCTTGATTTGTAAAATTCGAAGTGTGTATTATGTTTGTCTAATTTTTTCTTGGCTAGTGATACTTGCTGCTAATTATTTCTATACTGTGTAAGAAGCCTGTTCAGGGCCAAAGAAAAGAGAATTGGAAAGGAAAGAAATCTAAATGTAAAACTCGACATCTAAACCTGAGGGGAAATGTCTGCAAATATGGAAAATAGTTAAAAAAAATCTGATGGGCTTGCTGTTGGATATGGGACATACTGTAAAACTGGTTAAAATCTATGTTTTACGGTCCATAAAGGTTACACTGAATAATCTTTTAAATAACTTCATTTTTGTCTTACTTTTTTTTAATGTTTTTTGACTTGGTAGCTTTTGTTTCTCTCCCTCTAAACTAAGTTAGAGGGACATGATGAGGGGTATTTTCTTCCTCCTGAGTTTTGTTAGACGCTAATCTACTGAGGCTAATGGAACCAAATCTGCTGCAGTAACAAACTGCTGGCACTCCTTCCAGTACTGACACTCTGTTTGTCTGTGTAACTTTTCCAGGTGCTGCTTACTGCCAAATGTGAGGCCGAGGAGCCTTTCCTGCTACAGTAGATAACAGCATGAGAGCTGATCTGATACTCTGACCAAAGACCGCTGGACACAAAGCACTGAGGGGGGCTAACAGACAGAAGATCGTGGTGGTGTGGCCATGGAAAGAAGGAAAGTTTATGCACTGATGATGCTTTGGGCTATGGCCCACCTCAGCTCTCCAGGGTTTGGTCTCAGGGCCCTGCGAAGGACTACAGGGGGGAGGAAGGGATCCACTGGGCCAACAGGACAGGACGCCACCGGTACGCCACTCAGACGTTCTAAACGAGGGTGGATGTGGAACCAGTTCTTTTTGTTGGAGGAGTACACGGGAACAGACATGCAGTACGTCGGAAAGGTAGTATCAGAATCTTCCTTCTTCCTTCCTTTCATTGATCAGAAATAATTAACTATCTGCTCTGCAGGACAAGCAGCTTCAAAAGAACAAGTCATGTTATCACATACAAGTCCAAATCACATCTTATCATATCATGTTACACTTAATACACTTGAGACCAACATGCAGACATACAGAACAAAATTATGCAGTGTGCAGGAAGACTGCTAAAAAATGAAATATGTTCAGCAAAGATCGACTTCTTTTGCATGTACCAAACTAGATGGTTTCCACTCCTTTCAGTTACCCAATTTGGAGATGTTTTTTTTTAGATTGTTACACTCCTATGCCTGTCTGAGGTTCTCCTTCTACACCCATGACTGAGTGTATAAAGAGCATTTTTTGTCACTGAAATCAAATTCAAGATTATCTCTTTTTTTTAAGTCCAAATATATCACTTTCAACTTTTATATTTTCAACGGTTGTGAAGAAAATGTTTGTTGATTAGATTCACAAATCAATGCTGTCCGTATTTTCTCAGTCTTTTTTTACTCAGTGTTTCAATCTTTTTGGAATTGCAGTTGTTTGATTGTATGATGTGCAGTTATCGACACTAACAGAGAGACGGACCCAGATCACGAAGCCGAGCCAATTTCTAACCACAGTTTATCTATTTTTGACTTCAGTTCATTCAGAATGTATAAAAAGGATCATTCTGTTCTTATATCACTCAGATTGGCTAAAGGGTTCACTTTGTAGTTGGAGGGGGTCGTTTTTACCAGCTGTCAAAAAACAGAACATTTTGTACAGAGAGGCTGTCTGAATTGTTAAGGTGATAAATAACCTGTAAGGGGTGAGAGCAGCACAGCAATGACCATCTTTGCAGCCTTATAAACAATAAAGAGTGGTCTTCCTTAGTGAACATCGATTGTTTGAGGCTCTGAGACGTTGCTTCCACAAATGTATTTTCTTTGCAGTACATTGCAAACTTATTACATGCTCACATTTGACAAGTTGCTCTTCATGAATACATACCTGATTGTGTGATTTCTTAATAATACATATTTATACAGAAAACAGTTCTGCTTTTTAAGCAAATGCAGATTTCACCACACATTTCACCTCATTTAAGTCATAATGAAAGTGTCTGATGCAGCAATTAAAAAAAAAACATCCCTTTCTTTAATAACCCTATAGGGGAAAAAATCAACTGCCTGTGTCAGGTTTTCTCACCCACCCCAAAACAGATGATTCTGCTACCCTTATAGCTTTTTAATCAGATACTGATGTTGTATAAATAATTGTGTCATTCTGTACTTGAGAATATAAGAATCTTCCCATCATCTTGTGGTTGACATGACATGGAAGTCTGATCTTGTCATGCTCATACGTCACTCTTCCAATCATGTATTCAACCATCTGTCCTGTCAGTTCTCCATCCATCCATCCATCCATCCATTCATCCATCCATCCATCCATCCATCCATCCATCTCTTTGCTGTCCTATATATGTTGTGCTCACTGTCAGCTTGCACAATGTCCCTTCCCTTCAGATCAAGCCATCCCAAAGCTCTTAAGAATTAAATCCAACTTTCTTCAAAGGTATTATTTGTGCAACGAACTCTGAAAGCAATGTCGACCCAGATAAGTTTGGAGGGGGGTTGAACAACAAGAAGAGGCACATAAAGCTTGTTTTACATGTGGCAGAGTGGAAGTCAAGTTATCGGTCCCCTCTTCCAACATACTGTAATTGAGGGAGATTGTGAAGTGTTGTAGCAAGGTCAGGAAGACTGTGGAAGGAAGAAAGGCTGTTTTGTGAAAGGAGTTGAATGGGGCAAGCGCTTTGCATTCCAAGCATGTGTCCTCGGAGGACAGAGTCATCCAACCAAATGAGATTCTGCAACATGCGTCCTCCCTAAAAGAGGGGTTGACTTTCAGTCCTGAACAAAAAGGATTATAGCGCTCATTTTGGGAGAACAAAAAAAAAAACAATGAAAGGAAAAGAGTGAAGATCAAAAGTAAATACAGAGCTTGATCAAACCACTTTGCCTTTGGAAAAAGGTGATTGATGCGCCACTCGTCCTTTTAGCTTGTAAAAAGACTAATAGCAAGAGAAGAATGGATTATGTGAGTGTGGTGTACACTTAGAGAGCCAGGGTCCGTGTCCTAAGAGCCCATCTCCTGAAGACGCCATTAAAGCATCAGCCTTCAAGCGGCACACTTAATCATGGCTCTGAGCGCTTGTTGCTTCGCCCAAGTACGCGCAGCTGGCTGCTTTCCTTCATCGTCAGCTCACTATCCAGTTGTCACATAGGATTGCAGCACGTAGATCTTGTCTGATTGCAATTACTGTTTGTTAATTGGCAGATAAAGTACGAGTGCGGAATGAAGACCTAAAGGGAATGAATAGCTTTTGAGTTAAGCACACTGCTCAACAATGTGAACAACCATCTGCATCCGTATCCTCAGGTGGAGGCCACATTTCCACAAAGTCTGACGGAGTTGAAGGGAGGAGAAATAGCTACAGGAAATGCAGAAGAAAAGGGCTTTTGTCACTGTGAGTGACACTGTGGCAACCAGAGAACATTGCATGGAACAAAACCCCTTTTGTTTGGGGTGAAAAAAAATCATCTAATAATGAATTGAAAATAAGACAATGAAAGGTTATTATAAACAGAGGAACAACTCTTGACATTGTAGAAGAAAGAGTGATAGAACTGCACTTGAATTATAACATTTCTTTCGTTGTTTCCAGTATCTCACGTTTTTTTGTGTCTTTTTGCAGCAGCTTTGTCGAGCTGTGAAGTGGTAACAGATGATGCAGTCCTTATTTTAACCACATAACAAAAGCAATTAGAAAAGAAAGGAGAGATCGAAAACGATGGAAATGAGATCGAAATCAAGAGCTGCTTGGCTGCTAATCTTGCTAATCTTGCTGTATAGGCCAATAATTTTATTGTTTTTTTTCCTGCAGGAGAGGAACAGCACACAGCCTCTCATTAGCAGGCGAGCTGCATGCAGGCCTCCGAGGGCCCGAGCTGTCACTTGGGAAAGAGAGTGTTTGTTTATTTCATTATTTCTTACTTTACTAAAGGGCACATATCCACTGAAAACGGTTAATGGCCTGTGGTTGAGGAGTGTTTGTGCTGCTCTATCATATCTCATAAAGTATTTACAGCCTCTGATAGGCCCCAATGGTTCTGGGCCTGGTGGGTAGACTCCTCAACATAGTCCCTAGCAAGTGAGCAACGCTCTCTGCATGCTAACAAATAAACACAAGCTCGCCGGCAAACACCAGCCTCCAGTGATGCGCTAGAACTCGGAGGAAAGACAAAAAAGCTTGATGAGCACAGACGTGAATTGCTTCCCAGTCCTGTGTGACTCATTGGTTGATGCAACCTGGGGAAAGGAACTCATCTGTGTCATAGCAGCTGAGTAGAAAGGAGCAGGGATTTGTGTGTTTTTTTTTCTTTTTTTTCCCGACTGGTGTTCTCGCTCCCCATTACCAGCTGCTCACCTTGGCAGCAAAGGCAAGGAGTTTGCAATATGGTACAATCCTATCCGTACCCGCTCCATGGCAACCTCTGCGCTCCTTGGTGGTGACCCAAACTATGCTTTGGCAGTAGTTGTTGATAAGGCTGTAAGTTCCTGCTTGTGCGCCAGAAGGGGACAACTTCTGTTCAGCTGTTTGGAAGAAAAGGAGGTGATGACGTCTTGTGGGGACGAGACCCAGAAAAACATCTGAAAACGCTGTCTGAGTGGGATACACCAGCATCTTCATTACACCTGTAATTATCTACTATCACCTGTCTACTACTGTTACAGACACCCATTGGCTTTGTCAAGCTTCTTTTCAGTGAAGTGCACTGAAGTTTTTCAAATGAGCTAAAGCCAATCGTTCATCATAAATAAACCAAAAAAAAAGAAAACTCCACAAACCAACCTTTTTTCATATATAAAAATATAAATAACCTATTTCCTAACTCTGTACTAAAGCAGATTTTGTGGGTTTTCTAAGTATTTATTGGAGTGTTCTCTTCTGTTGTTCTGAGAGTTGTAATTAATTAGTTACACACAGTGGATCTGTGTGACATGGTTCATGTTGCCAAGTAGCTGTAACCCTGACTGCTACGACACACAACACGGCAAGTGTTGCTACATGAACATCCTGCACAACAACTGTGGGACACAGAAGTTCTTGTCTTTCTCAAACAGATTCTGTAAATTAACCCATCTGGCACGCCATTATTCGACAAACCTGAGGCTAGTTGCTACATCTTTATGGGACTTAAAAGTATACTGGGGATAGCAGACTCTTTGCAAATTAAGGGCAACCACCAGCTCAAATTACCAACTGATTGGGGGCATATCAGTAGAGATTTTATCTACCACACACTATCCAGTAGAACACAGAGCATGAGAGCAAGCTCTTTTGCACTACCTTATTAAGGATATGCTTTCTCCACCTTTATAACAGTCGTATTTGGGCAGTAGTAACCCTGCAGCTTTGGTAAAAGCAGACAGTTTAAATACTGCAACAAGCTGGATATTACACAACACAGAAAATGTCCAACACAAGCTATAAATCTGTGTAAACTGACATTTCATCTTCAAGTCTCAGCAGTTCTGACTGCATAGCTCAAGTTTACACAACAGCAGTCATTTGTCGGGTTATTTTTGTGCACAGTCTGAGGCTACCATCTGGCTACATAGAAGGCAGCCAGTTCTCGACAGGCCAGGACACAAGGCCTTAAAGGCTAACTGGCTAATTGCCCTAAGCAGCCTGTTTCCAGTGCCATGTTTTTTGGCCGAGCTGGAGTGAAGCACAAATGGCGTCCAGATCGAGTCTGCGCTAACATTTGCTTCGCTTGAAGCTGATTCATTTCACAAACAAAGACAGCTCCCTCATAAGTCAGCACGCACGAATGTCTGATGAGTACCACTTCACTTCTGAGCCCTCTTCAAACTGAAGGATGAAGCTTGTAGGAAGAAAGATAAATATTTTCCACCATCAAAAAAGCAAACTGTTAGAAATGGTAGTATTTGAAGTCATATTTTTTAAGAATGTAGACACATCTTTTAAATGCAAATTATGCTATTTCTCTCAAAGTCAAGTTTTATATTTCTTTATTAGTCTCTACTGTTACGACTTCATACTATCTCTACCTCAACACATAAACAGTTCTTGGAGAACTGTTGACTCACTTCTCAAGGGAAAAATGTAAGTTAATGGACTCCTTTGCTGCCCTTTTAAATTTACATGAGAATATAAGTAAAGTTGTCGTGTGTATTGTTCTGCTGGGCATCTCAGCATAACTAAAAGGGATCAGTTAGCATTGGTCCTTTTAAATGTAACAAAATCAATCTGCTCATCTATTTCTATTTAAAATGAGTAAACACGAATCCCTAACTATCCCTCCTTTTTCCTTTAGAAAAGACTGAGCCACATGATAAGATGTGGTTTTCTTTTTAATGTCCCTCTCTTTCTTGTAAAGACCAAAAGTCCCAGTGCTAATGGATATAGCGTCATGCTCTCTGCCTTTTTTACGATTTGGTACCATAGGAGGGCAGAGGAGGAAAAGGGAGCTATTGATGTGACGGAGCTTTGTGGTGACCGTACTGAATGCACATGTGGCTTTCTGCTCTCCCCCTGTGACAGTTTAATTGTATTTTCGATATAAATTGATCAAAGGGCCATTGTGAATGCACGTTGGGCTGCCACATTGATTTCTGAGAGAGTTTTATTTTTTTCTTCTTTCCTTCCTTCTCTTAATTCGAGTAGAAGGGCAGCAGTAAATTTTTCTCACGGGCTCAGTGGGCAGATTGGAGGGATGGGGTCACAGCAGCAGGCGCTGGAGCACGATACTCTGAACTGGTTTGCAATTTCCTTTATATGGCCGAAGACAAACTCGTCAGAATAGCAAGAGTTGTTTCCATAGAATGACAATCGACAGTGCATGTTACACTGCTTATCTCGCATCTCAGCTCGAAGCAGGAAATGGACAGTTAATAAATGAATAGTCATGCAGATAGGGGGCTTGATAAATGATCATAGAAAAGGACAGTGCAGCTATAACTGCAGGAGAAAGATAATGTTGAAGTAGATTGTTTGGAAGAACATGGTGCGAATGAGAAAATAAAAAAACACAATCCTCTCCTGCTGAGGGGAGTAAGAGAAAAAGGACTTTTGATTTGAATTCAAGGGGATGAATGAAACACACAATGTTCCAAGAAAAAACACAGAAATTCTAAAAAACTCTAGACCCGTCTTAGTTATACAGATAAGGAAAGGAAGAAAACAATCATATTCTACCAGCATTCAAGCAGATGAACAGAACAGTGTTAAAGATGCTAATCCACAAAGCTGTTGGACTCACATGGGCCAGCTTGATAAAACTGCATGAATTAGTAAAGCTTCCAAGCACCTGGGATGAAAAGCTTTTTAATATATGATGAGTGGGGGAGACTTTGCAGTGTGGTCCGTGACCCTGCTGCAACACACAATAACCCCCCCCCCCACCACCACCACCCTACCACCACCACCGGTCCGTCCACCGGCAGAGCCCAGAGCCTTTGCAGACATTAAACTCAAAGGGGACGGAATCAAACAAGCCAGCTTCATCAGTTTAACGAAGAACGGCTACAGAGCTCAGCATTACACCCACACATTAATGCAAACAGTCACATGCAGTTTGGTCATAATATATATATTATCCTAGCTCTGCAAAAGACGTGCCACCCTTTATGCCTTCTCCTCTGCCATGGGTTTGGTTATGAGAGGGAAGCAAAGTAGGCAGAGAAGCAGTGGGAGGGCAAAAGACTGGACAAGCTTTTGATGAGTTCTCGGAGATAAATATGTTGGGGGGATTTGGTGGTGGAATTAAAATGTCAAAGCATGCTAAGCTGCTCTTCATGCAGTGGAAAAAAAAAATTAAACAGGAGCTCGAGAGGGATAGAGCAAATAATAACGAGAAACTCCAGAGACAAGTGGACTATCGGGGTCTTCTATCGTGTTGCTGATCCATCGGGGACTGGCGGGCAGCTGACATGTGTTCACTCACGCTGGTTCCTCGCAGACCCTCAACCCACCGGCATTCTGTTTTCCGGAGCTGTGATAATGCAGCCGTAGCCCTGTGGTAGAAAACGTGACAATATCCTGCAACAATACCAGCCAATGCAACATTTTCCACATCTCTGGCTCGGATTTTTCCTTTTTTTTTTTGTCCTGGCAGAATGCAGATTTCACAGAGATGAGTTGAAGTCACAAACAGGCGTCATCGTAATGCTCTGACAGTTTACGAAAGATGATACGAATCTGTTAAACGAAACCAAACACGCTTACCAAAGCTGTCAATGTTTGTTTGCCAAGGCCCAGATTGGTCAGATCACCGATATGTCTGTGCTGTGTGGAAAACTGTGACTCCGCTTTGAAGTCTGGTTCTGTTGGCATCCTTTTGTGTAGCGTTCATCGCAGGGATGTGTTTGGACATTCCACCTCTCAGAGATCACCTGTCAGCAGAGCTGTGCCGCACTCTGATGCTCTCCTTTCTTTCTTTCTTTCGACTTTTTTCAAAGACAAATTTTCTCTCCAGCGTAATCGTTCGTGCTCATGAAAGCAATTAGATATTCTCCTGGAAATATCAAGCTGTTGCAAGTGTGAAAGTTCACATGAACTGGAGTTTGAATCACCGTTGTGCTATAACAGCTACCAATAGAGAGCATTTATTGAAATAAGAATCACACAAACTGTTGCCTGTTGTTTCAGGGAAATCAAATTGTCATAATTATTTTTATCGTTATTTTTTTTTGGCAGCTGCACTCGGATGCGGACCGAGGAGACGGCAGCGTGAAGTACGTCCTCAATGGGGAGGGAGCAGGGACTCTCTTCAAGATAGACGAGAATTCAGGGGACATCCACGCTACCAAGAGGCTGGACAGAGAGGAGAAGGCCTACTACATCCTCCACGCCAAAGCCGTCAACCGCTTCACCAACGAGGCGCTGGAGGGCGAGTCTGAGTTCATCATCAAGATCCACGACATCAATGACAACGAGCCACGCTTCACCAAGGACCCCTACATGGCCAGCGTGCCCGAAATGTCCGACATTGGTACGTTTCTGCCGGGACTTCTGCAAATTTTCCACCCCACATCACTCTACAGCTGCACAAAGCATGTTAAACATTTATTGATCATAAACCAGACAATTTAGCAGGAGTGCAGGTTTGAACTGGTGTGTGTGTGTGTGTCTGTGTGTGAAGAGCTGAATTAAAAAGGGATTATAATTCAAATCGGATAGAGATGTTATAAAACACGAGCATTACTGCATCAATAAGATATTATCAATCATCATAATGATTTAAACCCAATGAAGAGAGCACAACTAATTAAATGAGACACTTGGAGCTGTTTCATGACCAGAATAAACGAGTGTTTCTGTGACTGTCACAGGACTGTCGCAGCTAATCTTTTTAAAACAGCATTTTGTTTGGCTTTTTAATAGTATTCAGCTTAATTTCTCGCATTGTGTCATCACAATGAATAATTGGAGTTCATTTATCTGCAGTGACAGCTACTGAGGCTGCACCATGTGCTGTTTTCATGTCATCATGTGTTCTTGCTATTCAGCACCAAATTAAACTTTCATACTCTCTGCACTTTTGCTCTCACTCTCAGTCTGACAGCACACACCAGCCTCATGAATATAAATAAACATTATAAAAAGGTTCCAAATCAATACTTGCATGAAAACATAGGGTGAGCTCTGGGTCCTGCTGCTTCTAAGGGACACTGGTCTTGCCGGCCAGACATGTGACAGAGTTGTCACTCGCTTCAGCAACCTCAAGAGAGAAGGCCAGCACTTATCTAAGGGCAGCATGGGTCCCCATGGCAACAGCCGAGGTGTGATGTCACCGCTTGGCAGAGCATGTGTTCACGAGTGACTGCGTAGAGCCACTGCTCCTTTGAATATGACATACACTTTGAGTTTTATTGGTCTCATAGCTCACCCCGGACTCAAGAATGATTTGTATGCACTTTTCTTATGACAACTGAATGAATACAAGCCAGCACAATAAAGAAAAAAAAACAGCAATTAATCCCATACTTTTTTGTCAGAAACTTCTTTTCTTGAAGTCGTCGATGTGGATCAGTGATATTTTCTAAGAGCCACCACGTCAGAAAAGCCTCTTTGAGGCTAATTCCCTAGTTAAAGGTATTAGCGATCAAGGCTGGGTGAACTCTCCCAAAAATCCTCCTGAACTGTCACTTACACCAAATCAGACAGCTTCTGTCTTTTTTGTCTGTTTTTTCTCTTCTGCAACCTTCATCCATACAGATGAGATTGATTTTGAAGGAAAAGAAAATCACCTTTCACCACACACAGATGTCAGCTGACATCAAATTATAGTCTTTTCATGAGGTCGCTATCCCGTTGAATTGCACAATTCTATATTTATACCACTTTGCCATTAAATATTTCTACTCAATTAATTTTCCTCAGCATGTAATGAGGCAACACTTGGCCCCGCAAGGCGCCATTTGGGAGGTAGCACTTGGCTAACCATTTTCCTTTGTTCTACTGAAATAGGACTCCAACTTCTCTGGAAGAGAAAGTGGATCACTTTCAGATATTGTTCAGATATTTGGCTTTTCTCAGACACTCCAGATCTGTGGATAGGCTAATAGGCTTTTGGGAGCTCGGAATAAGCCAGCATGCATGCCGAGAGGGATATATTCAGAAAAATACATTAGGATTTATCGATTACCTGTGAAAGTCAATCATGTGTGAGGATATAAGTGGCTGTGGGGTAAAGATTGCTTTGGGTAACGAAGAGGACAGAAATGATCAGTCACATTCAGCACAAGTCTGATTAAAAGACGATCCGACACCAGCTTAACCAATTATCCAGCAGGCAATTTTTCAGCAGTATTGAGGAGTTGATCTAAATCATTGTCATGAATCTCCTTCCCCCAGGCACCTCGGTAATTCAGGTGACAGCCACAGACGCAGACGACGCCACATATGGGAACAGCGCCAGGGTGGTGTACAGCATCCTGGAGGGCCAGCCGTACTTCTCTGTTGACCCTGACACTGGTCAGTATGAACACAAATTACAAAATAATGTGCATATATTGTTCTCTTGCCTCATTATTTCTGTTTAACTTGGACTAATGCAAAATGGAAATCCCCATATAATAATTAAAATAGGTCCTAAAAGAAGTGTGACAACACTGTGTGAATAAGCTTGTGTGTGTGTGAACTTGTGCCCCAAAGATAGCAAAACTTGAAGTATTTTCTAATATCTTAGAAAAAATATGTAATGTCCCAAATTGAAATGCAAGCTAAAATTAGTTGATGTCAAAGTCTTTTCTCAATGTTTACACTTCTCCAGCTAAAATGTATAATTGGAATGTGTATTCACAATTTCAATGCGTTATTTAACCATACATGCACCTTTATTACAATGTTGTGATAAAGTAGCATAACTGTTTACATGTTGTGCCACAGATTTTACACAATACAAACACAAGTTAACAATAATGTCTAAATCAGATCAATATTTAAATAAATAAAAAAACAATGCTGTAATGAATAGGTAGAGAAATAAAGCTTTTCTAATACGTAAGATAAAGAACTATATCATTTGTACCTTTCCTTTTTTTAAAGGGGCATAAATCGAATTCACTTTTAAACAGAGCATCTTATTAATGGAGGACTTATCCAAGAACTGATGTGACTGTGTAAAACAAATAATTGTAAATACTATAATGCATAAGACACCCATTTTAAATTATGACAGTGAAGTTCTGAGTGCCAGATTGTGAACAATTGAAGATTTATGTGTACCAAAGAATTTTACACTTTATGATGTGGGGAAAATAAAATCAAAATACCAGCAGAAAACAACTCCATTATATTTTAGAAATCTGCTGGTGTGTGAAACTAGCCTGAAGAGTCCTATTATGTTTTTTTTTCCAAAAATAGAGGCTGGAAAATAGGGGACTAGCAGACTACTATCTTGACTCTTACGCTAATCACTGTGTTTTGAGCACGTTCAAGTTCAAAATAAAGATTTAATAATGACTGTTGCTCTGCTACAAATTCACAAAATCTGTGACAAAAATGGCATTGTTTTGTTCTTCTTTGATAGTTATTTTCAATTGGTACAAGTACATATTCTAACTGACTGCAGTGGGGGTTGCAGTTATTTCTTGTTAAACTGTGCTGCCTGGTCTATTTTGTTCAAAGTAGCCGGCGGAAACAAGTGCACTGCACTTGTTTGTCGTGAAACTTGTGAGGCGTAGAAGTGAACGTGAACCTGAACCTGCTTTCTAACATGCTCTAAGAGTTCTGCAACAGTTGTTGCTCAAATGTAACCCATGGCTTGACACAACACCTCCCCATCTGGTGGTGGTCATTGTGCAAAAAGTGAAAATAGAAATTGAGGAGGTTATCTAATGAAATACTGGGACAGGAAATCAAATCAGGACGATTTATCACGAGACACTGCTCATGCTGCGGATTTTCCTTCAGCGAACAACAACCTGCCTGCTTCCTATTGCTGGCTGATGGGGCGGGAAAGGAGGGATTTGAAACAAACAGAGAGGCAACCTTAAAAATCTACTTTTAATCATTAATGTGTGCTTTGGAGCGCATCCCACTTATGTCTTTTTTTTATTTATATATATATTATTTTTGCTTAAACAAAAGAGTGGAAAAAAGCCATTTGCAGATTAGTGAGGGGATTAACAGTAATATGGTTTATCCCACATGTGGTATGTAAGCTGACATCCCCTCTTACACAAAGACATGCCTGGACATCACATTATAAGCAGGATTAGTTTCCTCTCTCCTCCTCTTGTGTGTGGATTGTAGTCATTAAGCAATAACAAAGGTAGACTCAGGGAGTGTGCTGTCTTGTAAAGCTGCTGTGCATTTGTTTTCTTGGCTGCAGCACAACCTAAACGATCACTTCTTTCTTAACAGTGTGTTGCCTGCAAGATAAATTGCACAGTGTTAGGAGGGAGAGAATAGGCGGTTTCACTGTGGCTGCATTTCATTTTCTCATGTTATGTATGGGAGGAAGAAAAAGAGTTTTAAGCAGCGTAGGCCAGTCTGATCTGAGCCTGAGTGATGCGCCTTGTCAGCCTTTCCTTCATCCTTATTGTTTGATATGCATCTATTTAAGCCGGAGCGTGCTGAAGTTTTGCCAAACGCATCATTTAGGGTGAAATTTATTTACTCTATGTCTGCCTGTCTATCTATTCCCACCTGCTCGTCTGCTATGATGCTTCAAATGTGACCGTGTAATATGGACAGGATCTAAGCAAAGGTTCAGATGGGAGATGAAGCACACCTTTTAAATGTAGCGCCAATTACAGCTGCGCTATGTCCTGAATCCAAACGAGAGATCTAACATGTCAAGAAGAAGTAAGCAACTGCACAGCACTTGAAAGGCCAAACCATTAACAGAGTCTTAATATCAAAGAAGAAAATAAATGATGCTGAATGCATTTGGAGGCACTGCACCTCTTTTACAATTACAGGAATAAGCTTTGGTTTTGGTATGCGGGTCTTTTGCTCCTGTCTCCAGCTAAATCATGAGCACACAGAGACTAAAATGTGCTCCTGGGTGGCTGCTGCGCTCCACGCTGCCATGCATACTGAGCCCAAGCGCTGACCTTTCAGTAATAAAATGTTTCTGGTGGTCAATTAGCCAGCCTGTAGATCCATAAGTCCAAAAATGATTTTATATTAAAACAACTCAGCTGAGATGAAGACTTTCTATATGTTCAGAAGAGGAACAGTAATAGTTTTAATTAGGGACATGCCAAACGGCTTCTACCTGTGGAGGCAGTTTGTTATTCTTATGGCAGGCTAATTTTATGAGAGCCATATTTCCCAAAAGCTGTCAGGACAGGAGGTCTTTTCTTAGTGTGCACATCATGGTTAGAATACTAATTCATAAAAAGCTTCACATTTCCCCCAATGATGAGGAAGCTGAAGGAAAGCTTGTCCGCAATTATTTATTTTGATGCTGCCCCTTGGATGATGACTTGATCATTCTGTTTTCTTAAGATAACAAAGCTTGTTTTCCTTTGATAACACGTTCATTTATGTCTCTGATATCAGCCTTTTTGTTTTGCTCAAGATCAGAGCATATAATAACCTGCTGTCATAAGGACTTGAGGTTCACTTTCTCGAGTTCACAAGGTGATTATAAGCTTGAAAATGAGCAGATCCTGTGTTAACACCTAGTTTTGCCTTTAATTATCACTGTGGTGACAGTCGGCGATGATTTAATGGTAACAATATAATATGCAGCCGAGGCTTTCGTGTGTATTTGCTGCACTGAATAAATGTTTTGTAAATGTCTTCAAGACAGAAAATGGTGACTTTATGCTCAGATAGAAGTTTTACTGCCTCCACTTTGCTTCAGCCAGCAGCTACCCTTCAGGCCATCCCTCTGTTCACAATTCAATTTCAAAACAGCCAAGCAGCAAATGCAGCATTAGCGGCATTTTTTACGTTTAGTGAGAGGTTATCGTGTCAATCGGGTCGAGCTGATACCTGCGTGCAAATGGCCGGAATGCAAGGCAACAGCCTGAACCCGTCTGCATATGGTGTGTGTTCTAAGACCCAGGGCAAAGCCTCCAATTGAGAACGTCCGGGGAAAGAAGCTCAGCTGTTTGACTTGGTGTAACTTAGTCAGATAGCAATGTACTGCAAAACAAATGCAGCAGTTTCATTTATTTATTTATTCAATTATTTAGCAGATTTTTATCAACAAAACTAAACTCAAATTGGGTGCCTATTCAGAATTTATGTTCCCACACAAACCAAAAGTCGAGCCAAAAGTGAGTAGTGACCATGGCTGAGGGACGAACACGGGCACAGAGTGCGCTGGTACTCAGCACACCTCAGAAAAAGCTTTCAGCTGTGAAGAGGAAAATGGGCAAAGGAAAATGAGCTGTTGATTGTGAATAAGCACATAGACGTGAGTGGTGAATCAGTCCAAATTCGTAACATTTTATATTGAAAATCTGGTTTTCACCCAGGTTTTGTAGTACATTTCACAGATTTAACCCTGAATAAAAGCCTGTCTAACTCAATTTGCTCAAACATTATTTTCTTTTTGTTAATCTGTTTCTTTTTTTTTTTGTTTTGTTTTGTATTTTGCGCAGGCCTGATTAAGACTGCCCTGCCTGGCATGGATAGGGAAGTCAAAGAAAACTACCAGGTTGTGATCCAGGCTAAAGACATGGCAGGACAGATGGGCGGGCTCTCAGGAACCACGACAGTCAGCATCACCCTCTCCGACGTGAACGACAACCCGCCACGCTTCACCAAGAGTGAGTCCAACCCTTCTGGACAGTCGCACACACACACACACACACACTCGCAGAATGTCCAGTCCGCCGCTCATGAAAACCACTTGTCATTGTGAACTGGTGCCAGGCAGGCAGCCTCCATCTGGTGTAAGTTTCCAAATGAATTCGGATTATTCCTGTGAGCTCTAGGTTTTGTGCAACTAAGGCGGGCCTCTTAAAGGCAGCGAATAATTAAATATAGAGCCATATGACGGAGCGAAGGGTCCTGCAAAGTGCATCAGATCAGCCCAGTAATCCCTATTAAATGAAGAGAGAACATTCACTGAGTTTTATCTCCTACTCTTCCTCTCTTTGTCTATCGCCCGCTATTGAGTCTTTCTCTGCTGCTTTTTACTCTATAAAACCAGTGTTCTCATTTTAGTGCTTGAACTGTCCTAGGTGCATTCCTCTTTAAGTCATCAATCTCTCTTTTTGCACCATACCTAGTCTCTTCCAGTCTCTCTCTCTCTCTCTCTCTCTCAAACACACACACTCTGACTCTCCCTTCCGTTCTCTGCTTGTGCATCTGGTGAAGATGGCCAGATCGGACTGACAGATTGCCGTTGTCATTGCGTTTCCCCTCAGTAACAGCGAGCGCCAACTGTACGACTGGGCGACGCAAAGCAAACACGTGGCTACAGAAATCCCCACCACCACCGCCACCGCCACCCATTTATCACTCCCGCCAGCTTTGGCAGTGGGGGTGGCAGATGTTGTCATCTCAGCTCCTCCATCAGTGAATGAACAGTGAGAGAAAGAGGGGGAGATGGATACGGCAAGCACAGAGGAGGTGACAGGAGGGGGAGATAGAGGAAGAAAAAAGGAAGAGTGAGGACAGAAAGGCAGCTTTTGATAGAGGAAAAGGAGGAGGAGGGTGTGGGGTTGACTAAAAGAGGGCAAAAAGAGGAAGAGATATTGTAATGGGACACCCAGAGGAGGTAGAGTGTCAGGAAGCGATATCATTGTTGTCTGCTGGAGTGATGCCTCTTCTTTTCCACCCGATGCTAAATACCTGTTAGCCTAAGGGAAACCTTCATGTGGTGCATCCCTTTCAGTGTGTGAGGGTGTGTGTGTGTGTGTGTGTGTGTGTTCGGAGGCAAGTGTCAGCGTCACACAGACCTGCCGACTCAGGCGTTGCCAAATCACTGTCAGCATGTTTTATTAGTGTGTCAGTGCTGTTTGTCTCCGCAGGCTGTGTGTATATCACACCCGCTCTCTCCCGCAGTCCAGCTATTTATTTAAGCATACGAGATGCAGCCCCCGCCGACAGGCGGCCATCAATTCATCCCTCTTAAACCAGGAAATCATCTCACAGAGAAAGAGAAAAAGAGACCAAGAAGAGGCTATTAATTTATGTAGAGCAAATTGGCTCAGAATTTATGTAGCATCCTAAACTTGAAGTGGTGAGTCAATATGGCTTATAGCAACTTGTGTGAAAGGCCAAATGTGTGACTTGGAAAAGAAATATGTTTCAGCGCATATGAGATGTCTGCTTCACAGCTGATCTACAAATGTGGAAGCATTAAATCTAACACTCCTTTTCACACACCCATCCTCCATCTCCTCTGCTCTGATTGGCTCTGACTCACTCTCTTCATGACCCACTGGCTTGTATTCTTGCTCTCTGACTCATCCACTTACATTGCTTCTTTCTACACTAACAAGGCCATCAGAAATTCTCTGGTCACCGGCTCACACGGGTGGAACTTCTTTTTCCCTTTTCGGTCTGTGCATTAACATATATTGTCAGTTTGGCGTGCTCCAATCTAGATTGGATGATATTAAAAGAGGGACAGATTCACCACCTGAATGTGCTTTTTGTGTGATAAAAATGTAAGCTTGACATGAAAAGAACCATCAAGGATGTGACCTTGGTTGTCATGGCCCTGCACACACACACACACACACACACACACACAGAATCTCTGACATGTTCACACCTGAGCCTTTCTTTTTCAAGCTTTTTGCTTCTTTTTTTTTTCCCCTTCAACATCTTGACAATCTTGCCCTGACCAGCCAGCTCTTCCCTTTCACAGCAATAGCAAATCCCAAAGCTGCTTTTCTTTTTTGCAGCTCTGTACGAGTTCAGAGTGCCCGAGTCCAGCGAGCTGGGCTCTGCTATAGGAGTCATCCGGGCCATGGACGCCGACATCGGTGCGAATGCAGAGATGGACTACAGGGTCATCGGGAGCGATGGACCGGGGATGTTTGACATCACTACCAACAGGAGCACGCAGGACGGTGTCATTATGCTGAGGAAGGTCAGGTGCTCTCTGCTCTATTAGACAATGAATATTTAGATGTCTTTCAGTTTTAGCTCCCCTCTGTGTCTTTGTGCCTTTTATTTCATTTACTCACTAAATTAGCCAAAGTATGAACGGAAAATGTTAGAAATGCTGGATTGTAGCTTTTTTTCTTCAAAGAAAAAATAGAAATAGATGTAGGCCCGCAAACAAAAACATGATAAAAAGACAAACAAACAAACATTACACACTAACATCTACAAAAAAAATGTTCTCAAAAGAATGATTTAATTTTTATTTACCGCCAAAGCTTATAGACCTTAGAAATGCAGTCCCGGCACATCTGACAAGGCAAATAAGTTCCCATTTTCCAGCTACACAAGCTGAATAACAACCTGCGCTTCTCTCAGACTATTTACAGCCCTGTGCCTGAACGCATCTTTTGTACACAAAGAGAAGGACTGTTGCTGCCACTTCGGCAACACGCAGCTTTTGCTGTGCAGACACCGTGTAAATATTCCCCAGAAAGGACCCCAGAAACGGAGGAGCAAACACAAGATAGGATATTAAACTTTTGATCCTCAAGATTCAAGAAGCATGTTCTATTACTGCAGAAATAACACGCTAAACAGCTCTGCTTCTGTTTACAGAGCAGCCGAGCACAGTCAAAGGTGTGTTGTTCTTAGTGAGCACCTCACAGAGTACTTTTCTACAGTTTATGAGCATTTTCTGCTGCCTGTAGTTCAGTCGGGCTGCTTCGCCCTCAATGACTCGTGAACATTCGAATGAAAGACGGAAAAAAATTATCAAGGACCGGGGATGTCCTTTGAAAGTGTATCCTCTTCCTCATGTTCAAAGCTGAGTCTCAGACTAAATCAAAGGGATTGCATTAAAACCTTAAGGCTAAAACAAAGAGGTGAGGTAAAACTAGATGAGGTAAGAAATTCTGGGTGTTGTGTTACAATGACGATCGGTTGCTTATTATATAAAATGATGACGTTCTGATCATCAGTTAGAGCAACGAACTGCACTCTCTCCAAGACAATTTGTCAGTCCGCTGAAAAAAACAATACAATATTATCTATTGTATTTCAAGAGACCAAAAAAAACAGCTAATCAAGAACAGAATTAATCATATTTGTTTTATCTGCTAATATGTATTTACACGATAAAACAGCGCATCATTATTCAAGCATCCAGTATGTAAGAACCTAATGTAAAAATGTAATTTAAAGATAACGCAAATACGGTAAATATGTGAAATGAGTGAGGACATTTTTTAAATGTTTTGAATTTTCTAACACTGGATTGGTGTGTTTGGCTAAGTCAACATGTCCACAAAAGTTTTAGATTTCACTGTATGCTGAACTTAACACATTTTCTCAGACGTTTATTTCTTTTTAATGCTCGGTGGGAGTGAGAACACAGATTGCTGATATGACCTGTCTCCCACTCTCCACATAAAAAGTTACATTTGGAGATTGTTCTCATTTTTTCTTTTACCTTTTAACAGCCGTGAATATTTACATGTCACATGATTAATTTCAATGCAGTTTTTATGGCACAAATCTTTTCAGAATGCTTTCCAGATCCTGACCATTTATAATAGATTTGTTATATATTAATATTGATATCTATTCCAATTTGTACAACAAACACTAATAGTGATGATGTTTATATATTTATATATATGTATAGTGAACAAATTGTTTTATTATAGAAATAAGATTTAAGTTTAAGTCCTCAATATACAAATTTTGTGGGCTAAAGCCAAATCACAGAATATGAAGACATGTGGATAGGGAAGATGTCATATGAGAGCACAATAATTTGTGTAATAAGCATGAGATATATAAGTTTATTACAGCTTGAAACTTGAACTTGAAACTTGTCCTTATAAGTAAAAATATGAATAAATGAGAAAATCAAGGTTTTACATTTTATTCATCTTGTCATAGAAATCTGCCATTACGTTTGGATTTTTCTGACTGGTAAATATTCTCACTTTTAAGCCCAACCTGAAACTCTGCATGTGTCTGACATTTCCACCAAAAATAGATTGAGCAATACCCCCCATGACTATGGATTACAAAGTGATTGGTATTTTTATTTCCTTTCACTCTAGCAGTCAGAAGATTATGAGTAGAGATATTAGATTTCACTGTACGCTTGCTCCTGTTTGTTGTGAGTGGGGTTCATTCTGACTCTTGGCTGAGACCAAAGCAGAAATATTGATGCTCGGTATGGATCCCATCGTTCGGCTGTGGTGTGTTTGATGTATTCAACAGCATCTGGATGTTGCCTTATCAAGGGCCTCTCTGCAGCCTTCGATCGATCCCTTCCATCAGGCCATCATTAAGTGGAGGATGACATAATTGCCTTTTGTAGCGGAGGCAGCACTGTGGTGGATGTTGTGTATGAGCACGGGGTGTGTGTGGTGGGAGAGTGTGCCCTAATTCTGCACCGCCTAATTAAATGGGCTTGTCGTGCCGTCACTGGTTGCATGGGTCCCTCAAAGCAACATTTTCCTCCAGTGAACATGCGGTCGCCCTCTGCCTTGCCACCAAACAGGGAAAATCAATCACTCATAATAAGCTACGCATCGTAGTTTCAGAAAACAGCTCATTCTCCCTGATTCTTTTTTCAAGACCTCAACATTTCTTTTTTTTTTTTTCATTTAACATGGACCCCAAAGCCTTTTATATGGGTGGTCGGCAGCTTTCGAGGGAGCTCACTCTGATCCAGCTGCTGAGCACGTATTCATTAAAATGCACCGCTCTCCAATTATTTCCATCAATCAGGGGATACCTTCACTGGCTACAACTTCAAAAACAAAAAGTTCAGTAACGGATCTAACACATAACCCGAGCATCAAAAGGAAGGGGGAAAAAAATCCTACATATTCGCGAACTCTGGGATGAACAGCAGCCTGTAGGGTGAGGGAGGGTCATAAACAAAGGGAAAATAAAATAAACAGGATGCTGTCTTTAAAAAGAACAAACATGTGAAACAGAAGTCTGGAGTTGCAATGTAACAAAAAACAGATTTGAAATGATAGAGTTAAACTTTTTTAAGTCTGTAAATGTTGAGCCTAAAGAGAGGAAGAGGTTTGGGATGACTGAAGGGAATATACGGTTTTGCTATAAGCATCACGCTAAACCAAATGTGGCCATGGAACAAAAAGGTAAACCGTCAGGAATAAACCACATGTTCACTGGAATAAAATTCTTTGAACAAAGTGGAGCTCTTTTCAATTTATCGCTTTACCCGCTATAGAATGATGCCCAATGGGAACCCCAACTAGTGGAGGTTGGATCATGCGGTGGGGCCATTTTAGTGCTTCTGATGCTGGAGTGCCTTGAATATATAAAAAAAAAAGATTCAATTGGACGATTACAAGGCATTGTAGTGTCAAATGCGTTGGCAGGAGCCTGTTCAGTCAGACAATGAGCTGATGCGAACAATCAACTGTGTGCTAGGAAGGTTGAAAAGTAAACAAATGGATGGTTGAAATGCACTTGCAGGAAAAACGTCTGTGGACAGGACTCCTACTCTTCTAGATTTTTACATCAGAGTTTGTTTACATTGTGTCTGCAACCAAATATTGAAAGGGGGTGTCCTTTAAGCAGATGAAGCAAGTGTGTGTTTACATCTGTGTTTGTCACTCAAGTAAGCTGACAGGAAGTGATACAAACAGCAGCATCCATCTATTTCTATTTTTTCCTGACATTTTATCCTGACATTAAAGCTCGAGAAATGAGTTGATAAAAGGCAGATTTCAACCCAGCCCTCGTTCTCAGCGAGCTTTTAGGTGAATAAGAGTTTCTCTGAGTCATTGTGTTATTTGAACTGTGAGCAATATTTATTAATTGGTGTGAAGGCAGCCTCGGTCAGCTCAGTCTCATGATATTAAGCTCTCCAAATAAAAATACAGAAAACGGCCACATTTGCAAGTCTTCTTGTTAAATAACTTATTATGTTTTCATTGTTTAATGCTGACTCTCCTTAAAGGGGATCGTACGTCTTCAAATTTTTGCTCAAAGCTAAGAGACGCCAGTATTTTGAGCAGCTGAAGTACAGCGTAAAACTACAGTTGGGAGTCACAGTAGTTCCGTTTAATCTTCCTAGAAGCATACCCATTACTTGTGAAATATTAATATATCCTTCCAAATTAGAAAAACAGATGTTTCCTCAGTAATTCATTTCATATTTTATCAAGTGAAAGTCAAATGGAACACAACTCCAAAGTCTCGCCATCCACTGCGACAACAATAATCGTACATACTGATCTTTTAATTAAAAATTAAATAAATAAGAACACATCCAAAAGGAACAGATGTCATCCGGCGAAGATCTAAACACGACTCTGATTGATTGTTTCAGCGCTGCGATGTGCCAAGGATCAGGAAATCAGGCTGAAAAGCATCTCAGAAGTTGAGGGGAAAAAAAGTTTTGCGTTTTTCATTCCTGCGTGGTACAAACACTGAACACTAATCAGATTTCCAGGCTTAAAACTCTGACACGAATCCAGTCTTTGTAAATTAAGGCGGCCTTGTTACTGTCATGTCGGTTTTCCAATGAAAATGCCACATCAGTCACATTATTCAGCGGTGGTTGTTGGAATGGCTGCATAAGCTCTGCTGTGTGCAGCCGCCTGTGTGTGTGTGTCCATCAGCAGTCTTGTTAGTGTCCTTGAGGAAAACACAAAGACCCCATACATACACTAATTAGATGATCTGGAAGACACTGGCAGTTTAATGAATAATAAAAAATAAAAAACAATCTGACCTGAAATTAGATGTGGCAGGACACATGGATTAGGTTTCCAAAATCAACAGCGGAACGTGCTGCCTCATACAAATTAGAGTTTAAAGGCAAATATTAACGGGCAAAAGGTGAGCCGTGAGCCACAGCGCAGCTCGGCTAATAATACAGAGGACTAAGCGATGTGTAGAGCCTGCTCACGCCTGCTTTCTGTCTGTTTTACAGCCTCTGGACTTCGAGAAGAAGCGCCAGTACAGTCTGCGCGTTCAGGTGGAAAACTCCCACATCAACCCTCGCTTCTACTCCATGGGCCCCTACAGGGACGAGGCCACCATCAAGATCATCGTGGAGGACGTGGACGAGCCGCCGGTGTTTGAGCGCGCCAGCTACGTCATGGAAGTCAAAGAGGACGCGGCCAGGAACACAGTAATTGGCTCGGTCAGCGCGTCCGATCCTGATGACAAGCACAGCCTGGTCAGGTAGGAAACCCCAGCACATCGAGCTCTGCGGCACGGCGTTCAGATCGAATTAAGATGTGCTGATTTCAGTCGTAAACACCAAGAGAAATGCATGGATGTCTGCACTCATAGCAAATATATTCAAAATCCTAAAACTAAATGCATTTGACAGATGGTCTAAAAACATGTCAGACACAATTATGAGTCCAGCAGTGTCTGTAAAAAAAAAAAGTGATCTATTATGAAGACAGTTTTACATGACAGTTTCTGCCATTACAAACAACATGTTCTTATTAAAGACTGTTAAACAAAACTCCAAAACTTTTGGTGTAGACTAAAAACCTTAAAAAGGAATAGTAGCTCCGGGTCATTTGCTTTTATTGAAGGTTTGAAGACAGACTCAATAAACTTGTTTAAATTAATGAAACTATATTTTCCGCTGATTGCATTCCAGCTTAGATTTAAAGTCCAAATAAGTTACTCCTGTGGCGTCACTTTTGCTGGTTCAGGACTCGTTCTGACAAAAAATTGTAATGGGACACTCTGTCACGTCTGCTCTTTGGTGCAGAAATCAGCGGATATTTGCATCATTACCTGATTGTGCGTGGTTAAAGCTGTGCAGGGTATTCCAAGCCAAACTATGTTTTCCCCGTCCTTCCAGAGTCAGAGAAGCCCTAAACTAATGAGAACATCGTGTGCCCTAAACTTTAACCAAGAACCTTCAGAGCCTAAAGTGAGGGGGAGATGGAGAACAGTTCCAGAGCACCTCTCCCACTTTGCTTCCTCAGAAAGTGGTTGATGCAGTATCTGCTAAACAGCCAGAAAAATGCGTGCCAAAAGATGGAGAAGCCTCTAGAACAACATGATGGAGGTAGCTGCTTAAGTTGCTGTAAAATTAGATCGGATGCTACTGCTTCATCACGTTTCCAAGTTGAGATGTTCAGACACTCTTGGACTTTTACATCATTCACACGGGTTTACTGTAGATTCAAGAAGTGCAAGAGAGAACAATTTAATACAGTGGAATTCATCATGAAAATCTAACTGTCAAAGTTTACACGATAAAACTCAATGGTGAACTTTGTGAAGAGCTTTAAAATATCCCACAGCAAAAGAAACAGACACCATGACGTCTGATCACTCAAGGAAAGCATTACAACTGAAGCTTGGATCAAAGTTTTTTTTTTATATAACCTGTAAAGTCAATGTCAAATGTGCTTCAAAGTTCTTCGAGTCATGATGGAGGTTGGTCAAATTCTCCTCATACCAAAGCCTTGGCACAGAGACTCACCACTTTGTTAAACACACATAATCGTCCCCAGTACTGAAATGACTAAAGTACTCAACTTAGTTCACAAAGCCTCACTCAAAATTATGCAAGAGCAGTAATAAATGGGAATGATGGCAGAGAGGTGTGAGGCTGCGCCTCGACTCTGTCACAGACTTCTTTTCATTTTTACGACGCACTAAGGGAGTTGGCTCCCAAGGTTGAAGTTCCACCACTTTATTGCTGGTGTCAAATATGATATCATTCTCTTTTATCGCCCATCATCAAGGAGGTAGCATCCCTGTGGCATTTAAAGCTGCAGCACGGAGGAGGAGGAGGAGGGCCGGGAAGCCTGGAGGCTGCCTGGCATGAGGAAGTCTCTGAGACTTATCTTTATTAGCTCCCCATAACATGCGCTGACACGTGCAATAGTGCAATGGCGAATGCGTGCACAAATCATTAAGTAAGCAGGCAGCTCCTAATGCACGCCAGCATGCCACATGTACATTATACAGACATGGAGATGTCCATGGACACACCGATCTGTGGCCAGTCAGTCAGCGCCGTACTGACACTGAGGTGAATTCAATTTATGCCTCAATAGCATGGACAGCATCCTTCCTAGTCTTTCTCCATTAAAAATTCGATATGCTGCCATGTGAGAGCTTTCAAACAATTGAAATATGATGATTTCAAATCAGGTGACAGCTGCAGACACAGATCATCTGCTCAAACAATGAAAAGCCTCCAAACGCTTAATACTCAGGCCCTCAGGTTTAACAGGGCTAAATAGACTCAGGCATTTTGATTCACTCTAGCCTCATAAAAGATTATTTCTCTGCATATGCACCGCAGTATAGTTAGAAGGTGCTTTGTGCATAAAAGAAAGCAGTACAAATACAAATTGCTCATCAACAACAAAATAACCAGCAATTATGGGGAATGGAGTCATTGTTGTAGTAATTGCTCATGCAACAGCAACACACCCTTTTTTTAATGAAATGTTTTTGAGTTCCAGTTCAACTAAAAAATTAAAAAGAAAAAAAGAAATAAATCTAACTTTTTCTGTTTATCTTTTTTTTTTTAAACCACGATGAACATTTTTAAAAACTGCATGATTTTTCATTATTTTGGTCAAACTTTAAAAATGTAATTCTAAAACAAAGAGCAAATTTAGATATAGATTTGATACAGACTTATGAAAGGCAGCACATGAAAAGGATGAAGACTTCAGGTAAAAAACAAAAAAAGAAACTAAAAAAACTCAACATTAAGAATATGATGATGGATTCATCTTTCCCTTCTCTGCAAGATTGATCCTTTTTCTGACTTTCCTGCTCATCCCAGAGTTTAATGTGGAATTATGGACATGTGTTCACAGCTGTTCTAACCCCATGGAGGGAACTCAAACCATTTTTGGACCGTGTGGGAGAAAGTCAACAGACCACGGCAGATTGATAGATATTTATACTTTTTAGTGTGATGGCTCTTTTAAACTTAAATACATGAATGTCAAAAACAGAGTAATTCAACATAAAGTCCAATGCAATAGTCAGATTCGTAAGGGAAAAGTGTATTTCCTTTCTTTTATGGTGGCAAATGTGTTCAAACCAACGTGTGCTATTCATAGCAGGCCATAACCTCGACCATATTCTCTCCTCAGCTTTGGTCTAAATGTTAGACTCGAAAAACTGCGTAAGTTGGAATGAGCAAATCTGAGCAGTAACTTGATGGAGAGAATCTATCTATCATTGCTACTAGTCATTTACCCCAAATAGAGGAAATCTGTTTGAAAAGTTATTGAATTTTCCAGAGACGGATGGGTTTTCGGGCTTTTGGGTGGGAGACTAAGTCTGGATTCCAGACTAACTGCTGTAAGTAAATACCTGACAAACCAAGAAGTGAGCGCAGAAATGTCGACGCACACACCTTCCAGCTGACTGCTAGCATCCCATTGACCCTCTGCGTCCTTCCTCCCAGCCAGCTGCCTCTCTGCTTAGAGCAGCACTTCAGATGCCCGGTAAGATCGAGCCACGCCATTACCTCTGCCATTAATCAGGAGAAATGGTTAGACCCGGCCGGCTGAATTATTGTGAATTGTAGGAAAGCAAGACGCTGCTCTAACGAGGTTAGGGCTACAGTACTTGTCTGGCCGGTGAGGTGTTAGAAGTGGAAGAGAAGCAAAGAGTGTGTTTATGTAGGGAACGGGTAGGGAGGGGGCCGGGAAAGGTGACGGCCGGGAGGATAAAGGGGGGAGCTTTGTGGAGAGCGGAGAGCAGAGCAGCGATGCATTGAGAGCAGCAGTTCACAGTCCCCCTTCGGGGGTCTCCTGCCTCTTACGCCGGCCCTCCCGATGCCCGCTACTCCATTAATCACACTGATGCATCGCACTGGTCCGGGAGGCAGAGAAAACAACACAACTGGATAACCTGCTGGCTCCTCCGACTATGTTTGTGTGGGGGAAAAGCCTTCATCACAACAGGACAAGTCTGCCTTAGACCGTTAGTGCTGAACAAAACCGGGTGTTAAAGGTTCAGTTCCCCGCAAATCAGCAAATCTTTACCGATCCCTCACATGTTGGTCAGAATGCATTACGGCGCATTTGGGGGGAAAAAACAAACCCAGCACATCAGCTGGGTTATGATCTAGGCTGGTTCAGTCCCACCGCTGAAGCTGGGCTCAAACTCCAAACAGAAAGGTCCCGGCTCCCCAGGGGACTTGAACCGAGAACCCACTTGCTGTGAGGCGACGGTAACCATCACACCATCATGCCGCCCCCCTCCCCCCATGAACAACAAAGAAAGGATGAACTGAGTGAACAAACATCCATAGATTTCTCGCTTTTAGTACCCCCGCCCGATGAAACCACTTAAACGACATTCCGTCTGACAATTTAACCGAAAACTCGCCGGAAAATGTGACAATTTCCACCCCTTGTTCTCGCCTGAAAAGCTCTGAACGTGGCGGCGGCCTGGTGCAGGTCGCCGGGGAGACGCAACAGCTTTCCGCAAAGTGCATAAGTTAAGACGCCGATTCCTTTGTGTGCTTTATGTGCAGGTACACTATTGATCGGCGCACAGACATGGACAGAGTGTTCAACATCCATGCCGGCAACGGGTCAGTGTTTACACTCAGGGAGCTGGACAGAGAGGAGAACGCCTGGCACAACATCTCTGTCATCGCCACGGAGTTCAGTAAGTGCAAACAGCGGGACGGGCAGCAGACGCTGCTCCTCACATACACTGTGTCCTCTCATTCTGTCAGACAAATTGGATTTTTGGAGGTGACAGGAATCCACGGATGTTGAAGTGACACGTTGGCTGGTGGCTGGTGTTTGTCTTCCAACCTTGAGCCGCGCTCGTACAAGATGAATTCCAAAAACCAAATAGAAAAATCGAGCCATTAATTTGCCTTTTTTTTAAAATTTCATTTGCCAGCGTAAGACATTTATCTCAGCGGTCCTTTCTGGTTCCCAGCTGGTTTTATTTTACCAGCAGTTATTAATTGAATGCTTCTTTAAAACCTGGAATTTGCTTGCAAAATACCAAATTACTTCTGCTTTGCTGTTTTGGAGATTAGTGTAATTTTTTTTTTCATGGATACAACTATGCTAGTTGGGGTTAGTATTAGAAGTAATTAATTTGCCTGGACACACACCTTAAAATTGCTCACATTGCTCCAGAACTCCACTTGTGTTTAGAAAAATAATTATCAGTGAAATGTCTCTGTGTCCACATTTGTGTTTCCTAGACAACCCACGCCAGATCAGCCGTGTGGCTGTGTACATCAGAGTGCTGGACGTCAACGACAACGCTCCAACATTTGCCACCAATTACGAGACGTTCGTCTGTGAGAACGCCAAGGCTAATCAGGTTGGTTATTACTGGACACAAAGGCGTCGTCATGGTTTCATCTGGACCTCTACGTTTTTGGATTATGTATCCACTACCAGCTCAGCATGTAATTACCAGACCTCAGACAGAATTTATAAGTGGCCCACATGTGCGCTCTAAGCCTCGATGCAGTCGCTTCTTGGGACCGGAATAAAAATGAATAAATAAAATAAAAGGAAAAAGACATAATTTTCTCCTCCCAGAAAAAACGTAAAAAGCAAAGAGCAGATTCACAAGTGAATTATACCGATGCACATCTGACATTTGTTCAAAGTTCAAAGCCTGCACAGTTCTGGTACTGAGTTAAGAAAAGGTTTCAGGGTCTTATGTAACATTGTGTTTTATTACGATCACTGCAGTGTTAAAAAACAAAACAAAACAAAATGCAAAGGAACATTCATATATTTGTGACTTTTTTTATTGACTTATTTTTTTACATATTATACGATTATAATGTATCCATTGTATGCAAGAAAAACTGTCTGGATTAAATTCAGGGGGGGGCTTTTATCATTTTGTAAGGATTTTCTTTTCTTTCTATACATCTTTTTTCTTCATTACCATTCAACACTTCAATTTTTGTCTATATCAATCCACATTGGCCTTTAATTTAGATAAGCAGCATGTTTCTTTATTCCAGCAGTTAACCAACATGCAGCAATTTTACTGGAGCTTTCTTTAATCAGATGGTATGTAACTGGGATTGATAAGCATAGATTAATTTCTTTTTAATAGGTTGATATCAGTGAATTATGATTGCAAAGGTCACAGGTCGGTAAGGCCAGAGGCTGTAAAATGATCATCCTCCTTTGTGATCACCCTCGCTCATTGAATTTTTTCTCTTTTTCCTTTGTTTGCGTTAGTTGTGTGTTAGTTGCTTACCGTTCTGCCTCATTTTCAGAGGATACAAACGGTGAGCGCCACTGATCCCGACGAGCCTGTGGGGGGACATCGGTTCTTCTTCAGCCTGGCGCCGGACGCTGTGGGAAAGGCCAACTTCTCCGTCCGTGATAACAAAGGTATACACTCATCCATACTTACAACTTTTCTTTTTTTTTTTTTTCTAATCTCACATTTTATTCAGGCAGGTTCACGGTTTGATTTTCTGTTTTCAGACAACACGGCGTGGATCCTCACACGCAGGAACAGCTACAACAGCCTGCAGAAGAGCATCTACCACGTGCCGGTGGTGATTTCTGACGGAGAGTTCCCCATGCAGAGCAGCACCAACACGCTGACCATCAGAGTGTGCACCTGCGACCGGGAGGGCAACATGAAGCTTTGCAATCCCGAGGCGCTCACTGCCAGGGCGGGGCTCAGCACCGGAGCCCTGGTGGCCATTTTGCTCTGTGTCATCATTCTGCTCAGTGAGTTTCGTCTTTTCAGCCTTGGTTTTGTTTAACAAGCACACTCAAGAGCTTGTTACCACTGCAGCCTGAGCTCTGGCAGGTGTTCAAGAGGCAGTTTGGTACTTCCCTCCCTTAATTTGATTCCTTTTTTTAGCGGGTGAATCATGTTGCCTGTGACCACAGCTGTCATAATGATTTAGTTTGAACAGCAAAGATCTACAGGCTTTTCAGATGGCTGAACAACAAAAACCCTGAACTAAAATGCACTTTACATTTTAACTTTGGAGAGAGGAGTATTTTTAGAATAATACCAACCATGTGAGCCGTGTAGAAATTGTACAGCCACATCTTACAAACATGAGAGGCAACAATGGCTGATCTGAAAGCAATTTCATTAATTCAAACTAACCAGTCGCACTGTAATGAGGGTAAAAAGAACCAGGTTAAAAGGATAACAATATCCTTTAAGACAGTACTTTTTCTACAGTAATAATCCTGTTTGCGGTGGTCCAGAATGGTCAGAATATGAGCCGCCACACTGGGAATTCAGATTGCTTTCCCTTTAGGAGAGAAAACAGATGGAGGGTCTTAAGCTCGGAGCCTTCGGCCAGCATCATGTGACCTGTCCTGATTGCAGCTGCATTGCTTGTGTGATGTTTCGATGTCATGTGATATGCGGCTAGAGCCTGACAAACATTTCATTTCTTATCAACGGCCATTGTTTGAGAACCATCACCGATCAAAGAAACTCAGCACTTCGAGAATGAGCAGCTGCATTTACAGACCCTAAGGAATAATATCCAGAATTATTAGACCGCACTGGAGTTCTGTACATGAATGTAGAATTGATCAAATGATTAAGTTAAATGAGCTGCGGATCACATCATCCCTCAGACGCCGTAGCAGTGTTTGGAGCGCGCTGTGTGTTCATAAACCGGGTTCTTTCATGTTGTTTAGCAGCAGTGGCCCTGAGCAAGCAGAAATACATAATGCATCCTTGTGTTGGCAGAGCCTGTTCTACAAAGTCAGACAAAGTCCCTGAACATCACTGAACACTCATGCAACATCAGCTATTCCCCCCGGACAGTCGATGGCCTTCAGAACAAGGAGAGGGAGCAAAGAAAGCCCGGCAAAAGTCACCCAAACCATCTTATTTGTTCTCTTTGTTTTTTGTTCTCCTTCGCAGTGATCGTGGTGCTGTTTGCTGCCCTGAGGAGACAGAGGAAGAAGGAGCCTCTGATCATCTCCAAAGAGGATGTCAGAGACAACGTCGTCAGCTACAACGACGAAGGGGGAGGAGAGGAGGACACTCAGGCCTTTGATATCGGCACTCTGCGCAACCCGGAGGCCATCGAGGAGAGCAAACAACGGAGGGACATCGTCCCGGAGACCTTCTACCCCCCCGTCCGACGGCCCGCGCTGCCCCCGGCCCGGGACAATAACGGGGACGTGAGAGACTTCATCAACCAGAGGCTCCAGGACAACGACAGCGACCCCACGGCCCCGCCGTACGACTCCCTGGCCACCTACGCCTACGAGGGCAACGGCTCCGTCGCCGAGTCCCTCAGCTCGCTGGAGTCGGTGACCACCGAGGGCGACCAGGACTACAACTACCTGAGCGAGTGGGGGCCCCGCTTTAAGAAACTGGCGGACATGTACGGGGGCGACGACAGCGACAGGGATTCCTAACGAGAGCCCGGAGACACACGGAAAGAGCGGTCGAACGCGTCTAAAAAAACTCTGACAGAGAGAGGAGCACCAATCCCCCGCCTCGGATCGCCGTCCAGCTGCCGCTGCGGGGACCAGACGTAGGCTTTGTGCGTCCAGTCAGTGTTAGTTGCATCTTCGCAGGGACGCAGTTAAAAGAGACTTTGTGTCAAGACTTTTTTTTTTTGTTTGTTTGTTTTTTTTTTTTTTGTTGTGTGTGTATATGGGGTGTACACCAGGCCCAAAAATATCTATACCGATGATGTTTTTTTGCTTGTTTTCTCCAAAGCTGCCTGCGGTGGAATCTCAACAAGCAGTTTTGTAAACCAACAGATATGCCTACGTATTTTTCAGTGTTTCTGGGACAAAAACATGCTGCATATTGTGAGTTCTATCTTAGCTTGTGTGCGTACGGTAATATGATACAATTTCGCTGTACAGTTGTTTTTTTCTTTTCTTTTTTGTAAGGGTTTCTATCTTGCAAATAATCCCCCTCTTTAGAAGCATCCACCTGACAGTAACCTCCCTCCCACAAACACAGCAGTGTGACATTTGTACACTATGTGATTATCATCTCCACTCAGCTTTGAGCTTTGGCTGTGAGGGGAGCTCAAATACCAAATATTTCCTTACTGAGGTGAATGTTGTTGGAGCCACCTCTTCGGGTGGCTGAAAAATGAAGTGCGCAGAATAATGTGCTCATTTCTATGCTAAATTCATAGACTTAATAAGGAAAATACTGGTCTTGCTGGACTTTTTTGCTCTCTTCACAAAGCCACATCTCCCTCTGCCTGGTGAAAGATCAGATTCAACATTCATGTGGGTAATTGTTAGAATCCATAGAAAAATGTGGTTTTATTCCTCTCATTGGTTCATTTTTACCTTTTTATTCATGAGAAGGATAGTTAACGTTAGAATTAATAGTCCGAGCAGTTGGTAAATAAAAGACAAAAACATCATTCGTTTGTAAAGTTTCTGTGACTAAACATTGTGATGATTCAATGAAGTTGCCTTAAATGAAGAGAAAGCAAATCTGCACCATATACGCAATGTAAACTCTCTAGAAGATCTGGATTTTTGGGGTCAGACCACTCTCAAAAGGAATACCATGCCTGAGTGTGTACACTAAAAAGCGATTAGGGCATGATGTTTTTCCACACTTTCAGGAGGAAATCTACATTGTGTCCTGAGAGAGGCTCTGCGCTGTGCAGTGGAATGTATAATAAAGTAGTAGTGCTGTAACGGAAATGTGCCAAAAAGCAAAGAACACCAGTATTTCCCTTTGAATAGCCTCCACCACTGTGTAGGGTACGCCGTTCTGGAGCTGGACCCTGGACCAGCCATTAGATTTTCTGTGGGACTGACAGCTTCTCTCATAAAGATGTTTGTTCATCAGGGGAGACCTGACCTTTAAACAGAGCAGAATTAGATTTTTAAACCCAGATGAAGGTTGGAGCACTGATGAGGACGGACGACGGTCTCATTTTAGAGGTGATTTAGTGTACAAAACAAAGCGAAAAGAAACCATTCTCAAGTGGCAATGTTGGTAAATTACCCCTAACATTACCCTTAAAAGCTCATAACTGAGCAAAAAGCTTTGTGAAAATCAGGAGTTTGAACTTAAAAAACACACCGACTACAACATGCTCTGCCCCCACTTTACCGAAAGGTCAACCTGTGAAGAGGCTGACATTTGTCAGACCTTTCATGCAGTAATATCCCAACACAATGGTGTAATTGTCACAGTGCTACTTTTCCCTCTCCATGAGCAGCAGTGCAGGCCATTAAACAAGCCGACTGATTACACGGTGGTTGCAAAGCTCTACGTGCAGCTATTGTATACATGTGTTCTTTTCTTTGCCGCGCTGTTTTGTTTATTAGCTTGTTGCTGGAGCCCCCAATGTGCGAGTGGCCATTTCAGACCGCCACAGTGTTGCTAGAATGAGCATTTAATGGGTTTCGAAAACCCCCTTCACTGTAAAGAAAACCACTCGTCCGCCTCGTGGTGCAATGTGAGGTCTCAAATGGAAATCAACACAACACATTTTTCTTTGGTCTTCATAATTGTCCGGGTTCACACGGGGTGTCGGCATATCTGCTCCATCACGGAGCCGAGCTTGTGTTTTCCTATGGAGCGAAACTGCCTCCCAGCACAGGGTGCTGCAAGTCCATTTTCTTTCTTTCGTGTTGAGGACACTCGGTGGAGGCTCTGAAGTCCCTTCCCCACCAGATGCAGTAGATCTGTGGTTGTTGATGTGTAGATGCGGTCGGCCTCGGGAGCTCGCCTCTACCACGCTATATAATATATTGGTGGCAATGTTATTGAACTGTTGAGTTTTGTCAAAGTAGAAACAATCTGAGGGGTAGTGGTAGTGTAAAAGGGGCCCTGCATCACTGGCCGTTCATCAATCTGCTTTGTAAACCGTGATATTTTGTACTGAATATTTATATGACACAATTAAACATGTTTAAAATCAGCCTGTCGACTTTTTGTTTAGATTTTCTTGCAGAATAATAAAAGGCAGCCTTGATGGAGTAATACTTATCCCCTTCCTCTTAGGAGAGAAAACTTTAGTTTGAAATGTGACGGCAGCCACAGGCTACCAAGATCCACTCTCAACACCCTCACAGGTATGTATATATTATCTACAATAAATATTACTATAAAAGACTCAACTCAGCGGCAGATAGTTATTAATATGTCGGCAGCTGTTAAATAGCTAGATCCAGAGGCTACTGAGCTGAGGAAATTGTTAATTAGACAATCTATAATTAAGATCTGCTAGACAGTCAGTCGGCTTTACAGAGAGGTTAAAAAAGGATGGAACGGGAAAGGAAAAAAAAAAAGAGTCAAATTTTGATTATTAGAGGATGAGTGGCAGATGTGAGGCAGATGGTGACACTGTGGTGACGGAGTATAATTGAGTCAACCCTTTTAAGTGCTTTAGGAATGGATGAGGATGACAAAGAACGCAAAAAACAATCTGATTCTCGACTATTTGCAGCAGATGAGAAAACTTTATTTACAATTTCAGCTTTCATGGTTCACTTAGCATTTTGTATTCAACTTTTATTTTAAAAAAGTGCCTTCTTTCACGTATTTGGCGCGTTTCAGTATCTCTGTAAGGCCCACATTTGACGGTGCTACAGCACAAAACAAAGACTTCAACTGTTTTCAGTCCCTTTTCTAATTATTTATGATCAACCCTCACCCAAAACTCATCTATGCCTATAATTTGTGCTCAGCTATGGCACTCAAACTCGTCTGACCAGCTGTTCCTTCTGCTTCTGATTGGCTCCTCTTCCTAAATCCAGCGCTGTCACTTCCTGCATTCCTCCACCTCGTCGGTCTCCTTCTCCTGCCGCTCCCGCTCGCGTCTCATCTCCTTCAGCTCCTGTCTGTATTTCCGCTCGATGAAGCGCTTCTGATGAGCCATCTGTGGGAAGTTATCTGGTACAGGGAGAGGCAGAGCGGGAAACACAGACGCCGACAAACGAGAACAGATAAAGAGAGAACACAGAGGCAGGGGTGTGATGAGACAAGGTCAGTTTCCAACAGGGCGAGGACGGAAAATCAGGACTCAAATTGTACTCATCACGGTTTTGAAAGCTCGTGTCGTGCTGTCACTTCGGTCAAATGTGAGCAATGTTTAAGGCTATATTGTGATTAAATTGCCCACATGTAGCTAATTCATTAATAATGATGAAGTAACAAGACATTAGACGGGCTTTGTTTGGTTTCAACACACTGAATATGAGATCTGATAGCATAATTACAAGTGAGCACTTCTAAATGAGATCTGTAAGAATGCGGCGCAGTGTGTCAGCAGACCAGACAAAGAACTGGCAGATTTGTTCTGTAAAAAAAAACAAAAAAAAAAACTGTTGCGTGATTTTCCACAAAAAAGACCCCTCTCAAAGCAGCTACCACTCGGTTTTCATGCAGTAAAACATGACCGCAGCTTTGACCACTAATTCCCAACAAGGACAGATTTTGAAGCCTGCATTTGGATTTGAAGATCGTGGCCAACTTGGCTGCCACCATTTCTAAATCTGATGAAACACATTATGAGCCTGAGTCAAAATGATGAGTGGGAGCCATAACCACTCTACAGGTTAGGATTTTTTTTTTCAAGCAGAGAGAAGCAGTCTAAAGTTGGTAAACCTTCCATGAAAGTCCTCTTTAGGTGCTGTGAAATGTGTGGGAGGCATACTTAAAAAGATGTCACAAAGCACTAACTGCTGAAATAATAATTATCAGAACAAGCTCAAAAAATACTGATGGATACGAGGAATGTAAAAAAGGTGACTTCCATTCAGGGCTGAGGAGTGAACACAATTGCAACATCAACAATTCCTGCTTGAAGTTCCACTGATTCACGCGTTGCGTGTCAAAAAACGCTTTTAACCAAAGAGATGGAGCCTCACAATCCAGCGAAAGAGCAGGAAAAATTAAATTGTATATTTGGAACAAGCAAACACCATCTGCCAGCAGAGCTTTAATGGTTAAAGTCTCAAAGACCTTTAGAAGATCATTTTAAGATAAAAATACATCCTAAAAGTTACCAGAAACTCAATGACAGGAGGCTAAAAGAGTAGTAATGTGCAATATTTTCTTTGTTCTTGTTAAAAGTCTGACAGCTGAGTTCTCCACAGTCTGGAGACGAATGCTTCATATTTGGTGAAAAGGCTCTTGTAATGGCTAGGTCATGAAGAGATCAAAACATGTAGAAGGGTCTTTGAAAGACGGAGCAGATTGTATTATAGAAACATTTCTGAGACTACAAAAACATGACTTGACAAGTCTAACATGACTGGGCACCAAAGGAGCTTCTCAGACTGACTTGGTCTTCAGAAGCTGAAGTGGAGAGGATCTCACTGTCAAAAAAGGTGCAATCAGTGAAGTCTGCAAACTGTTTGAGGATTTCCACCATCCAACTTTAATAATATCACCAACATATTCTGAGGATCTGGAGATACATCTGTCCACAGGGTACGAGGCCGAAAAATAACTCTGAGCTACGTGAACTCTGCATGCTTCTTTAAAAAAATGAAATAAAATAAATTAAATAAAAAATCTCATTTTGTTGTGAAAATGAATCCATGACTCCAAAACTCTCAGGAAAATTACTAAACACTATTCATCTATGCGTATGTACAATGATCTGCAATGCAAATGAAGATGAGCTGAGGTGAGTGAACACTGTACTATAGCCTGGTCTAAATTTGTTGTTCTTTTACTTAGAATTAGGCATCGTCTGACTTATTACACATACACCTGAAAAGCCAGTGAGTGTTATGGCATGAGGGTGCAACAGAACACATTGCAGCAGAAATCTGCACACAAGTCATAATCTGACATAGGCTGCTAGTCCAAGTCAAGGTGCTAAACGGAGCTGTGGAGCATTCAGAACCCATAGAGAAAGTATTAGCTCACTTTGGCTTTAAAGCCAAAGTGCTGTCGCCCTGTTGGTCTTTTTCAGGTGTGCGCACCTCAGTTCAGAACAGCATGCCTGACAGCTGCCCTGTGGTTTGTGCACGTTTGACTGTGTGGCTTTGATTTTTCCAGTCACAAACCACGACCATGCAAACTGTGTGCAAATCAGTCTATTAAAAAGGTTGTAGGGAGGGCGCTTGTAATGAAAAAATAGGCCGATAACGATCCGTAAAGAAATAATTGACTCTTTTGTCACTAATAATTCAGCATGCTTTTTAAAATCTGGCTTTAAAATATAAAAAGGAGTTTTAGAATCTTTACTTTTGATCAAAGCTGAATAAAATGGACAAATATACATTCATTCAAAAAACTTGCTTACAAAAATGCTTTACTGAGAGGAATGTGTATAAAACATGACTACCAAGCTGCATAGAGTCAAAACAAATTAATATATATTACTGTTTGAATATTTAAGCATCTAAATACTAAGTTTTAATCACACCATTATCTTCTGATAAACACAACATTTTAATTATTACTTTTGCACAAAAGGATGATTCACAGCTAATTATAGCCAAAATGTAGGAGTGAATATTTAAGATATTCCATGCATCTAGATTGTGTACTAAAGGCCTATAAAAGTTTGTTATTGATTTTCCAATCAAAATTATTCACTGCAAGACTTTAAACAACCTGGACTGCTTCATTAGAGCGCATATTGAAAAAAGAAAGTTAAAGAGAAACTTTGAGAGCTAAAGGACAAAGATAGTTTTTGTGATGGTAACAGTGAAAGGTTAAGGATCACCACCAACACCTGCATTATTTTTCACCTGGTAGATTTGAAAAATTTTAATTAGAGACGGCTGAGATCAATGGATGACTGTTGTCATTAAACCTTTTTAAATATTAGCTAGAAAGTATTGGCAACAAAAACAAAAAGACATTCCTGATAACCTGACTATTACTGGTAGTTTTTGGTGTTCAGGCCCACTTTCACTGGTTTGATTTAAACACAAAGCCCATTTCACCTGTTACCACCTGACTTGCTGGCCGAAAGGAGCATCAGGCACATAACAACTGCCTCAAACCGCTTCTGTTCGTTCAACACGCCCATGGACAACAAAGATCTCAAGAATGTGAGAACAGACCTATAGTTTACTAAATACGGATTGATTCCCACCCTCCCCCGCTGCCATGCTTAATGTGCCAACAGCTCAGCTGCATCGTCGGCGAGGGATATATATAGTGTGACAATGTAAGGGACGCGTTCGCAATTAAAGTGTTGCAATCTACCAAAAATATAAACAAAATATGCGCGAAAAAAACTGCGTCTTAATATCATGTTTATAATACACTTTTGCTAATAAATGAAAACATTATCTATTGGGAATGAAAGTGTTTGTACAATTAAAATCAGCTCTTTACAATCTTGTTTAAGAAGAACGAAATAAAGAAATCAATGTATATATGTGGATTGCATTAACTGTGTTTGACTGGTCATAAACTTAAAACCAAACGAAGCTGTTAAAAAATGTTTTTTTTTAAAGATCTTCATTTAATGTGTAAAGTTTCGTATTTAATCAGGGATAATTTTGTCTTTTAAAACAATTCAGATGTGAATATTTAGAGAATTTGTTGACTGAGCACTCATTAACTTTTGATTTAATTAAAAATCTTAAAGTTCTCTTTTTTTCCAAAGGTTTTCATTTAATTTCATCCACGTTCTTTAAACCGTGATAGCAGAAGTCAGCTCGAGCTCTGGGAAGCGGTAAGGTCGCGTTTAGCATTTTCTGTCAGATTAAGTCTCGAACTGTAATTGGCTTCAGCCTTGTTTTGAGAATAACACGTTTTTCAAGCGATGTTCATGATAGTATAGAACCAGTTAATGTAATCAAAATTCAAAAGCCGCCTATAATGTGAGACACTGTCAAAAAGTGCAATTTACATATAGTGTGCATCTGACTTCTGGTGAGAAAAGGATAATGTATTCTTCCTCTTGCAACACTCTAATTTGTCATTATGGCAACAGAGAGGAAAAGTGCATGATAACGGCAGCATCCTATTAAAATGAGAGGGATCAAGTAAAAGGAAATCCTGAGGAAAAAGCGTGTTGGAGGGAAAAAAAACACGTGAATAAACTCACACAGTGTAATTCTTTTGGCAGGTAAGCAACACTTGGTGGGCCTTGAAGAGAAAAACTACATATTGCAGTTAAAATATGGAAATCACCAGCATTTTCTCTGGGAGATGACTTGAGAATAAGCCACTCAAAGGGGAAAAAAAAGAGAAAGATTTGGCCATTTACATTGTTTAACATGCAGCACCAGAGCAGTCGTCAAAGAATGAGGTTGCTACAGAATACACACAGTCTTTCATTTCAGTTTTGTGTCGGGAATCACAAAAGCATATTGAGAGTTCTGCAGAAAAGCACCTTTGAGGAACGGTGCTTTTTGCATACTGATCACAGATAACGTGCTGGTGTACTGTGTTTTATTTTATTTTTTATTTTTTTACTTACTGACAACGATGTTAATCCTCTCAAAGGGAGAGGTTGTTTGTGACGGGCACTGGCAGTCGGAGTTCGGGCGACAACGCAAATGTTTTTTGCCGGCGGACAGAAGCACTGAAATAAGTGCTCACACACCAGCTGGATGTGGATTATCTGACGAAGGATCAGCTTCTCCTTTAAGGGGCTTGGGGAACATGCGGCGTTGTTTCACTTGTGCATTCAGGATTCAGCCTGGACTCAGGCTGTGAGGCGGCTGTACACCAGGCTGAGTCCATCACACGCACCACATCAGTCAACAGGCCCACAGTGTTCATGTACGACTGTGCTGATGAAGGGATTTTCCTGCCATGCCAAAGGGCAAACAAAACATTCAAGGCACTGAATAGACTATGCATATTGCACTTTACTTTGCCTCTATCCCTCCGATGTTTTTATCCCGAGATTAAGAGGTTTATAGCAGCTGAGGGAAGAATGTAGTTCCCTTTCAGCAACAACCAAATGGAGGCTCTTTCTCTTATTCAACAGATATTGCATTGTTTGAAAAACAAGCAGCCCCAGGGTTTTTTCCCCCAAGCTGGGGAAAAAGGACGGGGGGGGGGGGTAAGCCGTGTCTAAGAACTGCCTGTTTAAAGTCTCCAATCTCCTTATATCTAAAAGGATGAATGATAAATGGCTGAGTTGGTTCCATGTGCATTTAGTGTGGCCTTAGAACAATCGGTGCATGGAGCTTTAGGAGGCCTCGGAAACTCCCCGCCATCGACTTCAGTGGGCTCCACTCGCCTACCTGGCTGCTCTCATCTCGATTTGTTTGCACTCATGTTTCTCCCAGCCTGAGCCTTGGTTAACATTTAATTCTGCCTTGACAGATACAGGCATTAGACTGTCAAAACACAGGCCATCAAGTAATGAAATGTGAATCAGCCCGAGCCACCAGCGGATCGGCTACAGACAGCGTGAGCGCAAAATATCGGGCCGCGGTCTCTTTAATGAGCTCTGAGCTGTCTGACTGAACACAGCCATGTCTCTCACCTCTCCGACATCGCTGAAGCCACGGATTCTGTCAGCCAGGAAGAAGCTTTTTTTTAAACAAAAAAGTTCAATCCTGCTCAAAGTGCTGCTCATACTGGAGGAGGCTTTAAATAAAACATGGAAATGAATCCTGACACGCTGCGGGGAGGTGTTTTCGATCACAGCGACACACGGCAGGCCTGCTGTACAAGAGGAGTAATGGTGTAGCTGCACCGAGGACCAATAAGACAATCAATGACGAATTACATGACACCAGGGTTAATGTCCTTGATTAGTCCTACTATTTGAACAAATGAAGCCGGAGCCTTGACAATCACAGTGGAAATAACGCCGCTCCAACAGGAGCTGATGTGTCAGTGGCTTCGGCAGCACGAGCTCAGGTCTCATTATATGAGCTGATATCAGGAGACAAACAAATCCTTTAAAAGCATGTTTGAACCAGGCAGAGTGATCATGTGCACTTGAACCTATAATTGTTTAAAAGCCTTGTGTGTTTTCTACAAGAGGTTGTTTGACATCAGGGCAACAGAATGTTTTTCCTCTGCCAGATTTTCAATTCCAAATCCAAAATTTAACCATGAATTCCAAATTAGTTTATTTTTTGTAAATGTGAGTCTTGTTTGTAACCTTCAGCAACTCATGTTGTGATCATAACACCCACTAAGTGCTCTACATTAGCTTACAAGACCCAAGACAGAGCTTCTTGAATACAACTGGGTAACTTTTGGATAAATCTATGAGCAGAAATGTAAATGTGGGAAATAAGTTGGTTGCAATCAGCTGTTTATGCCACCGGATGTCAGGAAAAACTAAATTCTACAATGATGACGCCAAAAAGGAATTCAGAGGACCTCTTTGTGCCTGGTGATGGACCACATTTGGGTTATGATCTGGGATCAAACTAAATCTAATTATATTCTTAGATTATTAGATTTGTATTATATCATTGGAATTGCAACTAATACCACCCAAGTCCTGATACTTCTTTAAGTATAAAGGCGAAAAAGTGCAATGCTACAAACGCAGAAATGTATTAAGCCGTCTTTTTACTCTTGGGCATACAAGTAACATATGTCCTGTGTGAAAGAAGGGATTTTGTGAACATAAAATTATTGTTATAACATTATGTATTATATTCACGCACTTCTAAAGCAATGAAAAAACAAAAGTCCTTGATTTATCAGGAATCTGAACATTATTCAGAAAGCCCTACAAATAAAGAGTATATCGAGCTGACGGGTGATGGATTCAAATTAAGTGACAATACAAAGCCCTCAGACAAGGCATTTTGCACTATTGGAAGGAGGACTTGAGATGATTTTAAATTAACTGACCTTTTAAAAGGCATCGCTAATCTAGTCACATGAACAGCAATTTATGAGGGGGGGAAATGTTCATTTACTAGCAATGAGCGTCTATCAATCATGGTGACAGAGGAGTACACTGGGGAGAGGAAATAGGAGGAATTAAAGGAGAGAGGAAGACATGGGAGAGAAAGAGAGAGAGAGGGAGAGGGAGAGAGAGAGAAAGGGAGAGAGAGAGTGTGCAGCGAACTATGCCCCCTGAAAGGAGGGAGGGAGTCAGAAACAGACTGAGAGAAGGAACTTAAATTAAATTAAACACCCCAACACTAATGTTTCATAAAAAAGCTAAAGCCTGAGTGCACAAACAGTATCAATCACAAGTGGCTGGAGGCCTCGTTGATGAGCCAAATAAAATCAAAGTTTGACCTTCCTAACCTTTGCCAGTTCCACAGGCCTGTTCCAACAAAGCCATTTGTACTCACCTCCAGCTAATTAGCCAAGTAAAGAACAAAATGTACATTTGATTAATGTGGGGGTCACATGGACGGCAAGTGGAATTCAGTCCAAAAATGCTTTTCTGCACACACTCAGTGTAGGCCAGTGTTCGTTTGCATTTGTAAGCACAGAGGAAAAGAGATGAGTGGGAGATGATGGAAAAGGGTGGTGGATGTGTTTCTGAGAGGCCTGTAATTGTGTTTTTGCTTGGCAGCGAATGAGACGTAGTGATCGCCTAAAAAACTGCCATCCATTCTCCTTAACTGGTTGTTGATGAAAAGACAATCACCAGATGAAAATAAGCCAAGGAGTGAAGCAGTGCAGCAGCACTGGGGACGCATCAGGCGCACTCTGAAGAGGAGCACCGAGCACATGAGTTTGTAACATGGTTTGGAGAAGGACTTGAAAACAGATAAAAAAACATTACTAACTTTACATTGCTCTCCACACAAACTTCCTGCGCTCCCATTGGGATGATCGACATGGTCGAGGATACTTAGCTTCCACTCCTGTCCTTCATTTCTGGCCGGGCCCCATGCCTGTGCTTTGGGCTAGCACTTCAAAAAGCCTAATGTCCTATATGTCGCAGCCAACCGGCTGGTCAGGCCACAGCTCTCTGCCAGCCATCTTGCATACTGTACAGCCAAGGCTAATATTCAACGCTGAGGCAAAGAGTGTGAAAGGCTTGAAGTGTGAAAATATGTATGCGTGTGAAGGAAAGTGGTTGTGTTGCCGGAGAACTCACATTTTTCGAGTGCATCCATCGCAGCTCCCATTTCTGCCTGCTGGATGCTAGATTAGAGGCGTTTTTAAAAAAAAGAAAAAGGAGACACAAAGACAGGAAGTGAAGGTTTTTAGCATATTCAAAATGTCCCTTTTTGAAATTCAGTCAAAAAAAAAAAAGGGAAAACAGGCTCATAAATGGGAGGATTATGAAAAGTGCCTTATATTTCTTCAAGAAGTGCCCCGTTTCCTAATAATCGCAGGTGCACACATTTGAAAAAAGGTAAGCCTATTGGCTTCCCGGTGCCGGGCACTGTTTACGCCTGCGATCGTATACGTTATGGAGTGTGTGATCGCAGCCCAGCAGCAGAGGTGGCTGGCAGCTTAAGTCATGTAAATACAAAAACAGTAAGCTGTAAAAGATCCTGCGGAAGGGACAAACTTATCGCCAGCTTAGAGCGCTTTCAAGTAGGGTGGTGGGGCTGGGAAGGTGGTGGTGGGGGGGTAGGGTTGGTAGGTGGGGGGTGGTAGGGGATTGCTGCATGTGTGTGTGTGTGTGTGTGTGTGTGTGTGTGTGGCGGGGATGAGAGATGTTTGATGGATTTGGGTTCCATTTCTCGCAGGCTCAGCGGCAGCTTTATCGCCTGCCCCTCCAGCCCTGGAAAGGCTCTTGTGCAGGCTTTGGCTTTCTCTGCTCTTAAAGAGCTCGCCTATGTGACGACACACAAAGGTGTGCCGTCACACATTTACACTCGCACACGCCCCGCTGCGAACACAAAATCCCACGTAGGCCCACTCATCGCCGCCGATAGGGCGTCGCCACAGCAAATAGTCCTCGCCGGAAAAAAGTGATGTTTCCATAACGCGATTTACGTCAAATCGATAATTAATCGATTCATTTTCATTCTGCATAATGCCTCTCCCAATAGTATAGACCGACGAGAGCTTAATTGCTGTAATAAACACCATCAATAAAGGGAAGCCATTATTCTCAAGCCCATTAGTAGAGCAGTGAGAGGGAGAGCGCCTTGTCTTGTAGGGCCCTATTATATTCCAGAGTTTTACTCACCTTGGGCCTTTGCCACAGCCAATTCGTTCCCCTTTGAAGTACACAGCGACGGTGTAAGTGCGGGCGTGTGAGGGCCCCACTGTCTGCAGCGTCCTGCAAATTCAACAGAAGTGGCAGCATCGAATTGAGAAATAATAATAACAAACCCCAGAGAAAGGCACAAGGGCGCTCCGGGAAACTGTCCTTCAGAGAAATAACAACAGAAACATGTTTTCAATTGACACAAATACAAGTCATCTCGAGCGAAAAAGGGGGCAGAGAGGCAGGGAAGAGCGCTTTGATTCACTGGCACGCTTTGAGGACACGCAGAAGCCTTCAGAGGGACGTATAAACAACTTTTAAAGCCTCCCCAAGTCCCCACACTCATCTTCAGACACCAAGAGCTGTGTTTGGTGAAATAATAATAAAAATATAAATAAATAAACAAATGACATGTTGGGAGAGGAACTGAAATAAAAGAATGACAACAGTCTTTGAGCAGCCCAGGAGTCTTTGGTGCACTAGAAGGGTAAACAATCTAAAAAGGAAGCCAAAGAGGGACTAAGAAATCCAAAAGAGATGACAAGAGAATGTCTTATCTCTCCCTGCTAATTAACAGATGTACCTCATTTAAAAAAAAGAAAAAAAAAGCAAGCTGTCAACTTTGTTTCTTTTCTGCAGGGACATATGTACAAGACAGTTGTTTGAAAAGCTAACATTAGCATAAACATCTCAGCCTCAAGCTGTGAGTCACCCTAAATTATTCACAGACAATTTACTTATTTTCAGGAGAGAAATCCATTTTTAATGGAATGTGGTCACTCATGACACTTTATCAATAATTTAGCCCCTGCTCTCACTTACAAATGAAGATACACAAAGTGAGAGCTGAACAAACAAGACTCCTGTGTACATCGTTTTAGCCAAATCTCGATGGGGGTTGAGGAGGGGCATCTGGAATCGTCACGCAGCTGAAGCGTGGTGGAGCTGGGAGAGCTGTTGGGGAGTTCAGTCCAGTCTGATGGAGGTGTGAGACGAAGAGGAGGCCGGCTCCAGCTCTCGTGCTAAAAGAGGCTTCTTAGAGGCCGCTTTCTGTACTGTACAATGTGTCTTTGTGTCTCCTCCCTGCTGTGTCCTGCCCAGATGAGACGTATCGGAAAGTGATGGTGGTGTGTGACACTTTTCACCAGGGAACCTTTAGCAGGGGGCTCGGTACATTAACTTACTTTTGTTCCCATTCTCTCTGTCCTTTCCTGCCTCTCTTGGTCATTTAGTCTTCCTCTGTCTGACTCACACTCTTGCTCGCTACCCCTTGACACTTGTAAACAAATTGAGATGGACCCCTGAGATGGTGGACGCCGACAGCCGCCGCATGAAACGCTATAAAGTCGTGTTTTTTCGGCTCATCGACCCGCTGGGGTCAGGTCGGCTCATGAGGAGGTCAAGGATGAGGCTCGCGATTATTGGTTGCTACTGAGTATTCATCGAACAAGCACAAAGCAACTGCACTCAAGGGTGCAGCAAAAGCCCCACGTTAATAAGTGGTCAGCTTTATGTAAGCGTCTGTGTCTCCTCCTCCCCTACGTATAAGCTGTTGAAATTCAGGTCAGCCAGAGGCTCCATTTGTCTCTTGTTCGTGGGTTTTTGTGGCCGGTGGAGTTGGGGAGGGAAGCGTTGATTGCGGCGTCAGAGACGGGCTGTCAAAAAATATCACCATTGGTTGAGCGGAAGGAATAATAAACAGAGGAGGGCTGAAAAGACATTCAAATAAATACAGGAGGAGGAAGAAAGGCAGGCAGAGGGAGCTGATTAAATGCCGGATTGTAGAGCTCAGTGTGAACAGAAATGCTCTGTCTCCCAATGCCCTTGTGCCTCTGCCCGACCTTGTTTTTTTTTTTTTTTTGGGTTGTTTTTTTTCTTTTTTTCTTTTTGGTGGGGGATAGAAAGTTCTGTTTCCATGGCAACAGATGGGCAGCATCATGGCAGCTCTCAGAAGCATTTTTTGTAGTGACACTTGCTCCTTGGCTTTTTTTTTCTTTCTTTTTTTTGTGAAACAAGAGGTCTCCGGGCATGTTTATACCAAAACAGAGACCTTTACATGGTTATTCATAACGCTCGGCATCCAGTGGCATCGAGAGGAAGCTTGTGAAAAATTATGTTTGCGTCGACTCGTTTCTCTGAAAACAAATCACGTGACCGTAGGGGAAGAATGTCACTGCAAGGAGCTCAACACAAGCGTTCAGTGAGCAAATATGTGTGAGTTTACAGAAAATGCAGATTTTTCTATGTCCACAGGGCACAGAGGGAGGGCTTTCTGACGGAGTTTGTTCATTCCTCGTTAGTTTTTTTTAGCACATTTGTTTCTCCGTAAGTAAATAGAAGACGAATGTCCTCATGTTATTGGCAGATGAGCTTGTCGAGAAAGTTTGGGGCACAGCTAAGTCACCCAAATAATAATATGGTAAATACTCTCATCTTGTGAAAGAGCTAAACTTAGACGGAGGTCTGTTTGAAATTTCAGAACTTTCAGAGGTTTGGTCATCTGTCTGCATGCTCACCTACACACTTTCAGACTCCTTAAGTTTTGTCACAACGCCATCAGTGACATTTAGCCTCTGGCTGATGAGCTCCCACAAAGGGACTTGTCTTTTCCTGTTATCGTTACTGTCTGACGTGCCATCCAGTACAGTCATACAGAGAAGGGATAGACGGACACGACAGAACGTTTTCTCTCTCATTATCATTGTACCAGTTTAATGATTTCATCCTTGATTAAGTCGAGAATTTTTAAGTGGAAGCCCTTCGGAGCACTGGATTAAAAAAGGCAAAGCAAACTGGAAAAAAACAACAAAAAAGAGAAAACAAAAACCAGTGTCTGGTGCTTTTTTTTCCTAAATGGGGCCTAATGCAGTGGTGCATGCTCTCCACTGATAAGGAACAAATTAAAGAAGGCACTGCAGCTTAGAAAAAAGCTCTAACACAACTAAAAAACATGTCTAAAACTAGCAATAGAGCAAGAAAACTTAAGGTGGTACTGAACAAAGAAAAATACCCCCAAATTACTAGGACTTCATGGTATATTTTTTGTCGAAAAAGGCTTAGTTTTTGGAGGGTGTTTGTGTGGGGGGCATTGAATCTTTTTGGCTTCAAAAGCTGTTGTGCAGTGTATCTGAGGTCTTACTTGTAGAGCGGGATATCGGGCTCCTTGCCCTCTGTCCTCAGGGTCAAACAGCACTGCTGTAGCTGAGATTTGGGGTCGTTCCAATCCTGGTTGAGAATGAACTCCTGCAACACACAGACCAAGCCACACAAGCGTTATCAATCTTCTTATTATTGTTCCCTACCGCCAATTACTTTGAAAGACTCGAAAGCAAGGAATAAAAATGTGCAGTTACAGCTCCTCTCGTTCAGCCCCTCGTGCTTTTATTTCATTCTTGCCATCTCCGTGCTTTTACCATCTCCTTTCGGATTCGCTTATTTGCTCTCTTTCAAACTGGCTTTCCATCTGTGTCCTCATGGCAAGTACAAATCACAGGCTACTTAAGACAAAAGCCAATCCCCAACTAGAAATAAAGAGTGTCTGGGAGTCTCCCAGGTGTGCAGCCCTGATACATTTCCTTTATCCAAGAGGGACTTTTAAAAGCTCTTCCATTAACAGGGAAGCAGCCTTGTCATAAAAAGGCAGACTTTGAATCCAGAACTGTCTGCTCCTATTAATTTTCTACAAAGAGTGCCTCTGCTTCTGCTGCTCGTGCTTCCCCACTCTCGCTTTACTGCCTCTCAACCCTTCCATCTCTGCCGTTCTTGCTTCCGTGCCTTCCTTCCCTTTTTCTCCATCCCACTTTTCTCGTCTCTGGGGGGCATCCGCACTCCTACAGCCCGAAGCACAGACATTTTGATGTTTTCAAAAGAGCATATAGCCCACCTCTACTGTCGTGCACAGATGCATTCACACCCAAGCAAACTCCGCTACAAGCATCATCACACAGTGCAGCAAAAAGCAAAAACATAAGGAAGGGGAGCATTTATGTCCCCGGTTTGGGCTCTCCCTTTCCGTCTAATTGGAAGAAGCAGCACTGTGTGCAATGCTCTGTTTCCAGAAGGCTATGTAAGGAAACATGCTGGCTGTTTCACAACTTTTTCTCTTGGAAGTGGAAATGAGGTGCTCTCTTGCAGCGACCAGCGACCCAGCTCAGCTCCTCCAGAGCTGGGGATTCTCCCCGGAGAGGCGCGCGAAGACAGCAATTAGCATGGCATATCAGACCACTGCAACGGCTTCACAAGGAGAGGTCCACGCTGTGTGGGTACTTGTACACGACTGGGTCTGTGCACGTGTGGATTTGTTGCTTTCTGAGCAGCTGCGGAAACAGCGGTCTAAGATCTCTTCTCTCTAAATTTGGTTTTGGACACTCGAGGATAGAAACCCTGTCCTTCCACGCTCACATCTGGCCACGGGAGCTCCGACTAAAGCCTACTTGACTTGCTCCTGCTAAAGCAACACTTGAGAGTTGAACGCCGTCAGCAGCCCGAGCGCTTCTTAGATCAATAGCAAAACACTGAGGAATAACATTAACACCCTGATGCATGCACCTCTGTGCCGCTGCCATTTCCATTAAAGATGACTAAAATAGCGGGCTGGGCTGCCATTGTGAGAGGCATTCGAGAGCCAAGCACCACTTCAGGCTTCGGATCGATTAGGGCTCGGCCATTAGCTCCCTCCTCATCATCTCCTTGGCTTTCTCTCCTTAGGTGCCCTGCTCGGCAGCTCATTGATCAGGTGCAAGTGGCGAATAGCTATCAATCGGTGCTCACCTTCAGGCGGGGGAAGAAGCAGACGTTCATGAAGGTGTGAACAAACTCCAGATCTTTATCAATGTAGAGAGCCGCGATGAAAGCTGCAACAACAAAGAGAAGGTTAAACTGATGGAAATAAAGCAACCGAGGCCCAAAAAAAAAAAAAAGGCTTTGAATAGTTAAGCATTTACAATCAGCCTCTGATGTAAACCAAGCCTTAAAACGAACCAGCTGTAAGCCTCAGTCATGGCTTTCCAGAGGAAGAGAGGGGAATTTAACCGTAAGCAGCTGGAAAAGACGCTCCCTGTGTCTCTGCGGAGCGGGAAATTGGTCTGGGGAGGGCCACGCAGAGTTCACGGAAACATTTTGTCATCTGCTAGATAAAAGTGTACGTCAAGCTGCGCTGGGAGAAACTGAGGCCCAACTGAGCCCAAAAAGATTTCAAAATGAACCACAAGATGCTTGGTCTCATCTTCATTTCGCGGTGGCCCTTTTTTTTTTTTTTCCACATCCATTAGCTGCCACTGCACTCGCTCATCTCTGTGACTAAGACAGTGGGACGCGAGGCAGGAATAATAGGTAATATTTCAGGGGGCCAGCGAGGCCCTGCTGTAGCTGGAAGGCACGACTGTTCATATAGGAGCGAGCTGCACTCATTTCCAGAGCGGCCCCTCGTCCTCCTCCTGTGTCATCAGCTCCACTCCGGCCTAAACTTTGAGGGATGATTTGAAAGGCAAATGACATGAAGCCTGTGTTGTTCTGTGATTCACGCGTCAAGCTCTGTCTATTGAGAGCTGACCTGGAGCACATTAGTCCCCTTTTTTTTCTTTATTTGTTTTTCCCTCCTAGTCCACCCTTCTGGAATTGTTTATTTCCTCCTTTGTTTGTTCCACGGCGCCGTTTTGCTGACCTGATGAGGACAGCACAGGGTCTCCCACACACGGGATCAATCCTAATAAGGTCCACGCTCTCTCCTCAGTTCTGGCTCTGCATGCATATTACTCTGTCCAAGTACGGAGGTCAGTCTGTCAATTTCAATCTGGACAGCCGTACGGTCTTTTCGTCATTAGTTTGAAATGGAGAAGATGTGACCAGAAGTCTCAAATAAAGTATCATCTATGCTTGAAGGGCATACATTATAAACAAGATAATATGACTAAATCCTAATTGGATTTTAAAGTGAAACAATGCATATTTTTCCCCACAGTGTGCATGAGTGGTCAAAGTAAAAATGCTTTTACAACAAAAAAGTTGTACAATGTGTCCATCTAATTTAATTAATTTCTTTATCTCTTTTTTGTTACCTGGAGGTATATTAAAATTACAGACTGGAAAAACCTGTGTATTACACGTGTATTAAGTGGATCTGCAGATGTTTGGATGCTCAAATTGTCAAGACCATAGAGTTCATTATGATCAGGAATGGAATGTGTTCAAGACTCGTGGGCTTTTCACGAGGGAAGCAGCACCTGTTTCTGCTCCATCCATTTTGATTGAGACGGTGGAAGCAAGTATGAGACAGACGAGGCCTAGCTTTGATCTTATAACGTACGCACTAAAACAGAATCAAAAAGTTTAAATGTTGTGCTGTCTATTTATTGCTGCCCTGAAGCAGTGGATTCTGGGTTTTATTGGTATTGGTTGGATTTTTCTCAGTAACCAGAGATGATACTGGGTCAGACCACTGTGCAAGTGCACGCACTGCCTGTTTGTTCAGTTTTCATCTTTGTAAGTTTCAGTGACCTTAAAGGCCGTGCTCTGCATAGAAGGATGAATCACAGACCAGCTGGTCACCGCAGCACTCTCCTGCTGTTTCACTACCTCAAGATGGCATTTCAAAGATATTTTTTATTCACTCTTGGAAAGCTGTCACATTGATTTAAAGAGTAGGTTCAGGCCAACTGCCTACTCTAATTTATGATGTCCTGAAAGGCCAAAAGTCTTGAGGGGAAAAGAGCTAATTTATTATTCTATGTTCAGTTGCTAAATATCAGTTCTGTACCTACACTTATTTCATTCCTCCTTTGGAGGTAACACTGACTTAAAGGAAAATCTTTTACGCAGCAAGGAAAGCACCAGTGTATCATCAGCCTATTAGCTGAAAGAGAATGTAAAATGACAAAAAAAAAGTCAAATATATCAACTGCTCCAGTCAGTCTGCACCTAGAGAGCGTCTTCCTGTTTCTTCTCGAAAGACGTGCGTGTTTGACTTTTCAAAGAAAGCAGGCAAAATCAGAACAGTTCATCCTGTCATCTTAAACTAAGTTGAGAGGCAGAAGAGGAAAAAGAAAGTGTGCAGCTTTACAAAAGCTCTGTAATGAAAGGGGTTCTGTCTATTTCATATTTATAGGGACGAATCTAAAAGCTAAGCACTTACACTCCAACAAGTCGGCCAGAGTCTTGGTCCGCAGAGCGACGGGTCGTTTGGTTTTGTCGTTGGTTATGGCGAACTCCTGCATGCCCAGCTCCTCCGCCACTTTGGCCTGCGTGCGGTTGTTTACCAACGAGCTGCGGAGCAGCTACGAACAAAAAGAGAAGCAAGTTTTTTTGTGTTTTATCACAGCTCCAAGGTGTGAACATGTAACTATAAAGATAGGAAAGAAAAATAGAAGGGGAAAATCAAAATAGAGGGGAACACGGAATAATTCATTAGAGTTGTGTAGAGGAAATGTTTCAGGGAGATTTCGCTCTGTTAAATATTACATTGTGACTTGGAGCTGAGCGGATGACAGCATGTTAGGTTGGTTGAGGTACACTTAAATGTCTTAAAGGAAAACAAAAACATGTTAAATATAGCCATAGGAAGGCAGAAAAGAGCAAACGGAATAGAATATGACTGCTTAAGTTTGTCTTGCTGCGATATGCCCTCCTTTGCAGTGTGCACGCAACCACAATTGGAGTCAGACAAACACACACCAACACTAGTTGAATGGGCACCATTTTCCCCCAATTTGAAATCCTTTCCAGATGCGCCCCACGTTGACTCTTGGGATTGCTGGAGCTTTCAGTCTCTCAATGAAAGCTCTCTGGAAGCTTTTATACAAACAACGTCATGGCCTCCATCGCCCAAGAAATATCCACAAATATTGTCCAACTACACAGGTTGTTTACTTAGCGTTAGACCATTTCTATCCCTCTGCTCTTAAGAGGTCAGTCTCCAAAAGGGAGGCAATGACACTTGAACGAAAAGACAAAAATCTAACCCCCTTTGACATCACAAAATGGACTTGTGTAGTGAAAAGTCATTATTTGCTTTTTGCCTGCACAGTGTAACCTGTGCAAGTTTCACAAAGACATAAAAATGTATTCTTCCGATGCTTGACAGGTTCTCTAAAAAAAAAAAGTAGAAAAAGAAAAAAAAAGTGGAGACAAAGATGTGATTTTTTTTTTTTATTGAAAACCACTGAACAATTTTGTCTCATGACAATACCCATCACACATCGTACAGTAAACACACAGGCGCAGCGTGGGCTGAGGAGGGAAAGAGAGCCATTCTGTGGAAACAAATACGTAGGGAGGGGCGGTGAGAACCTGGCTGAAACTCCACTGACTGATGGGAAGGGAAACGGGGGGTGTGTGGGGCACCGTCCCAAGTTGTTGCAACGTACGAACACCAGCACGAGCACACAAAATACACACGCGTACACACACATACACACGCACGCAAACACGCACACAAAAGCAGAGCTGTAAATCAATTTCCAGTAAATAGATGTAAATTGCAGCGATCAGCAGTTACAGGCAACTTCAAACAGCAGGAGGACAAACAATGGATGTGAAAGTTAACGTCTGTGGGCGGGGTTGAAAAAAATCCAGTTAGAGAGTGGGTGTCGGCATGTGGTTTGATCTTACCGTTAAGTGTCCTTCATGGTGGTCAGGGAAGTGGATGAAAAGATATTCAGTGGCTACTAGCTGCATGATCGAGTCCCCCAGGAACTCCATCCTCTGGTTGTGGCCCCTGCAAGTCCACAGGGATTAGAGTAGAAACAAAAAGTTAGCCATGAGGAAAGCAAAGAAGGGAGGGTTTAAAAACAGGGATCTTCATCCCTCCATCAGGCCTGTTGCCACTGATTTAAGCCCACTTCTTGTGTCATTTGGCATAGCTCAGCCTTTTCTCCTGGTTTCCTTCCTTAAAAGTGGCCTTAAAAGTGGCTTTCCCTTTTTCAGCAGAGTTTTGTATGTTTTAATGTTTTAAGGACAAATATAGGGAGGAATAACGTGATTTTGTGACAGGCTGCTCATAACAAAGAGCCTGAAGATCCAATTTCAAACTGTTAATTACCAAAGTTGTCTATTATGTGTGGACACGACACTGTCTGATCCATTACGTTAGGGGCCTTTTTCTGCTTGAATGACTCATTGATCAGTGCTCAGTGTATCACCAAACACTATAAATGGTCAGGCACAAGCACTGAAAATGAGCGAAAAAAGCAGCAAAACACAGGGGATCTTTATTCGAGACCATTTGCAAATTTTCCATCTACTTCTTAAAGCTCTCCTAACAAAAGAGGAACAAAGTACTCCGGCAGCAAAAATATCTCCAAAAGAGCCTGTCAACTCGAGCAAAAGTTCCTTACGCATAGATTTAGAGACCACCTTTCACTACTGAAAAAAAAGCTAACGGTCCACTAAGATGATGTGCGTCTACTTCCCCCTATCTCCCCATCGGTGAAAGGCAGCGAGCGCACTGCTACTCCCAGCACGGTGTTAGACATGGCAGCAGGAGGGGGCCATGCAACCGCTGCTGCTGTAATGGTCATTAATTAAACAGAATTATAGATTAGCAATGCAGATGTGGGCTGGTGCTGTGCCAGGCTGGCAGGAAATGTTAGCTCGGGGGGGGGGGGGGTGAGCACCATGAAAGCGGCGAGGTATATTCAGCAGCAGAGCGCATATCCATCTATAGCTACGAGCCCCTCGCAGGAGGCAGTGTGTGAAGATGAGAGAGAGGCAGAGGCAGAGGCAGAGGTATGAGATGAGGCGGACGCTGACATCAAAGACGGAAGAGGGTCAACTTTTATTGTCCAGTTTTTTTACCATTCCTGCCTTTCGCGAGCTGTGGCACATCTGAGATCTGAGGTTCCGACTCAGTGACAGTTTGGTTCAAGCAAACAACGCGGAGCTGCAGCTGTCAGCAAGTTTTTACCTTCGATTAGTGCACAGACATCTTTAATGAGGTCTGACTGGACTTTTAAAAGTGTTCCTGATCAAATGGGCAGCTTAATAAACAACACATGCCCCTCTACACATGCATCAATAGTTCAGTGTGCTCCTGGTTGTTCCTCCATTTCAGACCCACGGTCAGTTAAAGACAAAAAACACTGATGTGTCAAAGTCAAAGGATGTTTTATCCATTTTGAATTCAAGAGCACACTAGCAGTGAGTTTATCAGGACAGCGCTCCCCTGCTGTAGCATCGCTTAGCCCATCAATTAGCTTCCCATTAGCCACAATCGTACTGCTGCGCAAAAATTCTGGCAAACCTAGTACGAGGGGCCATCAAAGATGGGATTTAACTGGGGGCCGAGACAGAGAGACGGTTTCCATCAGAAATAGAAACTTCAGCAGCTCATTCCTTTCAGCTGTGACACAGTCTGAAAAATGCTACGGCAATGAAGAGGGTGCACTGGCCGTCTGAGGAAACCAGAGCTCTGCGCAATATCTGAGCTCAAGATAATGTCCAATGTCAGATCGATGGCGTCTGCTGTACTGAGGAGGTGATGAGGCACATAGTGTCAGACCCAGTGAAGCTGGAGACTCTGCAGTGGACTAGAGTATGTAGAAAAAAAAAAACGAGTCAGTAAAAAGCCTGGACTCTGCACAGTTCCTTTGAGTCAAATTTTGGGGACATCCCCCATGAACATAAACGAAAGCCAGAAGCCCTAATAGATCAAACGTAAAAACACTGGGTGTGGCTGGTAGATATGCAGAAGGCACAGGTGGACTATCTAACCAGCCCACATCCTAGTCACCCGTCGTGTTACAATTCACACCCAGTTTCCCATTTAAGACGTTATTTCTTGAACTGAAGTCAAACAGAGTCAGGAAAAAGAAGAGGTGAGCTTTTCTTTGGAAGCAGAATATCTAAAGACCATTAGTTAGAATAATTAGAATGTGTGGTGGTGTGTTGGCATGTGGAGGTTTTACTGATTGCATTACTCAAATATAATGGTGTATAATTACTGAGCAGGAAACGTAACTTTTCCCCATAACTTTTTCTTATCTTATAGCCTAAATGTAGCAAAAGGCAAATGTCCGTATCTTTTATTTTCTATTAAGTTAATAAAATAGACAAATACATCTATTCCTAAACTGAAGAATCATCAAAGATAGCCATGTGATTTAAACCAATCATGCTCTGGTGCATATGAAGCAACACGAAGGCTGTTAACAAGTGAAGCATCATAGGGCTCATCTGTATTTACTGAGCTTCATAAGTGGGCATTAAAGAGGGTTACAAGTTGAAGGAGAGCTGAGGCAGCAGTGAGACGTACTTGAGAAATGAAGGGAGGTGGAGAAATACTGAAAAGAAGTTGCAAGTGTCACTTGCCGTGTGAAAAGCCTGTTAAACATTCGGGTGATTTTTAAAGTGTTTTCAATCCTTTCTCTTTTGATTAAGTAAGTGGTTCACAAAAGAGGATCACTTCCTCCCATAAACCCTTCTGCTCTGTGTTTCTGTGCAAACAGCCAGAAGATGAGTGAGACCTCCATCCCCTTCTGTGTTTTTCAGAAAACTGTCACAAACCCACCGTCTGTGTCGACCTTTCCAGGTACTTGTTATTCTGAGCCGATCCCCTGAAATCCCTGAAATATTCATCTCTAGAGCTCTGAATGCGGATAATTTAGTAAGATGTATGGGCTAAATGGTCATTTTAATAGGACATTTAAATATTTACCGAGAAAAACAAAGCTAAGGGTTCTAATTGCATTATGTCCAAAGAGGGGGCGAGTGCAGGTCGAGGAGAAGGATAAGTAAGGACCGCCTTAGAGGCCCAGGACAGAGATTCATTAGGAATGGAGGGACACTGAAGCCTACTCCTATATTAAAATAATTACAGAGGTTTTTAATGAAAAGGTTCTTAATGATGAGGCAGCTCATGAGAGCGTGAAGAGCTGAGATCGGATGGGGCTGAGGGAAATCTTCAGTAGTGTTTCTGGAATGAGGCTTTTGACGCAGATTTCCTCAAAGTCTAACAAGCATAGAGCTGGAAACAAGGGACCCCAGAGAGTAAAAGCAAAAGGGCATTATGTGAGTTAATTCCAAGCCCAAAAAGAAGAGATGGAGGTGGAAGGAGCACCCAGAGCAGGTCAAAGACGAATGTGTTGCTGTGTGAGGCGGCACGGAGAGCAGTCCATTATCCACTGCAACAGCAGAGGCACAATGCTCCGGTAAGGCGGGAAAAAGGGAGAAAACGGAGGCGCCCAAGTCTTTATTCGCCTTTGACTTTGATCAAAAATACCTTTAACAGCCCCGTCTGAGCAGGCAGCGACAGGCTGCCTGCTCCAAAAGACAGAATCACTGAAATCAGTTTCCTCTCGGTTCTTGGGGGAAATAATGTTCTGTCCGGTGTTTTTTTGGTTTGTTTTTTGTAATGTGCATGTGAGTGACCTGCAACTACGCCTGAAAACGTGTTATTTGGAGGAGCACTTTGGAATACATGCAGTAGGCTGTCATTTTTCACGAGCAACAGAAAAAGGAATCCGTTAGTTACAAGAAAAAAATCTCTATAACCTCATTAATTTCTTCTCTCTGTTGGTGGTGTTAACATGTTAAATTCTCAATATCTTCAGCTTCGACCTGCCCACAATTTCCTATGGTGAGCACATACCAAAGGTGTGATAACAAGTAAGCTCTGCTTTTTCTCTGTAAACAATCAGCAGTGAATAGACTTCTGTCTCATCTGTGTGTGAGAGTCATATCCTCTTACACATGTAAAAATGCTACATATTGGAGGAAAACAGAGTGGCAACAAGTTTTTGTTTGCTCTGACAATCTAGTAAATCATCAAAATGCAGTTGTTACATTTCTATGGAGCATGAAATTGTTAGAATGAATTATTTATATATTAGGACTTTTAAAGCTATCAGTATTTAACAAATTATGAAAATATTAATCTACTTCAAGGTGCAATTTTTGGAACCTCTAGCTTTTCTGTTTTAATTCTGTTCGGGCCTCTTCCAACTTTTCCTTCCTGTGGATTCACGAGTCCTCCGTGTTCAACCGGTTTCATCCACATCTAGGTCAGTTTGTCCTCCATTTCTTCTCAAAGTGGTAGGCCAAAGGCCGAGCTCCTTCCCACCTCTTCATCTGAAGTCTTTCTTATTGTATGACCTTCCTTCCCGTTATCTGACCTCGTTCTTCACTCCATCATGACAGCACGACCTACTTTGGCGCAACCTTTGGTCCTCCTGGGCAGCCGCTGCTCAGCGCCAGCTTTAAAGTCAGTCAGCTATAATTGGGTCAACCTGCCTTTGGCTACTAATGAGCAAATGAACATAACATTACCAAGAAAATATATCAATTCTTCCCTCTTTGCTGGAGGAGAAGTCACAAAAAGCCCCCAAATTGAGCAAAATAAAAATGCATTGGCTTAAAATTCCACCCCGACATTAATGAACATGAAGTCGCACAAAGTCAGAAAATATTGGTTTCAACCTTGAGTTGGAAAGTCGTCAAAGTAAAGCTTGGTATGAGACAAACCTCTGGACTTCTAATCAACTTGACTGACCCAGAGTGGGGAGAGGTTTGACATTTAAGTGATAGATTAAAACACGCACAGCAGTGCATCGCGTGTGTGAACGTGGGCGCAGGATGCACGTGCACACACATGTGCACGCTCGCGCGCAGAGCAGTGTCCTTGTGGCAAACCTAAGGAAGCAATTACAGAGTGCAGCCTGCCAATAAGATATCAAACGTGCACTGCCAAGGCTAATTTGCCTTAGCTGTCAAACTCACTATTGTGCTGAGTTCTGAAGCTCAGAAGTGAGTTAAGCTTCAGTTGCAAATAACCCTCTTATGGTAAAAATCTGAAACACCTCAAATTGAAGTGAACAGTCTCATTAGCGTAACAATGGCTTACGGAAATTGTGTTCTTTTTAAACTTGTACTCTTTGAGTAAAATGAGGCTATCTTCGCAACAATGGCCCCTTCATTAGTAACAGGCCAAGCACGATCAATTTCAAACCGACCCGGTGGAAGACTGTAACTTTACTGACTATTGAACAAACGTCATAACAGAGGCGAACGGGGGAGAAAATATTTTCCAAAGTCAGAGCTTAACACAACAGCACTAGACGTGAAATGTTGCAATTAACAGAGAAAGACAGAGCAGAAACCGCATGTGCCTTTCTCTCAGAGTTTCACACGTGCAATACAGCCAGACTTAATTAAATGCGCATCGAAAAGAACAGTTTAAGTGAGAACAAAGATTAGACTGAAGCATGATGCTGAAAGATGTGATGCAGCTGCAATGGAAGTCAAATAAATGAAAAACCTTCAGCTCAGAACAATCCGGTGAGTCTAAACTACTTTTCTCGGAGGGGAGGGGAGGAGTCATATTATGGTTTTGCAGTTATAATCATAAAGATATTGGGACTTCAGAGCCTCTTGCACCTCTTTATGCTGTGAAATACAAGGTCCAAAAAAACAAAAACTTTAAAATATAAATTTTTCGATTCTCTGAATGTGACAGTCCAGATGTCATCTGTTATAGAGGCAGCCTCAGTGACTGCAGGGATACGTAGGAGCTGCGGGAGGTAAACATAATGATGAAGTGGGAGGAGGCAGCTGCCGCATTCACGACAGATACAACTAGTTAAAATGCTTCATGTGGGAAACTCCCAGCTTCTCAGATTATATTCGACATTATAATGCATCAAGCTTCATCACCTCTAAGGGGAACAACAGACAAAAGTCTGCCTACGTGTACCGCATCCATGCAAATCACATCTGACCAACCGGTCGCCCGCTTTGCATTTTAATTAGCTGTAACTCTATTAGCCGCAAGCAGGCAGAGGCTGCACTCACAGGGTGAGGTGGTTGAAGCCAACAGTCCTCAAGGTGAACGCTCTGGCCAGCAGGCGCACGTGTGTGAACAGGACTCCAATCGAATCCTCAAAACTGGTCAGTTTCTGGAGGACGGGGGACGTCTCGATGAGCTGCCTGTCCGTCTGAGGCTCCTGCACCTGAAAGGCAGGAAGCAAAGGCAACAGATGGGACGTCCACAACCTCTGAAAGGGCTCAGCTTGAAACCGACTGCTCGTAATAAACATTCCGACCTTTTCAGGTTTAATTGTTAAGATCCTTCGATCAGATTCAATTTATTAAACACGTTACAAAGTAAATGGACTAAAGACAGGTTAGACAGGCTTCGCTGTGCTTCGATGAGAGAAAAGATAAATAAATAAGATAACTGGGTAAAAATAAATTGAGCACCAAAGAATCTGAATAATACAACAATAATGTTTTTTTTCAAATAAAATAAAAATATGCACATAAATGAAAAAATAACCATAAAAAACATTTTTCCCCGTCATGAATTTATGTCAGTGTATAATTCTTCTTTTTTTACATAATTATTTTCTGGATGCATTCTTAACGTTTTATTCAGTTTGTCAAAAGCTGTCGGTTGCCCCTTGTAGCCAGTTTAGCCCAGTTTTACTGTACCATCTGACCCATCAGCAATAAACACTGCGTTTCTGTCAAACACCAGTGAGGCTACAAGCATCATTACATAGCAGCGGGGCAAAAAATAAAAAATAAAACCCCGCTCAACGAAGCGGTTCTGCATAAGGACTTCAGATAATTTGTTTAAGTGATGTGAGCCTCTACTCTTTCTGCTGCTGGAGAGACTCTTTCAGAGTGTGTAATTTTACTCTGCCTCTAAACAAACTCAGATGATCTGCAGCAGATGAAATCTCTTAGTCACTAACGTTTAAGTCAAACAACTCAGTTTTTCCCCTCTAAATCTGGAGGCTCCTGCAGTGGATTGATATCCTGGGCGACTCGGTCGTGGGGGAAAGCCTGGCTGCTTGTTTATAGCGCGGGCCATATCACAGACTGCTGCCTGTGTGACTTTGATGAGATGTGAAAGAATGCTTTTGCGTGAAAAGAACACTGTCGATGAATCTTTAAACATTTGCTGGAGGGCTTGGTGAGTTTCAGAGTTAGATAAATTTAGCGATCGGACACGGTTCTTTTTAACTGCAATATTTGCTCATGACTGTGTTCATTATAAAAAGAAACGCTATGCGAAGAAAATAAGCGCACGCATGTTTGTTGAATCAAGAGGCATCCTTATGGGTGGACAAATTAGGCTGCTAGAATCATCTAATTGGTCTCTCTGTGGTGCAACTGTTGGCTTGACCAACTCATCATTCCCACAAAAATATTGTAATTTTTTGTGGACATTCAAAGAAAGCAAAAGTACATTTAGATGACCATGTTATGCTCTTCCTTCTTCTTTTATGATGCCTAAAAAAACAAGAAAGACTACATTCAGGTATTTCCAGGGCTACTTTCTTCATTTTCCCAGAATTTTCTTTTTCTGTGTTCTGGCGAAGCAACGACTGGTAAACAGCTTTTTTCAGTTTCACATGTCAAGTCAGTGCAGAGAGCAGAGATGTATTTTTAAAATCAGCATTTTAATTGGAGCGTTGCCGGTATTGTCACGGCTCCATCTTCCAGTATGTTCTAACAAACATTTCATTCCTGCTTCTTCTTTTTTTTTTAATCCGTTAATTAACAAAAGGCGTTTAAATGTCATGAATCACGACTAATGACATCTGACGAGTTCAGAACTCACAGGCGCAAGCTATGCTTCAGGGGGAATGGCCAGTAGCAAGGCTTCAAAAGAAGAAGAGAGGAGGGGGGAAAAAAAGACAGAATATCAACAGAAACCATGAAGAAAAAAAAAAACTTGGGGAAAAAAAAGAAAATGTTTGAAATGGCTTCAAAGCATCACTCTCGGCTCAGTCCAGACAGAAAGCAGAATCAGAGCGCAGGCCCGAGAAGCTCCGCGCTCATGCACCTCCCTGATAAATTAAAGGGGAAATTTTGTAATCCACACTCTGAGTAAATGACGTTCTGGCGAATTATCCTGGATGGCTAGCGGTGACGATGTGCTGGTGAAAATAAAGTGAACACGAAAGACATGAGGAGGCGCCTGTAAACCACGAGGTGTTCCACATCGCTCTGTAGGGCATGTCAGTGGTAAGGCTAATGTATGCGCCATGCCAAAGTGTTGTGTATGCATAATTACACACGCCATGGCCAGCTGCCAGCATCCTCAGCTCAAACCTCATTAGGGTAGATCCTCTTTCACCTCCGTTTCTTTCGTCCTCATCGTGGTGGAAGGGAATTAGGTTACATCTTGTTACTTTTCAGCAACAGTTTTGGGCATGATGTTCAAAATCTGTTGGGGGGGGGGGGGGGTTAGGTCTTTGCAAATTATGAAGGGAATAAATAAATGATGAAGTAGAGGATGTATTTTCTTCTTTCCAAGTATGAAACGGCTCCAATTATATCCTCTCAAGCCAAAAGGTCAGGATGCTATCAAGCTACCCTGAGTTTGGCACAATTTAACAGGACTTATCCCTACGGTAGCGGACCACCCAGTGGATAACCTCAGCAATATGGGGGGTGTGGTAATGAGGCGGCTAATGACTACTCTTGCACCACACTGTGGAGGCGCCCCACTCACCCACAGAGCGGTTGCGGGGCTGACTCCAGGGCTCCACCCTGGCCCGGATACCTGCTGCTGAAACCTGTGCTGTGCCAAGGATGTCTCCAAATCTTCCCATGAGGGAATGCCAAATAGAAGATGCACAGAAAGCATGCGCGTGTTTACATGTAATCACTGCGACATTCCTCCAAATAGACCGAGTTGGAGGGACTAAAATGCTCCAACACAAGTCAAAGACTCACTTTCTCCTCACAAACACATCAGAGAAAGATGCCTGACAGTCCCTTGAGGCCCCATGTGATTCGGGACAGTAATCCTGTTATGGCATCTTTGATCTCTTCTTCCATATCCTAATTTCAAACAAACACTGTTGAAATGTTTAGTGTTTCTGAGCAGATCGTGCAGCAGAAAGAGTGACTTAAAAAGCAAGATGTGGGAGAAAAAGAAATTTGGTAGGACTAACGGAGAAGCAAAATAAAGAGTAAACGTAAAAAAGGATTACGATCTCAATGAACAGAAGCGGGACAATGAGGATAAATCACTAACCCCCTTGCCTACCCTTGTGACCAACAAACCCACCAAAAATCAAAAAAGAAAACATTGGAGAGCTGTTTATTTCCTTTTTGTCTTGAGCATGATTTGAGTTTTAATGAGAGGCAGCAGACAAAATAAAACATGAATAAACATGAGCGATAAAACACATCTCAACCAACCTGCAGGGGGTGTGGTGGGTAGTTGAGCCAGACCTCCCGCATGTCCTGTGGAGAACAGACAGGACGAGTCAGACAGAAGATATTACTTTGTTTCCTGTTGGTGCCTGGGAATTTATACAGAGGATTGTAAGAACCAGCACATTAAAAACACATAAAAACAAAGAGTTCAAATACTCTTCAGATACAAACAATCTAAAATCCATGAGAAATATCAAACATATAGTGACTAAAATTGAACATATACTGTATATATTCAAAGGACCATCTGTAAAGCATGAAACTAAATCTGTACGTTCATTATCCAGATGGCTTAAGGCAGAAAAAAACCCTGTGGTTAAAACGAATAATAATTTTGCCCAGATTCAGTGAAATAACTGTAAATGACTACGCGTCTTGCTTTCTGACCCCCTAAGATCTGGATGTTGACAATCCTCAGTGAAGCTGAAAAAAGGGAAATGGGATGCAAATTTGAGGGGAAGACTCAGCTGGGTTTTTTTATTATTTTTTTTTAGGGGTGTGCCATCCACAGATTGTCAGAAATACGTGCAAAATCAACAGGTTTCTTAAACCCTGCCCTGAGGTTACCAAACAAGATTAAACAACAGAGACAGAGGCTGAGCAGCGTACCGCAGAGGGAGAGAGGAAGGGAAAATCTGTGGCTCTCAAGCTGTTGCCAAGGACAACGTCAGCCAGAGGAAGCTCAGGGCCCCAGGTCTATTGGGTGAGTCATGGCGGAGACAGAGGAGTAGGGATGGCCTCTGAAGTATAGAATCACTCAGGTGTTTAAGAGGTTCAAGGAGATAAACCTTTAAAATGCGGTGTTAGACCACTGGGAGGGTCGGTTATGTATGGTCAGCGGGTTGCAATGGGAGCCTTATCCTCTCAAGCCAACTAACTGGCAACCCATCGGCCTGAGCTGCCAATGTAAAATTCATGAGTCTGGTCAATACATTTGAGTAAATGCTTACCTTTGGTTGCTTGTATCTAAGTCTGGGACTTGAGCTGGAAAGCACTAAATAAGGAGCAAGTATTAAGTCAACTCATGGCTCGCTTGTGAATACATGTGTTACAGGCTGTGAAGATCACTTAAAGGATGTCAATAGCACTGGCTAATGGATCACATGTTTTCAGAGCGATGCTGCCATCCCACACTTTGCTCTCAAATACACGAGAGGTTTGCTCAACCAAACACAAGCAGGTGTGAAATAAAGAGAACAAGATAAGGGAAACTCAAAGCATTTAAACGGGAGAGAGGTATAAAAAAAAAAATGTAAAAAAAACTAAGAGAAAACTGAAGTACATAGAGGTAGCATCGGCTTGTGATCGAGGCTAGTGATTAAAATCCATCCACGGGGCACACATGATCCGCCCACACGCTGAATATAGACCCGAACAGCTAATGTTTCAATTACAGCCATTCCAAAGACAAGGCAGACAATGATTAAGCCGGCATCGAGTGGGGATTTAAGAATAACAACAGTTTTTTTCTCCCTCCCTTCTTTCTCTCCTCCAGAACGGGGAAGGTATAATTACTGGGAGCGCAAATCATCATGTGCAGCAGCTGAATCACAGCCATTTGGAGGATATAACTCTGGAGCAACAAATGGGGAGAAGGAAAAAAAAAAAAAAGGAACTGCAAACATGTTTATTTGGCTGTCAAATGGCCCCACGTAATGAGAGCCGAAATTAAAAGCTAAATGAAAGGCAGGCTGGTTGATATTGCCTATAATCTCCATCTTTACAGGTGGACTTTCATCAGAGTTGCTCTCCCAACGAGGGATTCAAGACCCACACTCGCTTTTGAACATGTTTGAGCCTCAACAAGCCAACCGTGAATAGTCAACAGCACTATACCCTCCATTCAGACACCCAAAACACACACAACACACACACGACCCCTGGAGATTGTAGGCCATCAATGATTGGGGCATGATGGTGTTCTTCTCTGACAAGGTCCAGTGCTCTCTGACAAATTGGTCTCTTGCTAGAGGCTGCCAATCAATCCATCAAACAGGGCAGCGCAGCCCAGAGATCGATGAAAGACAGCATCGCTGATCGATATCAGCATAAAGGCAGATGAAAACAGAGGCTTCGTCAGAAAATGGTCAAGGTGATCTGACAAATAGGTTCGTACGCTGATTCTTCAGTGTGTCTCATTTACAGTTAATGTAAAGAGAGCAGCTTTTCGAGTTCCAGTAAGCATTGCAGCGAAAGCGAGTGGAAAATGGCCTGTGAATGAGTGAATGCATTCATTCTCGGAACCATTGGCAACCCAAGGCCACGGTGAAAAAGGCGCACACACTCCTATTCACACACGGGAAATATCAGCCATGGCTGCAATAGGACAAAGTGTGCTCACTGAATACGGAGAAGAGCAACTACAAGGCTAAGAACAGCTGGATGAAAAGATAAATCAATTGTACTTTTTTTTTTAAAGATCTAAATAATGAACTTGAACAAATCTACAGCGAGTGCGCTGTCATGACGGAAGAAACCAGCGAGTTGGCCTTCACGTGTTGGAAGTTAATCACCCGTGTGTAATCTTAGCTCATTCTGCCAGTCCACAAAGAGTTAAGCTCACGCTCACTTCGGAACGTATTCAAGAGCAGTTGAAAGGGATAGAATATGTTTAACATAAGGTTGCTCAGAAGATGCACACAGTTAGTTATTGTTAGGGCAGTTCACGTCAGTTCTCTCCACATTGTGAGTGTGGAAGCGTCTTTCACAATAAACTCTGCAGTGAGCTTCAAAAAATCTGATATTCATCTTCCAATATACTTCGAACATGAACACAAACCTTTCTCTAACAAAACCTGAAATTCTGACCTTGGGAAATGTTTCCATTTTCATACTTCCAGAGGTGGGGGATTCAGATTCAAGCGGATATTAAAGTTTGCATGAAAACCATCATGTTTAGAAAGGTCACAAGAAATCCCTCAGCAAACCTCTTTGCACAATATTGAAATGATGTGATGAATTTGGGGGCTGGGGGACTAACACCCTCTTTCCCAAAAACGTCCAACTCTTGCTGGATGTTTTGAAATCATCTGCGATTATATGAACACAAACCTGAGTCCACATTTTAGGTCCTGAACGTCACTGTGAGAAAAGGCGGGAAGAAAGCTGTGACGCCATATTGCCAAAAGTCATTATCTCAGCACCATGGTGACCGTTTTAGTTGTCACAGCAACCTTTGTGTTTTCGTGTGTGTTTCTTGTGTGTTAATAAAAGCCAACAGATTAGCCCATGGGACACAGGATCATTATGATGATTGCTCCTAAAAGAGGCCCTTCCCTCAGGACAGCGCAGGGGCATCAACATCTCTCTCCGCAATATTGTTCTACAGTCGAGTCCAGGTTGTGAGCGATCGAGCAGCTTCCCCCGAAGAAGATGCTTCCTGCCTCTCTGCTGATGCTTTAATAACCCCCACAGTAATGTCATTAGCAAATTAGCATCTATTGTCTCTTCGAGGCTTCTGTGTGCAATGGAGCTAGATTCCATCCCAGGCAAGAGCCCCGCTGTTTTGGAACCGGTGCCAGTAAAGGTGAAAAACAAAGGGGACGGAAATAACTGTTTTGCTAAAGCTAGGAATGCGGTGCCAATGAGGGAACAGCACAGGAGGGTGAAAGAAAAACTGTGGAATTGTTTTTTTTTTTTTTTTGTCTGACTGGTCTTGAGGTGGTAAATTATATGCATGCTTTGTTTTAGATTTTCGCATCCCCTCCCTCCGAGTTGTGAGGCTTTTGTTTTGACTTGTTATAAGGTGGCCACAGTGAAACATCTGAGGGAGTAATAACATCCTGGAGTGCTCAGGAGAGGATAGAATGCAAAGGATTCAGGGGGGGGATGGGGGTAGGTAAGAGAGAGCAAAAGAGGGAGCAAAAGAGAGGCATCAGACGGCTTCCTTTTGTGCGGCTGGAGGATATGGGTCTGATCAGCCGCGTGTGAATGGAATACCAGAGCAGCACATAGGAACCTTCCACGGTGTGGTACAACGGTTTGTACCGCATCTCATTAGTTTAGCAATGTGCTGTGTAAAGACCTATTTTGACATGTTAAAGCAGAAATACAGAAGGATGAAAAGGTTCAGCAGATCTCCCCCTCTATCTATCTCCCCATTCCCAGAACCATCATACCAAACGGCCCTGTGCTCTTTGTCCATCTGTCTCCGCTCAGTTTTGTGCAACAGAGCAGCCAACATGAGGATTCAGCAGGGGGCTGACCAACCACACTATTTCAATCTTCCATCTAAAAGTCTGAAAATGTTCAAAGTTAGGTTGAAAATGAAAATTTGTATCAAAGTTTCTGTCATGTGCAAATAAAAGATCTGGTTTTTTTTTATCTTTTTCTGAATTCCTTAAAAGCTAAAAGAAAAAAAAAACAAGCTCAACCCTCACAAGCATTCAGCCTGAATACGCTGCACTCAAACACAAATGTGACATGGGCAGGTTAAAAACAAATTTTGAAAGTAGAAATACTGGAGTTCCACCATGGCTGATGGTGGTTTGATGGAAATTACAACAACTACTCTTATTTGTAGATAGTTTTTTTTCCAATTACCCACCAGAATGATACAGGCAGGGAATAAGCGGGAATGATAGTGGATGGATAGATGGATGGTATGAATGCTATAATGCATTTAAGCCAGAAGATCAAGCTGAATCGTTTTTTCTTTACTTTAGCTTCTCATTGGCTCCCAGAGCAGAACTTTGAAAGAGCAACTTGCTCTTGTACTTCAGTTTTATGACTAATAAACCTTTCAAATCTCAAGTCTTCTTCCAAATGCCAGTTTAGGTTGGAGGATGAAAAAAGAAAAGCTAACATTTTTCCCTTCATTTAAATAGAATGGATCCAAAACCAGATCCAAAACCAGATCCAAAACCAGATCCAAAACCAGATCCAAAACCTGATCCAAAACCAGATCCACTGGAGCTCTCTTCAGCGTTGCCTATTTCCTTCTTACACGTTCAGGACAGATGTTCTTGGTCATGTAAAAAACTGATGACCTGTCCCATGTACCTGTGTTGTAGGTTTCTGTTTTCATTTCAATAGCTTAGTTTCCATTCTGTCGCAGCGCAAATGTGAGGCAATCTTTTTAAAAAGCTAGTAGAAAGAATAAAGAAAGAAAATAACTTGAAATTACTGCAGGGTGCTTGTATTGGTAACCATAAAAAGAAGAAAGGGATTGTGCTTAAACCTTAAACTATTGGAAATATCTGGGATTGTATTTCTCATCTAAGTAAACACGAGTCTGTTCTGGCTCCAGGAAAAACTGCGTCATGTCATTTTACATGTTGCAGTTTATTTTTAGACGCCCCTAATATGAATCAAGCCACCTTAGTAGCAGGGTAATGAATATATTTTAGAAAGCTTATCCACTTTTTATACCCAATGTGAAAGTGTTTCTTGATTTTTTATCCACAGTCTATCTTCATAAGTTGGTTCTAAAGAGGGAGTAGATGTAGCTGCAACTCTGTCATTTCAACGATTCAACTCTTTATTACATCATTAAAAAACAATTGATCCTTCTCTGCAGCTTCTTCCTACTAATAAATGTTGTTGTTCAGGTTAAAGAGCAAAGAAATTACAGAATGATTACTGATGATTCAGTGTCATTTGATCCAGTTCCTGTCCAGACTGATCCTCTTCAGCCTTTCTCCCAATCAATCGTACATACTATGAAATAATCTTTATTTTATGTTCTAACCTTTATTCATTACATACAATGTATGACCATTTTATCAAATTTTGAGAAGTTAAATTATGCTGCATGTGCTGTCTAACTCATTGGCTACTTTGGTTGTGTTTTATATCAGAGTCTCACAATTTCCTTTAGAAATTACAACAGGAAAAAACTTCTATTGAAAATCTGATGTGCCACTATGAAAAAGAAGATCGTAAAATGAACTTTTGTATCAAAACTTGATTTTCTTACCCATAAAAGAAAGTAGTATTTCTTTGGGGAGGTGAATAATGTTTTCAAATAAGGCTTTAGCACACTGTACCTCTATTTGCCGTTACAGCCCTGTATAATACAAAAAAAAAAAATGAAGTTGTGCAGCTTTTCCATCGACATCTGTTCAAGAGTCGCCAAAAATAATCTTTAGAAGGGAATCTCTTTTTTATAGAATGTAGACCTATGTACTGTAGCAGCTCAAAAGCTCCTCTTGTGTACTTCCATGGACAAAGGACGACAGAAACATTGAAGTCAGCTTCCCACACAGAGACAGGACGCCAACACACAGGTTGGCCATGCGGTAAATTGCAGTTAATTTAGCCAAGCAAAAACAGAAAATTCAAGGCCAAATGTGTTTACGAAACGAAAAAACATAATTCTTATAAAACTGATGAAAAAAATCATGTAAACTACAGAAAGAAACAAGACTGCCCCCATAATGCTGGTACATGTTTCAGTGTTATTCTATGCTTTTCACAGTAAATACGCTTAATGACAATCCTTAACTGATTCACCCTTGACTCCTCCAATTTGTCTCTCAAAGATGACTGATTTCTATCAAACATGTCTGATAGATGTCACAGAGTGTGTGGGAGTCACTAACTGAATCTCAGACAAACAACCTCAATTAGAACCACGCCGGCTGGTACAAACTCCATGAGCTGCAAGGCATTTAACTGATTCATAAGAAATTCTTGCCAAGATAAATGCAAACACTCACTCGTTTGTCAATTATCCATGCCCGCTGATCTTACTCACACATGCATGCAAACAATAGCAGGTGTCCCACTCAAGTCTGGCATAGCACAATGATCCACACCTCCGGTTCTTTTTCCTAGTGAAACCATCCATGCTCAGCGTTCACCCTGACTTCCTTTGTTTCTCCCAGTCTCATTGTTTTCTCCTTGTGTAATTAGTCTACAGTATACAGCAGAATAAAAAAAAATAAGAAAAAGGTAGATTTAGTGAGATCTTAGGCTCAGGAGCTGGTAGAGCCTTTCAGGAGAGCAACGTGGGGTACGTTGCCAATACATTCAGTGTGTGGGTTTGAGTGAATAAAGGAGATGGAAACGTCTTCCACAGATCGAAATGAGAAAATCCTATCTAGCGTGTCTGAAGCTCCACTCTGCAGCTGAAAAGGAAAAATACACATGCCCCTGCAAATTTCTTGGATGAAACTACGGCGTAGCAAAAGGCAGTACCCAAATCAGAACCCCCACTCCACCCCCCGGCCCCTCCACATACCTCGCTGTTAAAAAGCAGTCTCCCAAAGAGCTGGCGGGCCTCCTCCAAGCCTCCCTCCAAATACACAGCCCCTGGAAAAGAAAAGGATGGTTAGAATCAACGCAATCACTTCTCTGATTCAGTGTACATTAAATTCAAAGCTCTGAATAACGTCGGAAACACTACATGACCCCACACTGATTTAAGCTCCTGAGAAAGGCCGTCCGTTCCAACAGCGCATCGCTGCTGCAAAATATTTCTGCTAATTCTGAGGCAGTTTCTGACTTCTCTCCTAATGGGAAACTTCTAATTAATTGAGCTCGGCAATGAATTATAATTGCTTTATTAAAAGTAGGAGTGAATTTTTTATTGCTTTATGACGGAGAAATGACCTCAGGGTTCCTGCGCAGATTCACCTCCCTTCTGTCAGGAGCAGCAGAAGGAGGAAGAGGAGGTGGTGTTTGCATAGGAAAAGATGGTGCCATGGAACAAGCGAAGGTCAAAATAAACCTTATGCATGAGCTGGGAGTCTGTGTCACATGTGTAGATACTATTAAGCATGGAAATTAGAGAAAAACCCATGGGCAGGAGTCATGCACAGTCTCCTCTATGAACACTGTGGAAAGGAGGACTGCATTTGGACTACATTATTGGTGGTAAGCTTAAGAAAAACTAACCTCCGTTTGTCTCATGAAGTTGTCGAGTAGACCAAGAGGAAACAAATTTGATGCCTTAATTTATTTTCCTGCGCTGGAGACCTATCCATTAGCCCTGTGCTCTGAGATGTCTGTAGACTAATTGCAACATTTTTCCATAACTTGTGGATCAATCAAAGCCTGCTTTGGAAGGCAGGATTACACTAACAGTGTCTGCTACCTCCTCCTCCCTTTGACAAGCGGTGAGGGAGGAGTTCCTCTCTATAAATGGGTTAAATAACTTATAAGGCATGAAGGGGACTTCATTTTAAAACCACTGACATCCGACAGAGCGCACAGTGTTTATTGTGTCAGTTACTGTTGATAAATGGGCAGGACAGAAAAGAAACCCCCAGCAATCCTTTGGTGGTTACTATACAGTGTGGTTTGACACCTATTCAGCAGTCGTTGCCTTGTTGTTGGAACAACTGTCAGGTCAGTGCATACGCTGACTGTACCAAGTAATCTGAGATGAGCGGTTTCTAGCTGGTATGCCAGATAAGTCTGTTTCTACCTTGCAACAGTCAAGAGCAGAGAACACCATTCCTGAGAGACGCCGGTTGAAATGAAATGCACTTCCTAACTCACCGAGACAACTAAGCTATGGACAATAACAAACAAATGCATCTGCATGGAAATATCTGTAAAATCTGTTGACTGCTGACAGTTTTTGCAGCAGAATGCTGCAAGTGCTACAAGCAAAGGAGTATTCAGTTTGTTTTTTTCTGCATAGGGACAGTGCACAGCCTCTCCAGATCACTCAGGTGCAACTTCTTTTCACCAGTCGACTCTCTTTTGTGCCTTTTGTTATTTGGCTCTTCTTCGGTTTCTGCTAAAATCAGTGGAACCATCACGGTGCCTTAATGCCACCTCCAACGTCTAAACCATCACACTTAGGGTGGCTCATTCAATTTAGAAAGCAATAACCACCTGGCAAATTGGGTATACAATCGTGCGGTGGTTTTTATTATGAGCATAAATGAGCCGGTGGAAATGGGGCGCGGTGCGGTCGCAAGTCTAAATGCACAAACTGCTTTCATGGACGACATCAAAAACATATGAGGGATTCATCATCTGAGGAGAGGAAACTGCTTTCAGATGGCTAACAGGCCATTTACGAACTCACACACGCACACACGCACACACAAAAACAAGCAGTAAGGACGCAGCCCACATAACCAAAACCATAAAGAAATACAAACACACCAACTAGCACCAAGAAAAAACAAATGCTCTCCTACTCTCTTCTTTTTATGCCATTTACTTGGAAACAGGATGGAAAATTACTAACAGCCTTTGCCCAGATGTTCAGAGAATGTGATTAAGCCTGTCAGCTTTGTCTCCCCCAACGCTCACTTTTATTAATATAAAATACAGGAGCAGGAAAATACCGAAGGCAGTTTGGGATTTTTTTGCCATGGTGGCAGGGAGCTAAAAAAAACAAAACATTTCCTGCCCGTGTGCCCATCCAAAAACAACAAGCCTGTAAATCAGCATGTGAGTCCACAAACACAGAAAGCCACTAAAGCCCCTGCAGATGAGCATGAGAAGAAGAACCGTCTGCTGACTTGACATAACAGCGAGCGCCTCTCTCAGGCCGACCACGGGAGGCTCCGCAGACGGGAGGGGTTCTTTGCAAGATGTGTCCCTTCAAGCATCGGCACTGAAAGTTGTGGTTTTAGCATATTGTTGGACCTCGGCTCTAAACACTGCTACGCAGCAGATGTTTCCTCTGGGGGCCAGTCGTGTGGGGGGTAAGATCTCCCTCCATCAGCCGCATTCTTAATGTCTTTCAACTGTGACTAAAAGGCATTTGTGTGTGAGCTCTGAGGCTGTGATGAAATGGGTGGGGCTGGAAGGCAGCTTCCTTCATGTTCTGATGACGAGACAGATCTGGAAAGTTGACTAAAGGGAGGCCTCAAAGTTGTTGAATTCAAAGTTTTCTTCTTAGATTTCCAGAACTTCTTCTGCGTGGAAGCAGAATGTGGAGGTAAGCAGTGGGAAACCAGGAGAGCCTCCAGGGATTTCAAAGCGTATTAAAAAAATCTAAAAGCAACACCTTTGGTGTCAATCAAAGGGCCTGCAGATGAGGAAACCAAGATGAAGCCTGGCGAGAAAACTCTTGACAAGGAGGCTGTCTGCGAAAAAGTCCAGCCTAAAGCGATCCAATCAAACACACAACTTGCTGCAATCATTAAACAGAGATCTGTGCACCTCAGTCAACCTCATCAACCGGCAAAGCGGGAGCAGATGATCTGAATACGCACCACTCCACAAAGACACAGAGCCAACTCAACTGGCAATTATCGTATGTGCTGGCAACTCTCCACAGCTCATCTTGCAGTAACATCATGCCCTGGCTAAATCGCTCTGCAGTCTCAGAGCTCCTGCATTTATTCGGCCCACAGAGCTGTCGGCCCCGACAGAGAAACCAGAACAAAAAGGTTCTGCAGTTCATCTCAGATAAATATACATGAACAATCACACTGAGTGTGCACAGAGAACACAGTGGCCTGCCCACACCCACAAAACCTGAGGAAAAATGGAAAGTTAAACTTTTTCCTACCTTTATCGAATGTGCCAGAAACGAGCTGCTGTGCAAATATCTGCGTGAGCCACCCCTAAATTCTTTATGTTACTTTAATACAGCCTTATCGTCCTTTTAAGTGGTCTTGAGTAACAGTTCGCCAGGCTTTCTTAGGCCATTGACTGCTTTTTCACTGACCTTTTGTGTAGTCATTTAGCCTGTCCAGAAAAATCCAGAAAAAGCTTTTTGTTTGTTACATCCCTTAAAACTTACCAATGAGTCATTTAAGCAGAAAAGCAGAGAATCAATTTAAAATTATCTTTAGACACTTTGTTACTAGCATGTCACAAAGACACATCTATTTTTTTTGTATTATCTGAGAACAATGCCAAACATGAAAGGCTGAAAATAGGATTTTTGGGGTAACAAGCTGATTTCTAAAGAGCCATTTGCTGAAATCATTCATTTGTCAGCATGGTGAACGTATCCAAAACTGCCCAACTGAGTTGGGCCTTAAAAAACTATGCACAGCAGATGAAGAGGAGCTGAAACTGATGTCCTTAAGAAAGTCTATCAAAATCAAGCTAGTCCTGACCCGGAGTCTGTTCAGTGTCAGTCACCGCAGAAGGCCAAATCTATTGTCACGTGTCTTAGACTGACAACAGAGGTACAGTGTTATGTTTAGCAATAGAATTCCAATGTCTGTAGGCTTTCAGTGACCAATAAAAACCCAGAGTCAGGGGCATATGAAACACCAGCGGCTGACAGTCACATTAATAACCTAGAATGAATTATTCAAAAACGCTCAGGCTCTAATCCATCAAATAATATATTAAGCCGCTCCCTCTCAGCTCAATGGGGGCTGAAGTAGCAGACGGACACAGAAACCAACACATTAGAGATAAAGAAATAAACAAAACCAGAAAATGGAAATAGAATTTCCACCGCTGCAGCTTGAGAGCGACGGAAGGCAGGGATTGAAATGGAGAAACAAAAAAAAAAGAGAAGCCAACTCCATCACTGCTACCGCTGCAATTAACAAAGGGAGCGCTACTTTTTGAATGAATACACCGGGCACATTGTGTGTGAATCTGATATTCAGCAAGTGAGAGATAATCCTTTCTCTGCGTTCTTTTAATAGGTACGAGCTTAGAGAGAGGCCTTACAAAGGTTCACCATCTGTATCCCCCATGGCTCCTGGCAGCGTATAATCCACAGATCAACTGTACAAGGAAATTAGGGCCATAAAAACAGAGCGGGGCCTCTTTTCTTCTTCCCAATTCTTTGCAAACTCTTCAGTCGGAAGGAAGCGACGTTGCTTATCAGTGAAGAGGACCTGAGAGGGAAAAGGGAGGGCAACAGGCGAGCAGACTTTCTATGAATACGCAGACCAAGAAAGACGTTTCTAAAGAGGAAGACTTAAAGTGGGCAAACGAGTTAAAGTACAGAAAAGGAGGGTGAGAAAAAGAGAGAGGAAAGAGAGGAGGTGGGTGTACAGAATAGGAGGCGTGCAGGCCAAAAGAGCCCAAATGAGAATGGCCCACTCCGGCAGAAGTTAATGACAGGGGATCAGAAAAGCAAGATTTCCATTCAACACTTTGAATTATTCAGGGTTGCAGGGCACCCATTTGCATTGCAGATGCCTTCACTTTCCATTCCTCTACAGCTCTCCCACCATTCCTCCTCTCTCTGGCTCTCTCGCCTTCTTTCTCTCCCTGACTGTCTCGAGCGGAGAATGGCCCTGCCTCAGGGTTAGGAGATAGAAGCATTCTCCGCTCCATAGAGAGAAAGCTTTGCCCATGCAAAGCAGGAGATTATCTGCCGTTCCGACGCAGCCTGGGTTCAACAGTCAGTGTGGCAGAAAAAACAAATAAAAGAAAGGTCAGAAAACATGTATTGTGAGCCGTTAAAGCTATCTGCCAGAGCTTTGGAAATATTATGAGTGTGTCACATTCCATCTCAGTTTTGAAAAGGTCTGAGGAAAGAAGTCTATCTGAAGTCTATGCTTGTGCACGCTGTTAAAAAGCAGGAGAAAATATCAAAAGAAATCAGGCTAAACTTCACAAAACAAGACGGAGATGCATGGGTAAGAGCAAGTCTGTCAGCGTGGCACCTGCTGCTTTTGAGAAAGTGGGGGTTTGATGACTCTGTCAGAAGAGGCGTCCCACTCCGAGATGAAATGACAGGTCTGTGCGTCCCACCGAAGCATCCTACAACAGGCGCAGACGCTCCGAGTTCATCTCATGAGGAGACAATGCTCGGTTTGGTGAGACAGTTGGAGGGCACGTGGGTGACGACGGGAAGAGATGACAGAGAGGCAGCGTGACTCATGATGAGCTTATGATTCTGGGAGAGGGAGGCAGCGAGGACCAGAGAGACTTAAAGAGTACGTCAGAGAGAAGGGAGGGTGCAGACAGACAGCCTAACAACAAGGTCTTTAAAGAGGTGTCTGCATGGGAAAAAAAAAAGATGACAGGATTGGTGACAAAAGAGAGGTAACATCAGAAACTGTTCGCAATCTAAATGACTGAACGGCTTAAGTTCATGTGTATATCTGCCTGTTGTGATCCTCAGCACGTGTCTGCTATGAGTGACAATGATGGGGGGGGTCACGGTTATATAAATCCCATTTTCAGGAGTGATTACAGATCACACATTTGGTTTGAAGCCATTTAAGAGATATGTTCTGAAACTATTGGCTGTCTTCACTGAATCGGAAATCTTGGTGTAAAAAACACACTCCACAAATGTGGAAATGTGTGGAAAACAAAAGAAAAAGAGCCAAGGGTTAAAGTCATGAGAATAGCTTTTAGAATAATATATGAAGACTGTTGGAAATACTTCACAAAGAAACGCTTATGCAGCCTAAATATTTTAAATGAATTATTTTCTACTTCATGGGTTTTATCCAAGGTGTGAACTAGCTTTCTGTGTGTAACCATTCCACAGGGGCAGTAACGGGTGGACAGGGGCACAGTTTTGCATCAATTCATGGTAAAGGCTAAAAAAAAAAAGCATCTTTCCATGTTTAACCTCTTAAAAGAAATTCGAGAAGTTTAGATTACGGCAAAAAAAAGCATTCTTTCTGAGACATGTCTTTCTGAGACATTGCTAATATTTAGTAATAACTACATAATATCAATACATTCAGAGGTTCTTGACAAATCTCTGTAAACAGGGATGCAGCCTTGACTCTGTCCTGGAAACCACTGCATGTGCCCAGAAAAACTTCCAGAAATCCTGGTCTGAACCAGCTCAGTAAGGACTGGTGTACTGCAGGACAGTGTTAACCCGCCTCCCGCACATGTCTGCATCACACAGTCAATGAACTATTTGTATCTGAGGTGAAAATGTCTGAGCTTTATGCATATGGAAATTGCGTTTAAACTGCATTAAAGGAATGGATTACAGTGAAAACGGTTAAATGTATGCAGCATACAGTCACGCATTGTATTTGGCGTTTCTTTGCTCGGGATATGCAGATATGAGCTTTGGCTTCAGTCTGATCCATTTTCAATTATTCACTGTGACAGGATGCTGTTGTTGTTTGTTAGGAAGTATATGAGCGAGATTAAATTCATTCTTTTATTCATTATTTAGCTGAAATTTCAGACAGGAGACGACGGAGCAGAAAGAGAAAGAGAGACGGGGCGGTGGTGTCGCGGCCCTGCTGCTTCGTGCTTGGATGTGTGCAGAAATGAGGCGGCGACAGCCACGGGACAGAATAGATTATGACTTTGTCTCTGCCGATAATGAACCCGTTACAAGTATCGGGCCCCCGGGCCGACAGGGGGCCGTGGTGCCAGTCAGCACTTTCCCCGCCGCTCAGCGTGCTCTGCTGCTCCTGGCGCAGAGAGGGGGGGGAAAGGGAGGTGCAAAGATGATCGCTTTAAAGCCACCCACTTTCTATATCTGACATCAGTGGAGCTTAGAGATGACTGAACTGGTTCAATCGAGATGGTGATAAGATGAGAAAAGCTGCCGACTCTGCGGCTCTCCAGGAGCGAGGCTCAGCCCGGCGCTGGCCGTGTGGCTGGAGGAGGAAGGGCGCGTCTCCACGCGGCATCGTCTGCCTGCGTTTGTTTGTGGTTATCGACGCGCAAACGCAGGGGTCTGGGGGGCCGGCGTGTCCAGTCATGTGTCCGGCCACAGGTCAAGCGGCGTCAACTGAGATCAATAAAGCTGTAAAAATGTTCACCGAGCCACACACACGGCAGATGTGTCGTTATTTACACAACTGAAACCCCGAATTGGACGATAACTAAAGCACGTGAATCAGGTGAATTACACACTTATAGATAGCAGCGTTTTCAATAAGCCGAGCTGGAAAAAAATGGCTATTAAACCCGCACAACTTATCATATATAGTTCACCCAAAATGACTTCCTCCTTTTTTTCTGCCTCATCCAGGCCTCGGTTTTCATTAGAGGGAGCCTCACCGATGAGAGCCTCAAAGCAGTTGGCCATGGCGTGCCGCAGGTCCGACTCCCGGCACAGGTCTGGTCCATGGGCATAGAGCATGAAGCGGTCCAGTTCCAGTTTCTGGAAAAGACGAGACACATTCAGAACAGGCCGCCGCCTGAAAAGAGCTATTGCTTCCGTTTTAGTTTTACAGAACGGGACCACACGTACACATGGTAAGACATAAGTTAAAACAGAGCAGAAGGAAGAGAAAAAAAGGAACATTAGGGAAATGTGGAAGACAGACTGCCCTAGCTGAAAAAGGTTGTACATCATGGCATTGACAGATGTGCTGGTGTGTTGTCCAGCTGCAGCGCGGTGCACTAAGCCGGCAGAGGGGTGTCACACACACACAGGGATGCAAGCGCACGCAAGCCCACACAGACACACACTCACAGACATGGCAGATAATCCCAAGATGAAATGTGAAATTGTCCGTTGGTGACCTTCATTCACTCTGAAAAGTAATTCTTTCAGTGGGCGGCTTCTCATTACAGTAAAAAAAAAAAAAAAGAATATCATTGCAGCAAATACGCAGACAAGAGGCTCTGACCTGCTCAGTCCACTGATGTGAGAGCTGACACAACAATCCCACATTTACTGCCCATGCATTACTAAAGCCTACAAACAGGTACACTTCCAGAGCATGTCCTCATTCATTTAACAGGATGATCATTTGAGCTAAAGTCATAGCCTGGAAGTTGGATCTTCCTCTGGAATTAATGTTCTGTGTAATACTACACTCACAAAGCTATTAAACAAATGGTTTTGATGGTTTTAGCTCCGTCAAAACTTCTCTGTAATATTCAGATTTTTCATTACAGAAATGCGTAAAAAAGAGAGTTCGATTGATTTCAATCTAATGATTTGCACAATCCGTCAATGCAATTAGTGAAACGATATTAAATTAAATTCCACTTTGAATGCAGAAGATCCCTCTCTGATGTTTGCAGAATTTTTGCTGTCCTTGAACTTTTGCATTTTTGGGGAAAAACAAGGCTGAAATGGGGCTGTAAAGTTTGTGGTAACTATTGGGAATCTGCACAGTCTGCATTTAATGTAAAGAGCCTTTGTTAAAGGTCTGACGGAGGCTCTGACAAACCTTTAGAAAACACTCTGAGCTAAGTCAAACGCAGCCTAAATTGACTCTTCTGGCAGCCCACTACAGACAGAAACCAGTAAGGGGCCTTTTTAATTATGGCTGATAACTGTTGGTGGTATCCCACCCCCCATGATTGCACCCACAAATTAAATCACAATCCACCCAAAAAAAAAAGAAAAGCTGCAGTTCAAAAGGAACCCGTTCTGACTTTTAAGCCATCTGAGTGAAGTGGCAGGTTGTGCTGTTGCTCACTGAAGATATTTTTTTTTAAAGATAATTGCGAGTGTTCTTGAGGAGACGGCTTTAGAGCGGCGTGGTAAACAACCTGGCAACGCCGAACACTGTATCACACTCACTTTACTGCGAGCGGCAAATTGAAACAAGCCCAACTCCTTCACGGCACTAATGCAGATTCGGGCGGCTGCATCTTTGTATTCAGCGGGGAGCAACATGAAAGATTGGAGTTTTTAATTGCTTTCTCCACATCGCAGGACGATTATTGTTGTGTTCTTTACTAACGTGCCAGTGAGTGCGGCCGGGTTGTGCACCGCTACCGGCAAGAGTGTGAGAGAGCCCGGAGGAGGGGAGCGAGGGGGCCAGGAGATAACGGAACTGGAGAGTGATTCAGAAAGAATCACAGCGGCACCAGTCTGATCCTCCAAAACAACAACTTTTTTAAAAAGGTGGGGATGCCAGCAAGACAAATTGTTTAGAAAAGTAGCAAAGTGAAGACATGAAGACAGATGACAAAAACACCTTCGGTCACATCATTATGACTTGAAGATGACAACTTTATTCACAGAGGGAGGAGGGAGGGAGGTTTACCTTCGCTAGCATAGCTAAGTGCTGGTTCTGAACGATGGCCGTTCTGTAGGTGGCCAGGCCCCCCTCCTCTAAACAGGGAAAAAGGTAGTAGAGGTGGACACTGTGGATGGAGAAGAGAGATTTCATTTTTAGATCACGTGCTTTTCACCCACTGCCTTCACCTCTTGTGTTATCTTGTGTTGGAGAATAAAGGTGATCAGCACAAACTCCTGTTCCGGAATCTCTATTCATGCATCAATAAATGGCTGAAAATTTCCCTAAAACGTATAAAAGAAAAACTAAGAAAAACAAGAGGCGTCTGTATATGTTAAATCAGTAAAGCGCAAACTTTCCAAATTCATAATGACCAAGCCTTGCCGGGCCTGTCAGAACCCACAAATAGCCCCAGACGCTTCAGTGGTTCCACAGCTGGGTTACCAGCGAGGCGGTTCCATTTTCATTACGGTCCAGCGTTTCTGTAACTGCAGCGTGTCATTTGATTTCATTGGAATTAAAACAGGTCATTTCATTCAGTCATTTCCAATCAACACAAAGACAGGAAAGCAGGTGGCATCCAGGTTCCAAAATGAACAAGAGATCCACTTATTGGGAATGTTGGTGGAAAAACAAAGCAACTGGATTTTTTTTTTTTAAACACTTGGAGTAAAATTAGGTTTGATAACAAGTGTCATTCACTCAACACAGCTGACTCCAAGTGAAAACAAAAGAAAACATCTATCTTTACCCATCAGTCCAACGTGACACCAATTTCATATTAATTTGATTGACAAAGACAACTACCTTCAATCATGGACTCAAGCTGGCAATTTACCACTGTTGATTCTTAATTTTATGGTTAAAACAGAGTTTCAAGTAGCATTTGCTTGCTTTTCTGCCTTAAATTTTTCTGCATATTACTTCTCACTTTATTTTTAAGTGGTCTATCTTTGATAATTATTACTAAATGAAAAACTTACCTGATCTTAAATCACCCTCTGATGAAACCTTTTTTTTTTTTTTTTTATTCAGCTGAAATATTGCACTTGGACTTATTTTTTTTACATCATCTGCTGATCCGGTGGGTCCCTTCTGCATTGGAGCAACTCATGTGTTCAAAATATTCTGTTGGCTGGACGGCGGAGTCACAGAGAGCCGCCAAGGGCAGCGTGCACCTCCAGTGCACAAGACAGCTGGTTGAGTCCGCTGTACCCATTTAACTGGACAAGAGGCAGATAAATAATTCAGAGGGCCAGAGTGTAGGCCAAGCATGTCTCGTCAGATGCTAACAATCAACGAAAGAAGGCAGAGAAAGAGTTGGAGGGAGAAAAACTGGCAAAACATGCCCAGAGATATCCAGGGAAATAGAGACTAAGCACCCTCTTTCTAACAATGTTCCGTAAACCAGGTCCTGTGTACCAGAGTGTCAGCTCCTATTAAGCTTTAATCCCGCTTCTGAGTGTTCACTGTTGTGGAAGTGTAACAACCAAGGGTCACAAATCATGTTGTTGGTTAAAAATCTATTCCTTCCTTCCTCACCCCCGCCAAACTTGCTGGAGTGTTCGTGTTTTCTTTTTTACATCAAAGCTGTCACAGACCCAAATCAGACCCCCAAACGCTCTGAAAATGTGAAAAGTGTTTGCTGTTTAGAAACTGGGTTCCAACATGGCTTTGAACATAAAGCAGCAGTGCGACATACTTCGAAAGCAAAAATAAGAGAAATGCAGAGCCATCTGAGCTGCTCCTGATTGTGCTGGTGGTCCATTAGCTTAACCTTAATTTGGAAGCAGGTTTTTTTGGGTTGAATTTAAAAGTTAAAGTAATTGATCTTCTTATGTGATGCTGCTGTTAGTCATCTTATATTTACTTCTTTGCTAGTTTTCATCCTTTCTTGTGAAATCTGCTGCTTTCAGATTCTTTGGCTGACAGCTTTAGGATCCATTTAAATAAAGCTTGTGTAAATGTTTGGAGCATTGTTTATTTACACTGTTCTGTTTGGAAACCGTGGTCAGTGGTGCAAATATGGTTTACAAACAGACTGTTGATTTATCAAGTGAAATGTTCACATTTCGCCATCATTGTAGATGTAAAAATTTGATCAACGATGTAATCTGTATTCAAGAAAACATTTTTCCTTCAGAGATACAAGCAACACACTAGGTTTAAACTGGTGATGATCCAGATGTGTAATGCCTTGGCTCTGTGTTGTCTCCCTTTAAAATCAAACCAGTACTAAACTAGAACTAATTCTAACTAATAGTATAAGCACCAGTACTCACATACAACTTGAGCCACTTGATAAAAAAAAGAGTATTTGCGTATGCAACATAAGTTCTTTTACACTATTTTTCAACAAAGACTTCCACTGTGACGACATCATGCAACAGGAAGTACGTATGTAGACGGATTTATTGCTAGATACCGTGTGAGATTAATAACAGCCATAAACATAATTAGCACCGTTATTAGGTAAGTGCCGGGCAGCAACGTCTGGACTCACCTGGGAGTCAGTAACACAGTCGGCAAATCAAGACAGCTAATTGTAAGTTGTCATGGAGAGTTTCCGGCTGATGAAATAAGGTGGGGGATGCGGCGAGGGGCGAGTGAGGTGGATTACATCCCGGTTTCAATTACCAGAGGATCAGTGTCTTGAATGAATTGAAGGTACGGAGAAGATCGCAGCTGTGACAAGACAGGGTTACGCGCAGGCAATGAGAACGTGGTGGAAATGGAGTGAGCGGTTTAGAGCGAGGAGCGGCGAGGATAGACAGAGGGACTGACAGTATTGTAGTTAGGTTCAATTAGTGCGGAAGTCCATCAAAGGCACGTGAAGGCTTTCTCACCTGGTGAGGAACTCGACAACGGCATCGCCGAGGAACTCCAGTCTCTCGTTGTGATTGATCCTAGAGGCGGGGAGGAGATAGGAGGGAGAGGCAGACATGTGAGTACTGTTGAGTTAGTTTCAGGAAAGAAAGACTTCAGGCAAACATGCAAACACACACACAGCTGATCATCTGCGGTATAACAGAGGCTCACATTCAGTAATAAGCCGTCGCTGCCCTTAAAATTGGCTCATTTCATTTCCCCTGAGATATCCCTTCCTTTCGCAGCTAAAGTTAATTTTCTTGTCAGCAGGCCTGCCAGGTATATTAATCACAAGAATCGTCCCTCTGATTGCTCCTGTGGTCAGTGATAGCATGAACAGATATGAGCCTGCAGGGAGCCTACCTGGAAGGGGAGGGGTCGTCCTGCCCCAGACGAGACATGATGTTAATCAACGTGTTAATCCCTGAAAAAGAAGAGTTCCCCAGGGTGGCAGAGTTAGGGTTCTTGATAAACAGAATGGTGATTTGGCAGAGGAAAAACACACGAGGACGAGAGTGGAGGATAAAAATAAGGGAGAGAAAGAGATGCACATGGCCCACCTTTCTTCCTCATGTACATGTGGTGGACCTTCCTGTCGCCATACTTGGGCTGGCGGATGCCGCAATTGGACAATGAATTTCGGGCGTGATCGGGATTCATACCAAAGTTGAGGTGGTGGCTGGGGTGAGTCATGGCCAGCTGAAAGAAAGAAAATAAAGGGTTTCCACTGGTGAACAAATATATATATATATGTGTGTGTGTGTGTCTTTTTAAAGGAGGAACGTTTTTAAAAAACACTGGTCACCTGGGAATATGTTGCGGTACTCTGGAGTCTAGACTCAGTCTAGACTCCAGAGTACTTTTATTTCCTGCCCTCAGGGGTTAGTCTTTTCTGGTGGCCAAGAAACTTTGTCAGAAAAAATACTAAAGTGTTGGTCCTGCTGCAAGTCGCTGTCTAAGATGCAGTAATAGTAAGTATCAATGAGCCACTGAAGGAATGGGATATCTTTCTCTACATTCTCTAAAATTTAAGCTGTGAAGATGATCTGTTTATCCATAATTTCCAGAATAAAGAGTGACTGAATGTAGCACAGGGGGGTATCCATAGACAGACGGATGGACGGAAATAAAAATATTTCTCTCTCATTTGACCAACAGAACGCCATGTTTTCCTGTTGGTTAGCACAATGTAAGAAACGTGTCCGCCTTCAACGACTCCATCTGAAAGTGTCTTTGTTTCTGCACCACAGATGGCAAAATGGTAGAGACACCAAAGGCTGTTTGCCAGTTCTATAATCTGCAAATGCATGAGTAACATTTCCAAGACGACAAATCTAAGGTCATCTTTCAGTTTGTCATCCCAGATCAGGATTAGAACAAGAGTGGCTTTGAAACAAATTTGCACAGATGCCAGTCTCATTTGCTCCAAACTGAATATTCATATAAAAACAAGCAGCTTCTATGCTAAAAAGTTTTGCCCTCCTCTGATGTTAAGTTTTTCATTCCACCTCTTCAAATCTACTTAGAAATGTCCATTTCCATAATTGAGCTAATATACACGAATCTTTAACTGATTTGACTCATTATTTCAGCCATGTATGAACGACGAAAACTTTTGTGTGCTTCCATCACACAAACCAGTAGGTTCAGTTTTCATTGAGCTTAGATGGTCGCATAGATAATACTGCACAGTGATCTGGAGCTCTGACCTGACTAATCAACCACAATCAATTGGACTCTAGGACCTTTTTGAGACTCAGTCATGATATTGACCAATTGACCAACTTGGCCAGTTTGTCCTTTTGGAATTGGCCTCAATGAAAAATAGAAAGGCTAGAAAAAGGTCTGCTAACCTAAGAGCAAAAGGGTAGTGTGCCCCTTCTCTATGTTATGTTGAAAGCTAAAAAAAAACTAATGACATTTTTAAACCTGTAAGGAGAGCAAAAAGTGGCAATTTCTAGTAAAATAACCCTGAGGGTCACACATTAGTCAACAGTCAGCTATGTTTAATAAAAAAAAGAGACAAAAACTGCTGTGCCTTGAAAGGCTGCCACAGCTGAACATCTCAAATGTGCTGAGGGAAGGAAAGGGGAAAGATAGGGCTCAGTAGGATATGTCAAGCTTTATCAATCTTACATTAGGAGAGAATGTTAATCTCAGCTAAAGAAAAAGAAAGAAAAACTCAAGCTACTCTTCCCACAGGGCTTGCTTTTTCAAAACGCTTGTCTTCCTTCAGCCAACTTCAAATCAATTTCAAGCTCCAATGAGATATACATGTAAAACCTTAACAGAGAGGTTTCAATATTTATAGTTCCTCAAGAGGTCTTCGACTTAAACTCACAAAATGACAAATTCAAGAGCCATTGTGCTCTTTTCCGACTGCAAAAAAGAAAGAGGAGTTATTTGACAAGATAACAGCAGAAATCCAGCAATCTCTTTGTGTTGAAAATTTCAAGAAAAATACAAATAAAAATGAAAAGCATCTCCTTCCAATCTCAACTCCCCCATTGTGTGATGTCAGACAAGTCGATGGCTGCCTGCTGCACAGCCTCAACTTCAGAGCTGGATCCTGCATCAAGCGAAACATGAGCTCTTCTGTAAACACCGCAGGTCTCTCGCAGTTACCAACAACATCCAACGGCAGTATCGGCTTTTAAGCTGAATCTGTGGAGAGGATTGACGTCTGCAACTGCTCCCGTCAACAAAACGACTGTGTAAAGCATCGCCGTGATTTGGATTCAGTGATCACTGCCTCATCTGCTGCTCAACTGCCTTTGGCCAAACAGAAAATAAACATCATCGCTCAGAGAACGGCTGCGGAACTCGGGCTGGAGAGAGCGTTGCTCGCACACCTGCCAGCTGAACGCATCTCAATAATACGATTATCGTCTACAGTATTATTCAATGCAGTTCTCAGGCAAATCAGGATTCAGGCGTAAAAACAGACTGGGCTTACTTTAATTGTTTTAATAATCAACCTCTTGCACTTCAATGCAAATTATGTGGAGTTCACTTGTAATAAAACAGTAATTATGCCATTGCATCTTTCTTCTAGCCTTTAGATCTATCAGACAGTCACTTGTTCATGTTCGTGGCATGCACGAGGCACTTAACTGGGAAGAGGAGCTTTAGTTGCATAGTTGCAAAAGGAAAATTAAAACTGTCCCAGATTTGTTAAGCTCCCCATTGTAGCATTTGCAAACTTGGTCAAACTTTGAATTTTAAATGCATCAGAAACAAAAATAAGTTATTTCATAATTTTTTCTCTTAGGGCCAACATGAGCAATATGTCAACTATTTTACTTCTTTTAAAACCACATGTGAACACTTAAACTATAAGCTTACGACTCTCTTTGAAGAACACAAACATTTATTCTCAATCCTGGCCTGAAATTCAGTTCGGAGCACCCAGTGACTCAGAGGCCAGTTTTACTACTCGGCATGAAAAGATCAGAACAGTTTCAACAGATTTTGAGCTTCTGCTTTAAAATCAAAGTTATGCAACTTAAACCTGGGGCAACCTTTTGTTCAGCGCCTCAAAAAGAAGTAAGGAGTGCTTTCTTTCACTTCCCACCCTCTGCCTGCATATATCTGAGTCAGACGTTCGTTTAGCATCAGTCATTGTTTGATTTTCATGTTTACGTTCTCTCCGGGCTTTGAATCGGAGGAGGTCAAAGCGGTGGATGAATTCTTTAATATGAAAATTGAAGGAAGAATTCACATTAACCTCCGCCAACCATTATTATGCAAATAATTGTTGCCATGCATATTGTGATTTTCCAGCATCTTTACATGCTCCACACATTTACTTAAGTGATCTCTGTCAATGCTGATGGGAAGCAAACACCACAGCAAAACAATGGACGTGCATTGTCTTATTTTTCAAGTGTTTTGATCGTCACATATTGAAGATCCCAGAGTTATCCCAGTAGGAGCGCATTAGAAAAAGAAAAAAAAGCTTACAGTCTGATTTACAGATAGTTTGCTTATGCACACTTTGGGTCTGCCCCTTTCAGGGGGTTGTCAACACAACACACGGGCTTTTAAAATGTGAGCCTTATGTCTCCAAGAGAAAAATAAAAATCGCTTTCTGTTTCGGTGGGCGATGTGGAAGGAGTCTGGAGTGACAACCCCAAAAAAAACCCACGTACCTGTCACTTTTATTTTTATTTTTATTTTTTGGGGAGATACCTGGATATAAAAATAAATCCCATTCCATGGGCTGTTCAGATTTTCATTCCTGATGTTGTGTCAGAGTAATAGCTCACAGTAGGATTATCCAACATCTTCCTTTACGTTGGATGTGTGAAGTTAAAAGTCTTATTCCCTTTCTTTTTCGCTTTGCCATTAACAGCAAATTCTCATGAGCACTTGGGCAGTTCACTTCCAGGAGGAAATGAGACAATAATGACTTACCAAAATGTTGCCTAATGGTTTATTACCCAACAGGGATATTTGAGGTTATCAAAATATATTTTTTGGTGCAGGCATCTCAGTCATTGGCTGCAGCAGCAAACAGCTGAAATAAAAACTATTAAGCGAGTAAAAAGCCCCTACAAAGGCTTTCTGTCATGTTGAGCATTACCAATCTGTTTCTGTTTTTACTTAATTATTTGTCTTAACACAAGATTATATAAAAGAGAGTTTTGCACCAAATGTCTGAGGATAAATGGATAAAATAAATTGAAATTTTTTGAGATTTTGAGAAGGAATAAAAAAAAGAAATGCAATTCTTTATTATGTGTTCATACTGTTAACTTAGGGGTAGTAGTAGATTTTTTCATTATTAAAAATAACACATTTTGGTACAACACATGTCTATTACTGTCTGAGATGCTCAGTCTTAGCTCCTGTCTTAAAGCACCCCTCCTGCCATGGCTGCTCTAATTGGTAGGCTGATTGGTTGGAAATAGCAGTGTAGGTAGTCATGGTTTCTTTGTTTGAGGCATGCCAAGCTAGCAACTAAAAAAGACACATGTCCAGGTGTGAATCATGGCGATGATTAGCAGCAGAAAAGCCTGAAAATATTACATGCACAGGAGGCTAAAGAACACCATGTCTGAAAGAGCCACAGGGTGTCCTCCCTGGGTTAAAGGGCACAATCATTCCATGTGAGGCCAATGACTCTTTTGGGGCTTGATAACTAAACAGATGCTAAAAAGGGGTTCTAACAATACAAGGGTGAGGCACTGCTGCAATCATTGAGATGTGGGAGAGGCAGTGGTTTAAAAAAAAAAGGCATAATGGAAGTCTTTTATGAAGTCTGTCATGCAAAATGTGTGTATTGTTGCAATTTACACAAAGTGGAGGGAGTGGTTGGGTCAAGGAAGAGCTCAGGGACTCAACCTTGACTCCAGTTACACCTCCAGACAGCTGACCAATCACAGTAAAAAGAGTGTGTGAATACAGCTTTGATTTTCAGAAAATAGCTGAAAATGTTCCACGCAGCCCTCCCCTGCTCCTGCATCAGGAATGTGTTGCACGAGATGTTGCTCAGTGAATAACACATGGAGAAAGCACAAGGGCTGTGTGTATGCTTTTAAGGGTTTCTATTAAAAAAGGACAGAATATAGTTGAAAGTATTTCTGAATCACTTGCATTATTACTCTTTACTGCCATCCTTACTCAATGCCGAAGTCCACCTCGTGATCCCACCACTGCTAGAACCAACTCCATAAGTAGAAAGTAAAAGTAATTATTTCAATAAGCTACATTTATATGTTTAAAGGCTGTGAGATGGTACTTAGGACAGTCATACTAAAAAGAGATGTGCAATTGAATCACCAAAGCAAAAGAATATGCTGCTACGGAGCGTCAGTCATATTTGTAGGGCACACAAACAAAAGCAAGCAATATCAGAGCTGGGGCGGAGAACTTGTACTGTTAAATTATTGAGGCCCTCTGCGATGCCTCTCATTCTGTCAGCATGGGTCAAAAGTGAGGAATGGGGATAAAGCTGCAGGGGCTGGGTGGGATTATGACGCTCTGATGGATGTGGGGATGCAGAAACATGTGGCAACCATGAACACATGTCTCTCCACCGCATACCCCCCCCCCTCCTCAGTTTTAAATGTTAAATGTTTAACAGGGAGGCTCTCAGAAGAGGAACTTCAAAGACCTCTGTCTCCTCTGCAGCCAAGCCGGGTGAGGAGGTTGGTGTAGAGTGCACTCGCTCTCAGGCTGGGTTTTTTTTCTCTTTTTTTTCTGTTTTTTATCAGTTGCTTCATGCGTGGATCACACTGTCATTCTCTGCTGCAGTAGCAGCGAACTGAGGCATACAGAAGCAAATGGTGCTCTCAAGGAACTGCTAACTAATGCACTACAGTGATTATTATTGTAGCATCTTCTCATTGAAGTTCTGATAACCAGATATGCTTTTATTAAAAATTTGCTGGAAACATCAAGCGATTCTGTGCAGTCCCTCCCAACACAAGAGCTTCCCTGATGATCAGTAACTTTCTTATCTTATGTAAAAAACTCTTTTCATCGGTGAATGACCAATTCCCCTCCTAAAAACCATCTGCCCCAAATAAGAGTCTGTTTGGCCTAGAATGTCTTTCTTTTTTACACGTGTGCTTTGTCAAAATGTTTTTACCTTCCACAACGCATGGGCCAATTCAGCAAAACCAGTCATTCAGACTGATTATCATCAGTCTAAGGAAGAAAAGTCAATCAATACAGAAAATAGTAAGAGATCTGAATGTTTTAAAGTTCAGCTATAAAAAAAGAGTAAGAAAATGTCATAAAACTGGCTTCAACGACTTCCTAAAAAAGGGAGTCCAGGACATCTTTGATGCGGAGGCAATGTTATTAGAGTCACCACCTGCAGAAATCGCAATTGACGGCAAGGCAGATTAATCTACATGAATGCTTTGCAGGGTTCAGTAGACAGACAGCGTCAACTATTTGGTAGAGACTAAGAATCAGGCCTTCACGGTCCAATTGTCGCAAAGAAAGCACAACCGAATAAGTAAAATACAAGGGTAGTGAAGAAAAACAGAAGAGGCAGACGATAAAACACCTGGAATCGACGTTTGAGTCCAAATGTAAGGCTTTTGGTCTCTTTGGGAGACAAAGGGAAAGAAGAGCCGTTTAGACAAAGTGCTTTGAAGTGGGCATGACATGAGGACATGATGATGGCCACATGTTTTATAAGATGCCTTGACCTGTACTAGTCCCCAAAGTGAGCCCAATGGAGTTGGCTCAGGATGAGTTGGAGCTCGGTTGCAAAAAAGAAAAGCAGGAGCTCCTCATATTTGGAAATGCTACTTTCCAAAGGGTTTTAACAGTTGTACCTATTGAATTACACCTTTAGATAATGAGGGTTGTCTTGAAATGAAAACTGAATAATCCAGCTGTTTGCTGTTAGCGTCATCCTGCTGGGTGGCTTTTACAACAGCTTTTCGGTCATTGTGCATTTGTACTGTAAACAAAATGACTGAATATGAGCAGACAGTATAGCCGCATATTTTTATGACTGCATCCAGCAGCTGTCTTCTGCCACATCATCCTCATCATACATAATACTTCCAACACGTGGGGGGGTTGGGCCATGCTATGCCTTCACCCTGCATCTTTTAGTGTCACAGGTGTTTGTTTTAAGTGTTGAGCTGTCCCACACCTTCTCTTTTTCTACATCGTTATGATTCATCTCAGCTCCTGAACTCCGCTGGATTTTTTTATTTGAGGAGGATTATGAAGTCTTATGTGTATTGGGTTGGGTTTTCTGATAATGATACATCAGCCTTGTGCGGTGACATTGTGAGAGGGCTCACTTTCCTATATGATATTATTCATTGGGTTGAAGCTGGGTGGATTTTGCAGAAGGCAAAAATAACAGAAAATTATGTAAACGTCATTCACAGTTAGTTGCCGAGTGTATTTATGCATCACTGTATTTAACCAACTTTAAGAGCTTATGAGAAGTAGATAATTTCTTATTGTTTTGACGGAAAACCTTCCATGTGAAAGGCTTCTACATTTATCTAATGTAACGCTTTCCCCATCACACCATCAACATTTCAATGCAATGCTTCAGGATTCAGCAGACTTAGTGAATCGTCAGGCTTCAGTTATTTGACATACAGGTGCCGAGGGGCGTTTTTTTATATAGAATATTCCCCTAATATATTCCCCCTTCTGTTCGAAATGTTTTAATGTTTTGTTTTTTTCCATCCACATATTATGCACAACAAAACATAAACGAATTCAAAGCACACCAACTCCCTATCAAGGAAAAATTAATTTATAATGCAGTCAAAGAGTTGTACCAGATTCTCTCATGTTTAATGAGTAGACTGCCACTGGAAAACATTCATCTCATTAAACGTGATCAGCCCATCAGAGAGGAGGCAAATGAGAGGTGATGGTGGATGTAAAATCCATTCTGACTCGGAGGGGCCCGATTGCGTGGGCACTGTCGCATTCCTCCAGCCGTTCTGTCTAAATCTATTAGGGTAAAAAATGTGTGTGCGGTGGGACATTAGGCTCCACTGTGTGCGTGGAGTGTAGATGAGGAAGGTGCTGTAGGTGGATCCCTTCCTGGTGGTGAATTGCTGACTGCCTTGGCTGTGTCCACACACAGAAACATTGGTTCCTATACCCTCTCTGCAGACCGAACTGTGATCCAGAGAGACGGCACATGCTGCAGAGGCCTGTACGTGGGCTGGTGTGTGGAAATCATTGTTTTCCTCTTGTGCGTCTGACGCTGTGTAAGATGAAACAATTGAACGAGAAAGTGTGAGGCAGAGATCCATTAACTTCCCCCCAAGTGGCTGTGAAAACAGGCTTGAATGGGCATCTGCGTGATGAAAGGGCCTCAGCTTGTCAGCCACCGGCGGGCCTCGCAGCAAGTCAGTGTTTTCTTTTTAGCACTCATAATGGCAGGTTATCATTATGCAAACGACAAAAATGCCAATTGTGGATCGATATTTGCAAATCCACACGCATAGACGCACTCAGAGCGCCGGGTCGGCGAGCGCGCAGACACATGCACGAACCCCTGAGCCAATCCTAATGCATCCTTTCCCTTTTTAACTATGTATAGGCTGCAACACATTGATTTCTAATGTATCAGCTTATGACAGCTCTTCAATATTGCTGGAGGCAGCCATGGGGCTTTCTCTGAGAAAGCAGAGCTGGAGGCTGCAGACCTGACAGGGGAGAGCTGACATTATGGAGGAGGCTGTTGTTGTCCTGACTACTGTCACTGCCGCTCTGCTCGCTGCAGAGATATGACTCAGGCCAGTGAGTGTGTTACCCCAACTGACTCCTGAGCCTCCCATTTCCACCTGAAAAATCCCCGCAGAGGTGGATAGGGCACAGTAATGAGGGAAATGCAGACTCCCTGGATTTTACTGCATAACAAGCTCCTGCAAGCTCCTCTACATTGCCTTAAAGAACTACGAGGATTTACCCGACGCTGTTTTTCAACTTAGTTATCAACTATGCCAGCCTTTAAGTAACGTGGCTTGGATTCACATCTCTGTGCAAGTTAGCGGACGGCGGTGCCTTACCTGAAGGAGGCAGCGCTCCTTGAAGACGTAGCCAATCAGCTCATCCAGGTGCATCAGACACTGGTGGTAGCGGATGTGATGAGTGAGAACAGGGAGCATCATGGCATGCTGTGGAGGACAGAGAGAATTGGCAAGAGGGAACAAAAAAAATATTCAAGAAACAGCAGAGAGCTGAAAGTCAGGTTCATGTCTAGTATGAAAGAAGATTGAAGGGAACGTGTTCTGAGAGGTGGCTGGAAAAGACAGGTGGGCAGAAATCAATCAGCCAGTCATTATTTATTAAGAGGGGCTCTGCTACAGATGGATGAAATAATCAAAAACCCAATCGCCACAGTGTGAGTGGATATGACAGAGGGGGGGGAAATCCACATTTGGACAGGACAGTCCAATCGAAGCCCACTCTAACTGCTGGCACACTTGGATTTGAACAAACACTGATAGCCCTTCTCACCCTCTCGAATGAAAGAAGAAAAGTTTGAAAGCGGCAAAGTGAAAGAAGAGTGAAGAGGGGAAGTGGTGGTCAGAAGAGAGTGTGCCATGCATAGTGAGAATGGAAAGAAACAAGAAAAAAAACGCCAGCGGTCAGCAACTGAGTTGGAGAGCCAATCTACACAATCATTAGAGGAGGCTTATCAAGTGGGTCTCTACAAGTGGCTGAGAAAGCACAGCCCAGGCCAGTGTACACACATTAACCCCGTGCCACCACATGAGAGAGAAGGGAGCTATGCATGTTTTAATTAGTGCTGCTGGGAAGGGTGAGCCTTAAGCCCAGCAGCTACAAGCAGTGCAGCCACGGAGCCCTGGGGCCATCACAGGGGCCGTGGTGACACAATCCCCGGGCCTTGTTAAGCAGCCAATTAAACAAAGCCGGGCCCTGACCATGTCTGCCGCTCCTGACCTGTTCTGATGGCTGCCTGAGTGACTGAGCGCACGCGTTTATACTACGGCAATTAGAAGGTGAGAAAGTTCTAATTTACTGTCACGGATAACGTTATGCCTTTTGGACGCTGTCCAAACACAGCAGCAGCCAGCGCTCTCTTTTGATGAAAACATCACAAATATGAATTTATTCCCTGAAACGCCAAAAGAATCTGCATCAGACGAAAAACCAGGAGAACATGCATTATTTATTTCTTTTTCATTCCTGCTGTAATATGCAGTAAATCAATATATCAATTTGAATTAATATCAAATGAATGAATTAAGCAAATTAAGTACAAAATGTTTTTTTATGCCGAAAACCAAAATATGATACAATCAGGGAAGCTCCGGATCACTGAGTAAATTGTTAATGGGAGTTAATGGCAAAGATCTGAACAGAACCAGCGTGATTGAATACAGCCAGGAAACAGAACATCTACTGGTGCTGTCGAAGTCTAAATACCGATGACTCAATGGAGACATAAGGTTCAACCAAGTCCATAGAAAAAACAAGTTAAGGAAGGAAGGAACAAGTTAAGCACAGAAAAGACACAAAAACCATGAATCATGAAAAGACCTGGAATGGAAACTACAGAAAAATTCAAACCCGGTTTTAGTGACTGAAGAGTTGCTCCATGAAAAAGAAAATAAATAAATGAAGCACCAGGCGATAGAATAAAGAAACTACAGCTCAGTATTACTGGCCATCTCTCGCCTGTGTCACACAATGACCGGAGTACAGCGATGTGGTTCAAAATGAAATTATTCATGAAGCAATTAGACGTAGCGGTACAGCTTGAAGCAAATATAATTGGACAGCAATTATGGATCGGATTCCTCTTTGCTAGACCTTGCTGTAAGAGAGGTCTGGCTTGCAAAGCAAGAACTTTGTCATTCCTCCCCCAAATGTGGGCTGGAGTATCAGCCCTCTGTATCAGCAGGCACTTTTCACTGCATACAGAGATGGGAAATGTATTCAGAGACAGCAGCACCGATACCAATTATATTCTGAGTAAGAGGCCAAAAATATGGGAATAGACAATAAATTAAAGTGGATTAAAATTGCACCAGCGTAATTCTATTATTTTATTTTTTTACAAAGACAAACATTCAAACACATGCAGCCTTATTTATTGGGGAAGGCTCAGCGTGTAGTCATGGTTCAGCTCTCATTAAGGCTACACGTACTAAATTACATGTAAACATGTAACTCAACATGCAACTCAAACTTAATGCAGTCTTACCCTTTTGTAACAGAAAATAAAAAGATAGAGAGCCCAAATCCATCCTGTTTCTTCCTGAAAAACACGCCCCGCGCAGTAGTGAGGCTGTATGTAAATAGCGTCAAGTCTGAGTCATGACTTGATAAATGGTATAACTGCTGGAGCTCCGTGGGAGACCACTTTCCTCATACGGATTTTGACATGTATGGGAATGTGATGCGGAGACGGGAAAGATCAAAAGCAAAGCGTCTGACGGTGTCTGCGCATATGTCAGAGCGGAGCTACATCTGTGTTGATGTATCTCTGAGATAGGAAGATCATTACAGAGCTGCTCTATTTTTGCAGTTTTGGCCATCATTTCTGTTTTATTGATCTGGACAGCTTGGCAGGGATTTCAAACCTCCTTCAGCCAATAAACTTTAGATGCAAATTGAGTGCACTCTATGAAACTTACATCAAGACAGCATCAACTTCGATAGATGATTAAGAACTGTGTGTGGAATGATTTGTTCCTTTAATACAATCTTATAACCGTTAAAACAATATCAAATCAGAGCAACATCAAATATGTTTTTTTTTTTTCAGTGTTCCATGAATTTAAAAATCTTTCAAAAAAATATGTTTTCAGTGGCTGAGTGTTTAGAGCAACTACGGTTAAAGAGAGGTTTACCTGCTTCAACACACGGCATTCTGATGAAATGGAGTTGAATCCTCCAGTTTTAGGGGCGGGAGGTT